CGAAGAGGATTTTTTCGTTTTTGAAATTTTTATCAGTTTGTCGGGAAAATAATAAGGACTCTTTTGCACCGAAAAAACTTCGAAAATGAATTGTGTCGCGACAAAATAAAATTGCTTTTCATTTCAGCGACGAGGATCGGTGTGGCACGTCAATCCAAAATAGAACAAAAGATTTCCCGCCCCTTTTTGGTGATTCGTTCAAAACGAAATGTCACTACCCGACAAAAAGCATTTTCTTATCTTTCTTCTTTCTTTTCGAGAAAAAGCAATTATTTCGGGCGGGAAAAAGTGCCGATAATTTCGCGACATTTCGTCTTTCTTTTAAATCAATGAAAACGATACGAAGTTTCGAAACGGTTCAGGAAATGCGCTGGATTGACGTGTGTGGCGACATGTGCTCACTATTTTCCCGACAGAGCGACGCTATGTCTACAGTCGCGCCGTAAAGCCCGTAGAACTTTTTCGGCGACGTCGCAGCATTGTGAAAAATTCTACGGACTTTACGGCATGGTATCAGTCTGTCGGAAAAATAGCGGCGGATCGTCTCGCCTCCGAATCGCCCGTCGTCGCTTGGCGACGACGCTAAGCGATTGGCAGCCAGCAGGCTGCCAAAATCTGGAGATTTGGTGCGCGATAGCGGTGAGGCGAGACCTTTTGATGCGACAATCCGCCGTTATTTTCCCGACAGACTGATAGGTGGAAAAAAACGAAAAAAAAATAGTAACAAAATTGCAAAAAAAAAACTTTTTGAAAAAAATAAAAAAAATAAAAGATCAGGAAAAAGCTTCCTTTTGTAATTACAAATCAAAATTCGCAGTCATTCGTGATGTTTTGCGATGCCAAAGTCGCACGAAAAATCGCCGAAATTTGAGGAATTTTGTTGAATTTCACAGTGCAAGACAACAAAAAAAACAGCCGTTCGCACTGTGAAAAAACAACGAATTTGAAGGCAAAAATTGAGCGCAAAAAGCCCAATTTTGCACTCGGTGAAAATTGCGGTTTTCAACAGTTGCACAGAAAATCGCACCGTGCGAAACTCATTTTTTCGGCCGGACTGATAAAAATAGTAAAATTCTCCTCTAAAAATACTCGTCAAGTTTCGCGAAAGGCTTAAAAATACTCGAGGAAACTTAATTAAACCGACGTTTACCGCACGTTCCCCGATGAAAATAGTAGGCGTCGCCAACGCAACATTACTTCCGATATTTCCGATACAGAGCGGAGGAGATCTTTGATTTTTGATGCCATAGAGAGCTTTTAAACCAAAAAAATATTCGCGGCAAATCGCAAAGGGCGGGCGCACACTTGCGGGCAACCACTTTGCGGGCAACCAGTTTGCGGGCAAATCTTTTGCGGGCAGCCACTTTGCGGGCAGCCGACATTTGCGGCCAGCACCGGCATTTGCGGGCAGCCTGGGACATTTGCGGGCAGGGTCGACAGTTGCGGGCAGCCTGGAAGATTTGCGGGCAGCCGACATTTGCGGGCAACAGGCACTTGAGGATTACAAGGTGAAGATGGAAAAATTATTTCGATATTTTGGAAGTTTTCCGACATTTGCGGGCAGGCAATACTTGCGGGAAACCGACATTTGCGGGCAACGGTTCCAAAAGTTCCTATACAGTCTGTGTGATTGTTTTGTCCTGTTGCCCGCAAATGTCGGCTGCCCGCAAATGTCGGCAAATTTCCAAAATATCGGAGTAATATTTCCACCTCCACCCTGTAACCCTCAGGTGCCGGTTGCCCGCAAATGTCGGCTGCCCGCAAGTGTCGGTTGCCCGCAAGTGTCCCAGGCTGCCCGCAAGTGTCTCAGCTGCCCGCAAATGTTTCAGCTGCCCGCAAATGTGGCCCCCCAAATTCTGCCCGCAAAGTGGTTGCCCGCAAAAAATTTGCCCGCAAACTGGTTGCCCGCAAAGTGGTTGCCCGCAAGTGTCGCGACGCCTCGCAAAGGTCCAAAAAAAAATTTCATAGAAGATAACGGAGTTTCATTTTTGCCTCGAATTAGCTCTTATGACCTTAAGAATTGTTTGGCATAGGGAGGTGGTGTTGTACACAAGTTTTGTGTACAAGGGCTGCTGCATAGGATTACTGAATAAAAAATATACATACAGAAAAATCTCAGTGACGGGCCTGAATACTGCGCAAAAAACGCAGTATTTTGCTTCCGGGGAGTATCAAAAAATGTGGCAAAATACCTCCCTCTCCAAGTGAAAAAAACATCTTTTTTGTGGGGGAAAGGGCGCGCCCTTCAAAATGCAGTTTTTTTAGTATCGCATGAATCGTGTCGTAATAAAATCAAATTTCTCATCATTTCAACGACGTGATCGGCGCAATGACATTGTGCTCATTATTTTCCCAACAGACAGATACCGTTTCTCCGAGAGACTACGCAAAATGAGGAGAGTTAGAAGACGAAAAACATGTGGGCCCAGCTGATCCTCTATCAACAGAAGCTGACCCGACGATGCCGATTGATCGGACAAACAATAATCGACATGAAAGAACCTGATTTGAATGATGTCGCAAAGAATTGAGTGTCGTTCTCTTGTCCAAAATATTTCTTAACGAATACGGAAGATACAGCAAAATCAGAGTGGCGGACCTTATCCAGTAGCAAAGAACGTGCCATTTTGCATCCGGGAAGTGCCAAAAAATGTGGCAAAATGCCTCCCTCTCCAAGTGAAAAAACTCCGATTTCAAAAATGCGCCCCTATTTTTGTGAGGGAACCCTTCGAAACGGAGTTTTTTTAGTTGAAGAGAGAGGTATTTGGATACATTTTTTGATACTTCCCGAATGCAAAATGGTACGTTTTTTGCCACCGGTTCAGGTCCGCCACTGTACATAGCTAGCCGGAAAAAACAACGGTAAAATAAAAAGTGTTTTATACAGTAATTTATTTCCTTTTTTATTTTGTCATTGACTTTTCCGGCTAGCTATAAACACAAAAAACCTCAGGGCCTCTTTATTGTTCACTTTTTTTGAACACCTATCCTCGACAAAAAAGCCTCGGAACGCGGTGCACTGTATCCTTCAATTGAACCCTACATGTTATTGAGACCCTCTCGAATAACAACTCCATCATTGGCAATAAATTTTCCAACCCGTTCGGTTGTTGTTTTCGCGATTTGCGCCTCAAAACAACGACAGTAATCTCTCCGAAATCCCCTTGCAAATTGGAGCCCAAATTCACATCGCGCATAAAAGCGGGTGTTAGAATAGAGAATGGCTAATTGAAAAAATGGCATCAAGATCAAAAGTGCATTGTTTTTAGGGAGACAAGGAATAACGAAGAGAAAAAAAATTAAAAAGAGAAGTGCTCCAAGTGCGGTGCTTGGATTTAGATAAAACTTGGGATAAATTTGCAAAAATTCTTTATAGAACTTATGGCGAAATTGCAAGCTCGCGCTTTGCGGAAACGGCAGAGATTTTTAGATGAAACGTTGGCAAAAAATTGTCACTTTTTTGCAAATTTTGGCATGAAAAGTTTCTTGGCCTATTTCTACCGTAAAGGGTAATGTTTCCACAAAAAAAATTTTTTTTCCATTCGAAACTGACAAAGGCAAGTCAAAAAAACAATGTCCTCTCTCTCCGCCCTCCACGGCAACCCAAGGAGTCTCCCGCCTCGTTTCGGCACTTCGCCCACCTAGTATCGGTTGAATTCAAACGAAATGTCAAAAATGAATTTTTCGTGTGGTTTTCCGACCGAAAAATATTTTTCTCTGAATTATTTTATTTCTTTTGTCAATTTTGACATTTCGTTTGGACGAAATTCAAAAGTGGGCGGGAGACATTTTTGTTCTATTTTGGGTTGCCGTGCCCTCCCTTTTTCGCGCACTCTATCGGTGGCAAAGATCGGTGAATATCTCGGCTTCTTCTGAAAAGCGCGGCCTAATATTTTCAGCAATTCAAGTGTGGCCTATACCCCAAGTGTGAAACAAATTTAAAGAAAATGTCAGTGTCGTACTTGGGACACTGCCCTTGTTATCGGATAAATGATTAAAGTGAGAAGCTGGGGTATTCGTCTGTCGGAAAGATAATGAGCACTTTGTCGCATCGAGAAAACGAAGAAAATAAATTGTATCGCGTCAAAATCAAATTGCTTTTCACTTCAGCGACGCGACTGACGCAGCGGCATTGTGCTCATTATGATATTTTCCTGACAAACTAATACTGCATTAAGTTTAGCACCCTCGTCAGCCCTAGGTTTTCATACAAATTGCTAAAAATTTAAGCTCGCAACTTTTAGGGGCACCTGAGATTTTCAACGGCCGTTGCCAACTCAAAAATGTCCTAAATTCAAAGCAATCAGAAAGAAAAGCGGCAGTAAAGCTAAAAAATTGCTTGCTGCCAAATAAAGGAAAACTTTGTTAACACCCTCTTAAAGGCCGCGAATCGGAATTCTTTCTGGGCCTCCAGGAAATTGGGTAATATCATAAAAGGCTTAATGAGGAAAAAGCGTCTGTAAGGAGTCGTAAACAACAAAAGTGAGCCGCGTCGGCTCCCAATTTGGAAGAAAAAAGTGCAACCCTCAAGGAATGAAAATAAAAAAAAAAATTGTGATATAAGTCTGTCGTGAAAATAATGAGCGCTCTTTCGCATCGAAAATTGCATCGCCGCAGAGAAAATGAATTGTGTCGCGGCGACATCAAATTGCTTTCCACTTCAGCGAAATTGTGCTCATTATTTTCCCGACAGATTACAACATGAACTTCAAACGAGCGTGTTGTTCAGAGGCTCCATCGTACTTACCCTCTCTCTTTTTGAAAGGTAAATTGATGACATCTCGTACTTTTTACTATTCCATTATCTTGGCCAAAAAGCCATATACGACAGCTCATTCGAATGTCACAATACATCATCTTTATAACCACTTCTTTCCTCCTTTCTTGTGCCATAGGTTTTTTGCGAGTTTCAAAGAATTTCACACTTGCTCGTACCGGCGATATTTTTTGTGGGATCTGAAGGTGTTCTTTTCCAAGTTTTAGGAGCACACTGTAATGCAATGTTCAAACTAGCTGTTCGCGCGCAACTGAACAGTGAGAACAGAGGATCGTTTCGGAATCTCGTCGATAATGTTGAACTCAGAAACGCGCGTAATGAAAGTGTCAAAAGACGAGAAGAGAGTGCAAATCGAAGAGAAGTTCAAGGCGCCCCTGTAGCTGATTTGTACTTTTTAGGTAAGTTTTGAGCGTAAAATAAGCGGTTACTCGGATTTTTCGATTTGTAAAATTCAACAATCAACGGCTGTACATTGGAACCCCTGTAGAACAAATCGAAAATTACAAAAAAATACATTTGTTGTAGGAGGGTTTCATTGTTCGGAGGCACCTCTAGTCGACTCTTGGGACCTCCGAAAATGTGTGTTATTTACAGCACAGATGTTATTGTACGGGAGTTCCATTTAATATATGCATATATATTAGGGCCAAACCTCTTTTGCAACCAACTCCGATCCAGCAAAACGTATCCAAAACAGGCAAATTCAAAGCTTTTGTATAACAGCTTTCTGACAGAGTAAACCTCTGGACGACGACTCCTTCATAATAGACAAAATTTTCGAGTAGCTGCGTAGGGGTTAAAAACGTTATTATTCCGTCGGGAAAATAATGAGCACTGTCGATCGTGTCGCTGTCAATGATGGTCTTGTTATACGGGCCTCAATAACATCGGGTACAATTGAGACATCAGATCCTCTGCGCAATCAGTCTGTCTCGAAAATAATGAGCAAATGTCGCTGCGCGGAAGTTGGAATTTGATTTTTTCCACATCTCATTTTCTCGGCGGCGATGTGATTCTCGACACGACAGAGTGCTGATTATTTTCCCGACAGACTGAGAGTACAACAAACACCTTCTTTAACGAAAAAAAATCCTCTGCACAAATCATTCAGTAAATTTTCAGACCCCGGCGACCTCAACATCTGGGGCAACAATGACCGTGAGCCAAGCGAGCTCCAGAAATTGGAGAGCCGAGTCCGAGCGCTCACTCAAAATTGGGTACCCCAAGAAGATGTGACTGAAAGTCAGTTGGATGATTTCTTTTTATACACTTCCATCAGTGGCTTGCGATTTTTGCATTCCAAAAATCCGGGATGGTTCAAGTGAGAATTTCATTACAATTGAAGCCAAACCATTCAAGGGCGTCGCGACACTTGCGGGCAACCACTTTGCGGGCAACCACTTTGCGGGCAAATTTTTTGCGGGCAGCCACTTTGCGGGCAAAATTTGGAGGGTCACATTTGCGGGCAGCTGAAACATTTGCGGGCAGCTGAGACATTTGCGGGCAACCGACACTTGCGGGCAGCCGACATTTGCGGGCAACCGGCACCTGAGGGTTACAGGGTGGAGGTGGAAATATTACTGCGATATTTTGGAAATTTGCCGACATTTGCGGGCAGCCGACACTTGCGGGCAGCCGACATTTGCGGGCAACAGGAAAAAACAATCACACAGACTGTATTGGTACTTTTGGAACTGTTGCCCGCAAATGTCGGTTTCCCGCAAGTATTGCCTGCCCGCAAATGTCGGAAAACTTCCAAAATATCGAAGTAATTTTTCCACCTCTACCTTGTTATCATCAAGTGCCGGTTGCCCGCAAATGTCGGCTGCCCGCAAATGTCGGCAAATTTCCAACATATCATAGTAATTTTTCCACGTCCACCCTGTTACCCTCACAATCAGGTGTCGGTTGCCCGCAAATGTCGGCTGCCCGCAAAGTGGCTGCCCGCAAAAAATTTGCCCGCAAACTGGTTGCCCGAAAAGTGGTTGCCCGCAAGTGTGCGCCCGCCCATTCAAGAATTCATGTGATTTTATTTGTAAAATACGACCTCTAATAATTTGGATCTTTTGTTTCAGGACTTTATCAGCAATAACATTGGTCGCCAGTTTAGCGCTATTTGCTTTTCACTCCTCCGTGTTTGCCAAGAAATATTTTGGACAAGAGAATGATACTCAATTCTTTGCGACATCATTCAAATCAGTGTCTTTCCCGTCGATTATTGTTTGTCCGATCAATCGACATCGGTGAGTCAGCTTCTGTTGATAGAGGATCAGCTGGGCCCACATGTTTTTTGTCTTCTGACTCTCCTCATTTTGCGTGCTCTCTCGCAGAAAAAATAGTCTGTCGGGAAAATAATGTGGATTTGCCGCAGCAAAATAATAAATATCACGCCTCGTCAAACAGTGACGGACTGATCCAGTGGCAAAAAAAAGTACCATTTTGCATCCAGGAAGTATCAAAAAATGTAGCAAAATGCCTCCCTCTCAAACTAAAAAACTCCTTTTTTAAGGGCGCGCCCTTTCCCTCACAAAAACCGCTTTTGAAATCCGAGTTTTTTCACTTGGAGAGGGAGGTATTTTGCTACATTTTTTTGATACTTCCCGGATGCAAAATGGTATGGTTTTCGCTTTTAAATCAGATCCGCCACTGTACCTTGACTTCTCAGAAACCTTTTTTGCAGTCTTTCACCACTACTCCACTTCAGGGTGCTCCGCGAAAACTACAGTCCAGACTTTGCTCACTTCCTCACCAACTTTTGGCTCGTTCATGATGAAGAGCCCGTAGTCCAAAACAAAACTTTGCGTCAATGGCTTGAGGAGCTGAACAATGAGTTGCAACAGATCCGAATGCCAATTTTGGAGATCGCCCGGCTAGATGAATGGAGCCAAGAGATCGCCAGGATTCTCCCGAACGCTGCGAACATGCTGAACATCTCCGGCGCGTTGAAAGTTTTGGGCCCGGATTTTCAGGTCGAAGGGAGCAGTGAGTTCTATGCGTTTCAACGGCAAAGCGACGAATGCTCGCAGGTCTTGGATTTTACGAAAGTAGGCGAATGGAATAGGGATGTTTTTTGGCCTACTTTTGTTCCGCAGTTCAATTTTTAGAACGAAACAATCGCCGGATTCATTGCATGCCGCTTATACAACGTTCGTGTGATGATTGGCGAAACACTGAACAGTTACAACTACTTGATCAAAACCATCAACGACCCTCCTCTGATCAACGACTATATTATGGAGTAGGTTCGGGTATCTGTTGAAAAAATACTGTATTATAGATGTAAATGGATCGACGGAACGGACTGCGCGCTAACAGCCATCAACACGACACTGAACATGATTTGTATTCGCGCGGCCGCAGAAAATCCTTTTAACATTTCCGGAGAAAGTAAGTTGACGATTAGGCGATAACAAATGCGTTGCAAGAAGAACGAGCATATCTTTAGTTACGGTTATCAGTTGACAAAAAAATTCAAGAGACGTATTCTAGAACTAAATACTTTTTTATTGTCATCCAGTCGGAAAAATAAAATGGATTCTTCACGCCCAGAAATCGCCTATCAAAACACTTTGCGACGGCTACATAGCGCTTGGAGACTGGGTGCGCGAGACATTTTGCTACGACAAATATACATTATTTTTCTGACAGATTGATAATCCGTTCGTAAAGTCGTTGAATTGATTTTGGCGACACCCTGATTTGTTTTGCGCACTAAATGTCGCCGAAATTACTCAAGACGACTTTACGAACGGACAATCGGTCTGTCGGGAAAATAACGAGCATTCTCTCGCACTCAAAACCGCAATGCCGCCGAGAAAATAAATTGTGTCGCGACAAAATCATATTGCTTCTGACTTCAGCAACGCGATTGGCTCAACGACAGGGTGAGCCAATCGAAGAGTCATTATTTTCTCGACAGATTGATAACATTGACACCTTTTCAGTTATGAGTTTCCCCGTCACAATCGTCATTGATTCTCAAGCCTTCAACAACCAAGCCAACACCTTCAAACCGGATGAAGTCAAGGTAAAGAAAAACGGATTCTAAAATTTTTTGTAGGTTGCTTTCTACGATGACAATACGGAATTCCCAAGGCCAACTCAGTTCGCAACTTTTGGTGGATCAGACGCTGTGGAACTTGACATCTCCGCCGTTCAAGACGTAGGTGTTTTATACAGCACAACGCATATGCTCATTTGTACAACTCTATTCTAGTTCTATCAATACGGTAGTGACAATTGTGACTGGCCACAGGTCAGAAGACGGACAAAACCGGTGGACAAAGGTGAGAATCACAAAAAAAATAAAACATCAGTCTGTCGGGAAAAGAATGAGCACTCTGTCGCATCGATAATCGAATTCATCGTCGTGAAAATGAATTTTGTCGCGACGAAATCAAATTTCTTTCCACTTCAGCGACGCCATCGGCGCAGCATTGTGGTCATTATTTTCCCGACAGGCTGATATTTCATTTTTTCTTGAAATGGATTTCTTTCCAGACGAAGTCTGTATATGGCGCAACTACCGCTTCAGCGTTACGTTATCTGAATTTCGAAGCGATCAGAATTACAAAAAGATGGTCCATCCTCAACGAAAATTGGATTGGAAAGGAATTGACAAAGTGTTGGAAAGATCTGATGGAGAAGTGTTTTATCCATTACTGTAAGAACGAGTGAAAGAAAAGAACAGTCAAACAAACCTCTTTACCACCATATCTGAATTCTTACAATTAGTAACTCTGATCCAACTACAGTTCAACCTCTTGTCCAACAAATTGCAAGGAAAAAAAATATTCGTTATAAAAGGGTTTGTTTTGGGGATTCATTCTGGCGTTAAATTGACTCTCAGAACCTCTGAAGTTGTTCGTTAAAGACAGGTTTTGGCCTACAAATGCTTTCGTAAAAAGGTTTTACTGTAATGCAATCTACAATAAAACCCTTGTACAACAACCCTCGCACAACAAAACTTGTCTGTATGGAACAACTTCAGAAGTTCTGAGAGTCAATTAAAGGCCGAAATGAATCCCCACAACAAACCCCTTCTACAACGAATACATTTTTTGTTCTTTTACGATTAGTTCAACCGAGTCTTGACCGTACTTTCAGAACACGACGACTAAAACGGCTGAATGACATCTCCATTGATGCCCATCTCAACATCGGGAAGATGATACAAAGCAAGTACTTGAAGCCAACTTTTGAGGAGAAATTCGCAGAGCAAATACGGTAAGAATACTCATGAAAAGGTAGTAAATAATGAGAAAACTGTACAGTTGAATCTCTACACAACGAAACCTGTCTTTAACGAACAATTATAGGGGTCCCTAGGGTCAATTTCAGACCAAAGTTAACCTCCGTAAAACAAAACTTTTCTATAGCGAATAAATTTTTGTGATCCCTTGTGATTCTTTGTGCAGAGTTTTGACGGTTATTGTAATTTTTAGAACAAAAGTGGAACCGATTCCTATCTCTCCAGAGTGTCTAAATGTGAGATGTAAAGTACTCGTGAATAACTATTTCCAGGCATCTTTATATAACAATCTCAAGCAAGCCTATTTTGAGGCATATGGAAGGATTATTGCCAAGGAGAGAGCGGTAAGTAAATAAAACTGTAACTATCGAAAATTCAAAAGGTCAAAGGGACAATAGAGCTGCATTTGAATCGCGCTTTATACGTAGTGGGAGACGAGATTCTTCTCCAAAAAATTCTTCGTCTACTGTACTCATTACAGCAACTTCCTTGTTAAAAATTTTACTTCCTTTTTTAGTTTACCGGCAAGGTTGGCGACAGCTACCACGGCTACGCCAGCATGTTCCTCTATAAACGCCGATTCTCCCATACCAAGACTCTTCGCTACTACAGAACGAAAGATAATCAACGACAACTTATCGACGTACGTTTAAGAATGAAGGCATCAACTATCAGTCTGCCCGGAAAATAATGAGCACAACGTCGCTTCCAATTCATTTTCTCGGTAGCGATGCGACTTCTGATGCGACAGCGTGCATCATTTTTCCGACAGAGTCATATTCAAGGCAAAAAGTACTGATACTATAATTTGCCGTGCCCAAAAAATCTATCGCCCCGAACGAACCATTGCTCTGCAAAATGGGTTTACAAAAAACTTGACGGAATCTTAAGGCCTATAACCATTTCGGTTAGGTACTCCAAAAAAGTTATAGGCATCAAGGTTCCTTCACGTTTTTCATAAGACTCTCTAATTGTTTTATAAACTGAGATAGTTTTTTTCAGTACATCGCCGAAGTTCAAAACATTTTCAAAACCGCAAACAAATCCATCCACAGTTCTGGGATTTGCAGAGAGATTTTGCCGATGCTAAATAGCTTAATGGCCAGCGAAATGTTCGGCGAACTGAAGGGCCGGCCGGGAACTTCGCGTTTTATGAATGCTTATGGGAGAATCGCTCAAAGGCGAGATGTGAGAGTAATTCAAAAGGACTATATCAGGTAAAATACGTGATGTTTTCAGTTTTCTTTTTTTATCTCGAATCTCAAGCGCCTCGAGAAAAAGGTTTCAAAAGGTCTCCTGGAGGCGTTCTTTCTTCAATATGACCAATCTACTTACTATATCCGACCGTTTTTGACACAGTAGATCGGGCATTTCAAAGAATGAAGGCCTCCGCGGAGACTTTTTGAAACCTTTTTTTTGAATCGCTAGAAAATTCGGACAACAACAGATCACCTTTCAAAATCAACAGTCTTTGTGCCTCCGCGATACTTTTTGATATCAATTTTTGGGCTCCGTCTGGTCTCCTTTTCGACCTTTCGATCGACAGAAGCCTTGCCAGACCAAGACACGGCTCTCTGTTCTCAGGCCGGAACAAAAATTTGAACCGGGCCGGGCCTCAATTTTCGTCGCGGCACGAGAATCATGTCCAGCCGGAACTGTTGTACAGTGGCGGACCTGTTCCAGTGGCAAGAAAACGTACCGTCTTGCATCCAGGAAGGAGCCAAAACCAAAATTCCGCAAAAGCCTCTCGTGTTTATTTACAGGGTGTTCCATCTTTGCGGCCCGATTTGAATTGGCTATAACTTCTTTATTTTTCGACCAAATTTGAAGATTCTTTTTTTTTCCTGAATCCTCAGAATCCCCCATTTTATTTTACACCAAATATGTTGCAGAACTGCAAGGTATGTCATATTTGGTACTAAACAAAATGGGAGACCCCGACGATTCAGGGAAAAAAAGAATCTTAAAATTTGGCCGAAAATTAAAGAAATTATAGCCAATTAAAATCGGGCCACAAAGATGGAACACCCTGTAAATAAAACACGAGAGGCTTTTGTGAAATTTTGGGTTTGATTCTTTTCTGGATGCAAGACGTTTTTGCCACTGGAACAGACCCGCCACTATACAACAGTTCCGGCTGGACATGCGTCACTGTATGATAAAAAACGAATTATTTCAAAGGATTATACGACCCTTTCCAGTCAAAACTTTATGAGTCTGGAGACCCGTTTCCGAACATTGGACCGAGAAGTTGTCAGTCGCGCGCCGGAATACGGGATCTACCAATTTATCGGTAAGAAACCGCCCGAAAAACGTGTTGAATTCGTATTTTACCCATTTTCAGCCGATCTCGGCGGAACTATGGGATTGTATTTTGGATTATCTTTCCTCACGTTCTACGAGTTCTTGGTGTTTATGTTCGTTAAGGATGCCGCAATCGGCAATGAGCCACCGCCAAAACGGACAATAATTTACAATGGAGAGAAGCGAAAGGCGACGAGGAAAAATCGCGACTGCTTTTCGGCCGAGATGAGAAAACCTAAGGTGGTGTAGAGATCTGGAGCTTTAACCTGGGCCATTTTTAAACCATTTCCTTCATCAAAATTTATATTACCAAAATTTATATTATCCATGACAAATTTTCATTCTCAAATTGTCTAAATTAGTATAATCTATCGTCTATTAGTTCTATTCACCCGTAAAATTGAATGAAAAAATGATAAATGGACTAGAAAAAATCATATAAATAATATTACATGATCTACGAACTGGTCGGATCACTAAACTCAACGATCTGCTGATGAAGCTCGTCCAGACATCGCCCGATCTCTGAGTACTTCTCATCCATATCAAAGTCTCTGAAACGACCTATTTTACCTTTGGACACGAGAAGTGGCGATAAATGCGCAGTTTAAAAAAATCGAAAAGATGACTGCACTGTGCGAAAAATTTAAAATCCGCGAAGAAGCTATTTTAATTAGAAATTTGAGTAGTCGAGCACAAGAATTATACTATTTGCTCCAAGGTTTACTGTCTGTATCAAAACTCTGATCAAAAAATAGATATAAGTCTTCGCTGGATATTATCCATGAGGTGTTCAATATGAAAAAACCTCCAAATTTTCATTTTCCAAGAACATTTTTTGCTTCAAAATGCTAGTTTAGAATTTCAAGTTCATATTTTGTCAATATCCCTCATCAAAAGCAGAGATTGCCACGGTCAAAATTTCGGCTCCGGCTCCGGCTCTTAGCTCCCAGAGCCGGAGCCGAGGCCAAATTTGCAGCTCCGGCTCCGGCTCTTGGCTCCGTGCAAAATGTTTTTTTTAAAATATTTTTCCAAAAATAAAAGTTATTAGTGCCAGAGATCATACAGCCAACGTTTTTGCAGTCAAGTCACATCCTCCGCAGTGTTTTTCAGGCAATTTGGTTTAACAAGATCACAGAATTTTTACTTTTCTGACCGCTGGGAAGCCTGGCTCCGTCTTTGGGCTCGGGAGCCGGAGCCGACCCCAAAATTTCCGGCTCCGGCTCTGGCTCCCGGCTCGGAGCCGCTCAGAGCCGGAGCCGAGAGCCGGCTCCGGAGCCGTGGCAATCTCTGATCAAAAGTTAGAATTTCAAATAATAAACTCAATTTTCTAATCAATCTTGTTGATGTCCAACACCTACCTTAGAGGATCGTCAAACTCCGTCAACTGTTGGTGGAGCGCTGTGAGCCTCAATTGACCTTCGTGCATCGCTCTTAGTTTGTTTACTTGCGCATCTGTTACTAAAAACGGAACAAAATAACAAAAATATCGAACAAACTTACAAGACCTCATCCTTCCGCCTCTAAAATCCTCCAAATGCTCTTCCAACGAGATCTGAACCGCCTCTCGCTCATTGGCACGACGTTCCATCGGCGAGGGACTCACGGGAGATATGCTTCCAGGTCGGAACTGCGCCGTTTTTGAGGGATCCGTCGATGATTCGAACCAAACTTCATCAGGCGAACATTGGGTTTCATTTATATCGCCGGATTTGAATTCCGGAGTTAGTTGAAGAGGATCAACGGGAACATCACGGACTTCGGTGGGCTCTACTTGAACTACGAAGGTGCTGGAACAAGACTCAGCTGATTCTCCAGCAATTTGTATTTATTTCGCCTCAAAATCAACAAAAAATTTAAAATCTCACTTCTCCGGTTGTGTTGGTGATGTTTTATTGTGTGGATTCAATTTATGCAGGAAACTCAACGATCCTCGGCCTCCAGTAGCTGCCGGAGTGGAATGTTCGCTTTTGGAACGGTTTCCTGACTAAGAATTGAGATAAATATCAAGTACAATATAATTTCTATCCAATATTAGAAAATAAATGTACTTACTTTGGACAGCATGAGCAACAAGTTGTCAATAAACAAAGAGAAAGTCAGGAATCTCCAAAACTCCGAAAAAATTATTTTCTAAACGCAATAATTTTCGCAGACTGCGCGGAGCTTGGGCGCATGTCGCCCAATGGAACACAGCTTTCAATGGCACATTTTATAACCAATAGGCCTTGTTTGGAAGACGAGAAGTGAAATCACATCTTACAGGGGAAGTACCCCAAGTGCGTCGCTCAGATTTCGATGAAACTTGGCACAAATTTAGAATAATTTTTTCTAAAATATATGCGAAAATCCTAGCTCGCGCTTTGCAGAAACAGCCGAGATTTTTAGACCGAAAGTCGGCGAAAGTTTGACAATTTTTGTCGAATTTTGGCACGAAAAGTTTCATGCCTATTTCTAATGTTTCGCCTGCGGTAACATACCATTTCGGGCATAAAATTGGCTACTGTAACCAGATGCACTTTTAAATACGGCAAAAAGAAACTCCAACCTTCATCCAATAACCCATAAAAATTTCAAAAAAATCAAATATACAACTTTTGAGAAAATGGGCATTCAATATCTCATGTACAAGGTCATCTGGGCCCGAAAAAATCTGGCATTCTTGGGATTCCAACGGGATGCACTTTTTCAAAGTTTCTAATACATTCTGAGGCTGATTAAAGATGATATGGCAAGTTTCAGGAGAAAAAAATATACAACTTTCGAGAAATTGACCAAAATACCTTATTTTAGGTCATCAGAACGCCGAAAAAGTCTGGCATTCTTAGGTTTCCAACGGGATGCACTTTTTCAGAGTTTCTAGTACATTCTGAGGCTGATTAAAGATTAGAGGCTGTCAAAAAGTGCTACAACCTCAAATCCCAAGAATGCCAGTTTTTTCGGGGTTCTGATGACCTAAAATAAGGTCTTTTGGTCAATTTCTCGAAAGTTGTATATTTTTTTCTCCTGAAACTTGCCATACCATCTTTATTCAGCCTCAGAATGTATTAGAAACTCTGAAAAAGTGCATCCCGTTGGAAACCTAAGAATGCCAGACTTTTTCGGCGTTCTGATGACCTAAAGTAAGGTATTTTGGTCAATTTCTCGAAAGTTGTATATTTTTTCTCCTGAAACTTGCCATACCATCTTTATTCAGCCTCAGAATGTATTAGAAACTCTGAAAAAGTGCACCCCGTTGGAAACCTAAGAATGCCAGACTTTTTCGGCGTTCTGATGACCTAAAATAAGTTGTTTTGGTCAATTTCTCGAAAGTTGTATATTTTTTTCTCCTGAAACTTGCCATATCATCTTTATTCAGCCTCAGAATGTATTAGAAACTCTGAAAAAGTGCATCCCGTTGGAAACCTAAGAATGCCAGACTTTTTCGGGGTTCTGATGACCTAAAATAAGGTCTTTTGGTCAATTTCTCGAAAGTTGTATATTTTTTTCTCCTGAAACTTGCCATATCATCTTTATTCAGCCTCAGAATGTATTAGAAACTCTGAAAAAGTGCATCCCGTTGGAATTCCAAGAATGCCATACTTTTTAGGCGTTCTGATGACCTAAAATAAGGTATTTTGGTCAATTTCTCGAAAGTTGTATATTTTTTTCTCCTGAAACTTGCCATATCATCTTTAATCAGCCTCAGAATGTATTAGAAACTTTGAAAAAGTGCATCCCGTTGGAATCCCAAGAATGCCAGATTTTTTCGGGCCCAGATGACCTTGTACATGAGATATTGAATGCCCATTTTCTCAAAAGTTGTATATTTGATTTTCTTGAAATTTTTATGGGTTATTGGATGAAGGTTGAAGTTTCTTTTTGCCGTATTTAAAAGTGCATCTGGTTACAGTAGCCAATTTTATGCCCGAAATGGTATGTTACCGCAGGCGAAACATTGCTTAGATGTAATTCTGAGCTTTTGGCCATAATTACAAAAATGTTCTACATGGTCGAAAACATAAAGTGGTGGTTCGGTCTCACTAAAGTACCGCACCATATCTGCAGAAAAGGCAACTCTTTTCTCAGAAAGAAAGTTACAGTAATCCACCATATAACGACTATGGGCAAAAAAATCAAGCGATCGCTCCATACCGATTGGTGATTCGGTTAACCAATTTTGGTTGAATTCTGAGACATCGACTCAACAATGTCCGGGCCAATCTACGATTTGTAGTAAAACGCGTTTTAAATTGGGACGAACAGACATTGCCGCTGTCGAACTTCTCGTTGCGTAGCTCCGCTGCAGCGCGCTGTCAACTTCAAAAGTAACACTTGACTCTGCTTTTGTGAGCCAAGTTTCTTCTTCTTCCTTCCGGCAAGCTGATGTAATAACGGGGAAGTTCTTCTGGAAAACAATTGACGTGTCAAACAAATCGGAAGTTTCTTTCGCTGCGATACTTCTTCAATGGAGCCAAAGGAACGTCTGCGAGCTCAGATCAAAGTTCTTACTGGTAGGTGTACTTACTATACACGATTTAGGTCCTATATGTTCTTGTTTTATGGTTAACAAGCTACAAAGTCGCTCAACATCCTGCTCATTTTTTGTGAGGAGGAGAACTTGAATCTTTTCTAAATTTATATTATAATATTTTATCTTTTCAGAAAGAGTCGACAGGCATGTGGAATTGCCGAATTATGGTTTTGGAAATCCAGCGCTGAGCGACTTCAAAATCCGAGCTAAAGACAAGACCTTTTACGTAAGACAATACATATTTTATCGATTTTTGTTGCAAATTTAGGTATCAAAATATCAGCTGGCTGTGAAGTCCAGAGTGTTCGCAAAAATGTTCGAGGTTGACATGAATGAGAAGAAAGAAGGTGTAATGAAGCTTGATGACGACCCCGATGTTGTTGAGGCCATGTTGAAATACATGTACATGTACAAGAAAGTGGAGGGAATAGAGTTGGCGAGGAAAGTTGTTCAACTGGCTCATCGTTACGAGATCGATGAACTAAAGGTCAGTACAAAGGGTTTATCATCGCCAATTTGCTTTGAAAAGGGCAATAAAAACACCCAAAAAAAACCAAAAGTCATGCTTTAATTAACTGGTAAATAAGAGTAAAGGGTCATAAAAAATAGCATTTTAGGATCAATGTGAGCTCGACATGATTCGAGGTTTGAAGGAGAAGGACGCAGAAGACATTCTTATGTTCTCTTGGGAACTCAAGCTTTCTACTTTATATTTGCATTGCATTGACGTCTTAAATAACAACTTCGATGGATTTGATCATGACATTACGTTCAATTGCGACTAATCATAGCAATGTGGAGATCGCTTTCAAAGTATATACCTGTCTAGGGCTTCGTATGGACCACTTTCGAACGATTGGGCCTTCGGAAAAGTTAACTTTATCGGCGGACACGTTTAATGATACATTCGAGGAGATAGCTGTTGTATACTATGCACCGTACGTTCCGGATTTCTTCGATTACGACGATCTTCATCTTCTTTCATCTGCACGATTCTTTACCGTTCGTTGTAGAGGAGGATAATAAAAAGCTTATCAAATTGGGACAGGATAATATCCCGTTCCAATTATTAATAATATTTTCATAAACTAACGATATTCCGATTTATAATAATTCAATAAAAATATTTTTAATAAATTAATCCGAATCTCCATCGTCGCTCTGTTGATTGATAATGTTCTGCAATAACTCGACTTGTTCGCTCCAAAAATGTTTGAAGGTTGGCAGAGCCGTCCTGACTCGCTTTTCCAGCAACCCCTTTAGATGTTCTATGATTCGATACACAACTTCTAGAGTAGCGTTAGTCGCGTCAGCGCCATAGATCCTATTTTTGACGTCTTTCCTGGAATTTTTTCGGAGAAATTAAGCTGTGTTTGGGAAAATACGAACAGTATATTTGATTTTTGTCGTTTTAAAGCCTTTTTCGGGATTTATTAAGTGTTTTATACACAAAAAACCATCAAAAATCAGGGAAATCCCAACAAATCATCATTTTTTGACATTTTTTTCAAATTTTATGCTCATAAATTTTAGAACATAAGCTCTAAATAGCTACATAATGTCACTTACAATTCCATTTTGCTCATCAAAAGTATTGATACATTCTTCTGCAGGCCAAAACTTGGTTTTACATCACTCAGGTACATGGTGCTAAAGCAACATAAATCCCGAAAGAAAACAAAAAACCAACTTTGGAATCGCTAATTCATCGATTATCCTCTTTTTCTCCTCGCTCACATCCAATCCAATCGCTGCTGCTAATGCGAAAAGGACATCTGAAAAATGGAGCTTGGTGTCATGGATAATATAATATCGCAAAAACTGGTGAACAGATTTTAATGAAATTTAACAGAGTCAAATAATATGCTATGAAAGTATGTCAGGAAAAGCGTCAGATCGCGTTTTGCTGAAATGGTCAAGATATACCACTTTTAAGTCATCAAAGATCGCTTTTGGAAAAAGTCCCCAAAATCTTGGTTGTTTCTGCAAAGCGATGTCTAAAATTTTCAGAAAAGAAAATAAATCCTTTTCAGACAACCTCTACCAAATTTGAGACATACCTGACAATCACCCTTTATGTAATTTACATATCCAATCAAGTGTCATGGATAATATAAAAACTTCCCAAAACCCTTACTATTCGGAATATCCACTCGATTGAAGATGTTGTGAGGTATGCTGAACCCATATTCGACCCATAACCGAAGATTGTCATGCGGACCATAACATACGAAGATCTCATCACCTTCATTTACACATCTATATTCGGCGTTAACGCAATACGTATTTGAGTGTTTGTCGAAGAAAGCCAAGGCTTGAGCATTGGGACTGTGGTTGAGCATATCCATGACGGGAATGATGGCCAGCGTGTCCGTGAGTTTGGAATTTTCCACCAACGGATGCTCGGGGTTTTCGAGGTATACACATCTAGTATTTACAACATGCCAGGCCCAATTGAGATGAGGAATGTCAATGTGGCGGGTGTCTAGGACTCTGCTGAGCTGAAAAAGTCATTTTTGTGATGTTTTGAATATGAGGGCGCAATGTCAATATCGATTTTTGGAAAATCTCGAAAAAATCAATATTGACATTTCGTCAAATGACGAAAAACGGTCGAAACAGTGGCAATTAGGGGTTTATGGAAACTCGACAGAATGAAATTGGACAGAGTAAACTAGACAGAAGGAAATTGGGCAGAGTATGGAGAGATTGGACAGGGGGAAACTCGAGAGAAGGAAACTCGACAGATTTTTTTCATTGCAATCGTACGAAATGTCACCACTGAATCTTTACTTATCAAATAATTATTCTTTGCAGTGAAAAAAATCTGTCAAGTTTCCCTCTGTCCAATTTCCTTCCGTCGAGTTTCACTCTGTCCAATTTCACTCTGTCGAGTTTCCATAAAGCCGCAATTACTCAGAAACGACATTAAGAACCGTTTGTCATAAATATGTCAGCCTTTTCAACAATTTTGAAATAATTGAAACAACATCAATATTGACAATTTGCAAAAAAATCAACTCTTTTAAAACACCAAACATCACTCCTCACCTGCTCTCTGAGATATATAAATTCATTTTTTTGTTTCATCAACAACTCCATGGCTCGCTTTGGCAGCTCTTCCATGGTGAACTTCTTCTCCAAGTCAACGTAATTCTGCGCCAACGGAGTGTCGAATGTCTTGGGCAAGGAGGCAAAATATGGGTGGAAGAAGGCATCCTCCTTCCTCTGACTTTCCAAGTAAAAGAACATGACAAGAATTGAGAAGGCTTCGACACGATGGCTAAAATTTTTAATTTTGGGATGATGACCATGGAAAATATTGAAAATTTTGATGGGAAATAGTAAAATACGGCATTCCAAAATCATGCGAACGATTTTACAGGCCTTACCGTTCAAGAATATTCTTATATTCGGGCATGTCTGCAACCATTCCCGCTGTTATCATCAAATGTTTTGGGATCTAGAAATAGGTATCTAAACTACTTAGATTTTGGATAAAATCCATATTTTTGAAATCAAAGCCTACTCTGAGGAAGGTTTCATTAAGTCGTATCGTCTTCTTTGCGAACACCCCACATCCTCGATCTTCTCCACAATATTTTACTTCCACAAGGTCCATAACTGCGCCTTCATTTTTGGCCCATTGAATCAAGGAAGTGATCGCCGCTTCCTTCATGGTAATGTGAAAGACACTGTAAACTATATACTAATTCATATTTGGCTATCTAATAATCGAAAATACAGTAATCCCCGGCGAAATTCCCGAACATCCACTAAAAATTTGATGTGCTCCCAATAAAAGGTCGTTTTATACATGAATTGCCTTAGGTGTTTCGTAATGAACAGTCAAAATAGAATCACCATTCAATTGGACGCATTTTTAGTCAACATGCCCTTAGGGTTTTTTTTGAGGAACGATCGAGAATTAACGGGTATTTGAAACACCATCTGCTGATCCGGAAGAGGAATAAAAACACGTTCGAGCAGTAAACAAAAGGCATCAAACACGTGGCTCATGACGAAAACTAATTAGCAGGGAGATTGCCACCTGTGAACACCGATCTCTGGGCGAACGCCTACGGGTTCAGCCCGAGAATTGCAATATTTCCGGGAAATTAGGGAAAAGTAGGAAGTTTACAAAGAAAAGAGGCGAATTCAAACAAAAACTTCTGCAAATTAGCATTGGCTGCGCCGGGAAGAGTAAACTGATCGCACACAGAGGCTTTCAAGAGCGAGATCAGAGGGGGGTTTGGCCAAAGAACGGCCGAAAACAGGAATGATTGACAACTGACCTCATGTGCAATATAAAAGGATTAAAACTAAAATTTTTTGGAGTAAAATTACAAAATAAAGAGTTATTATAACCTAAAATACGACAATTTACACTAAAACTTCCGTTTTTTGCGCAATTCGAGAAAAATTATTTATTTTTGACACTTCGTCGCAACCAATGGATTCTGTGACACTACGCAGCGAAGCTTGTTTTTCTTTCCGGATTTTTGGAAAACATCTGTAAAATATTTTCCCAGCTCTCTTGGCCCGTTCTGGCTTGTTTATCGTGAAAGAATTGTGAGAGTTGTCTAAAATGGATATGGATGATGAAGATTATGGTCTGGTAAGTTTTTTTGATGGTTATTCGCCTTTTTTCTTGATGGTTTAGATAACACAGAGCATGAGGATGCTTGTTAGTCGTTTTGTTTGTCATAAAATCAGTTGAATCGCTAGTATTTCTCTAAAAAAATAGTAAAATTAATAGCTTTCTCCCAATTTTCGTCCACGGTTTTTTTGCAACCTAATTTGCCCAACAAATTATTCATGGACGAAAATTTCAGGAGTATTCCGACGATTCCGGATCCGAGCCTGATGTAGCTTTGGAAAATCAGTATTATGCGGCGAAGAGTCTGAAATCGGATGGAGATTATGAAACAGCCCTTGATACCTTCCGTGAGGTCGTTGAACTTGAGAGTGACAAGGGAGAGAAAGGCGATTGGGGATTCAAGGCGTTGAAGCAGATGATCAAGTTGACTTTTAAGATGGTAGGTGGTTTAAAATTGTTGTTTCTTGTTGTTTAGGTAAAATGTGATGTCTGGAAGGCTTGAAAGACTTTTTTACGAAGGTTTAAATGGCTTTTTTGGCCATCAACCTCTACTGCAATATAATTTTTATCTTCGAATTGTTTCAGGAGCGCTATGATGCTATGTTAAAGCACTATACCAAGTTGTTGACCTATATTAAGTCTGCTGTTACCAAGAATTATGCCGAAAAGAGTATCAATTCCATCTTGGATTATGTTTCGACTTCCAAGAAAACAGAACTTCTCCAAAATTTCTACCAGATCACTCTAGACGCTTTAAAAGTGAGTTTTAATTTGTTTGAAGTGTTTTTTGATTTTAGGCTGCTGAAATGAAAAAAAAAAATAAAATTTTTTGTCATGTGTAATATAATTTTTTTTGTTTAGGACGCCAAAAACGATCGTTTATGGTTCAAGACCAATATAAAGCTGGGAAAATTATATTTCGACCAAAAAGAATACGAAAAATTGGAGAGAGTTCTGAAGCAGCTCCGCCAATCCTGCAAGAATGAGCAAGGAGAGGAGGATCAGAAGAAAGGAACCCAATTGCTCGAAATTTACGCGCTGGAAATTCAAATGTACACCGAACAGAAAAATAATAAGGAACTGAATCGTCTATACGAGCAAGCTGTGCATGTGAAATCCGCAATTCCACATCCACTCATCATGGGTAAGATAAAAGTGGTTTTGCTATTTGAAAGTGAGCTATAAAATGGGTGAAATTGATGTTGAGAGAATGATTGAGACTTAGAGGAAATATGGTTTTTATTTGGGGATGGAATATTATAGTTGAACATGTTTTTGGACAAAAAATTTATATTGTACTAGATACTGATGTAAAATTGGATTTTTTTTTGATTTTTGTGTTTGATTTGGCTGAATTTTGAAATATAAAAAAGTGTGAGGCTATAATATATCCATTGGTTATATTTTTTTTCATCTTCAATAGCATTTTTTATCAAATTTTATATTGTAGTAGGTGTTGATGGAAAAGTCGAAAAATTTTCTTTGTTTTTGCAAAAATTTAGTGCGGATTGAAATCAAAAATGGAATATGAGACCAAAAGAAATAAAATGGTGTCGTTTTCTGGTCCAAACTGGAATTTTACATTAGTTTTTTCGGTCAAAAACTTATATTGTAGTAGATGATGATCAAAAATCTGATCATTTTCCCAATTTTTGGTTCGAGATTTGTTTTTATTGATATCTCTAGGCTTCATAAGGTGTACTAAGACTATCTCAAGAAATTTTGTTGAGGTGTAAGAACATTTTTACGATGATTTATATTGTACTAGGCATCAATTGAAATTTGATAAATTTTAACCTCATAACGCATATTTTCACGGTCAAAATGGCTGATAAAACAACCTCATGTCTCGTTAATTTCAGGGACGGTTCGAGAATGCGGCGGGAAAATGCATCTGCGGAACGGCGAGTACTCGAAAGCGAACACCGACTTTTTCGAGGCCTTCAAAAATTACGACGAATCCGGGTCGCCCCGACGAATTGTCTGCCTGAAATACGTCGTCTTGGCCAATATGCTGATGAAGTCGGATATCAACCCATTCGATTCGCAGGAAACGAAGTCGTTCAAAAATGAGCCGGAGATTGTTGTGATGACCCAATTGGTCAGCGCCTATCAGGACAATAACATTGAACTGTTCGAAAAGATCATCGAAGACAACAGACAGAGCGTGATGAGCGATCCATTCATCAGAGAGCATATTGAGGAGTTGTTGAGCAATGTGAGAAGTCAGGTAAGGGATCTGGGAATTTGAATTTTGAATTTCCCGCCAAAAATATTTTTAGGATTTAGAGGGAATGATGGGCTAGAACATGGTGATAGGAGTCCATGTGAGTGTTACTAGACATTTGAAAGATATTTTTTGGATTTTGTGTTAGTGTAAAGAGATTTGGAAATTTGAATTTTGATTTTTGATTTTCCCGCCAAAAATATTTTTTTGGGATTTGGAGGGAATGATGGGCTAGAATATGGTGATAAGAGTCCATGTGAGTGTTTCTAGACATTTGAAAGATGTTTTTTAGGTTTTAGGGCAGTAAGGGAGATTTTGGAAATTTAAATTTTGATTTTCCCGCCAAAAATATATTTGGGGATTTAGAGATGGGCTAGAATATGGTGATAAAAGTGCATGTGAATGTTACTAGAAATTAGAAAGACGCTTTTTGATGTTTTATGGAAGTAAGGGAGATTTGGAAATTTTGAATTTCCCGCCAAAAATATTTTTAGGGATTTAGAGGGTGAATGGGGTAAAATACGGGGTATGGACGATATGAATGTTATTAGAGACACTCTAAAGATATTTCGTGGGGTTTTAGGGAAGTAAGAGAGATTTATAAAATTTGAATTTTGGGTTTCCCGCCAAAAATATTTTTGGGGATTTAGAGGGTGAATGGAGTAAAATGTGGTGATAAAAGTCCATGGAGTGTTAATAGAAATTTGGAAGACGTTTTTTGATGTTTTAGGGAAGTAAGGGAGATCTGGAAAATTTGAATTTTTATTTTCCCGCCAAATTTTTTTTTGGGGATTTAGAGATGAATGGGGTAAAATATGCTGGGGGTAGTTCATATGAGTGTTACTAGACATTTGAAAGATGTTTTTTTGGATTTTGTGTTAGTGTAAAGAGATCTGGAAAATTTGAATTTTTATTTTCACGCCAAAATTTTTTGGGGATTTAGGGGGAATGATGGGGTAAAATACGTTGTTTGTAGTTCGAGTCGAGTGTTTATACTATGTGAATGTTATTACACACTTTAAAAGTTTTTCCCGCTAAAATCGGAATCTCACAAACTCTTCGAAAATATTTGTCTTTCTATAAAATCCGATTTTTAGGTCCTCCTGAGTCTGGTTCGACCCTACAAAACAGTAAGACTAGCCTACCTCTCGGATCAGCTTCGTATTCCGCAAGATGAAATTATCCGTCTGCTGGTGGAGTTGATCCAAGAAAAGAAGATCAATTTGAAGATTGATTACGTCCGCGGAGTCCTCTGCACCATCCCCGACGAATTTCAAGGCATCTCTCGCGAACGCCACGAAGCCTTCTTGGGCATGCACCGACAATTAGAAACCCTGAGGAAAAGCATCGTCGATAAAGTACAGTAACCCAAATTTGGCTACTGTAATTTTTTTGAAATGAAATATTTTGTCGTCTAATATTTGTTGAATTAATTTTATTCATTCCCAGAACGTGTATTTTTTTGGTAGAGTCCAGCTTTTATAAGTTATTTTGACTTCAAATAAAGGCAGAATAACATGGTGAAAATTCGGGAGATTTATGGTGATTATAGCCGTTTTTCCAAGGAAATCGGTGTGCAATACCTTTGTTGGGAGTTTTTCTGTATTTTTGAGGGGTTCAGAGGCGTTTTTGAAAGGTTTCAGGTTTTCGTGGTGGGACCTGAGGGAGATGGAAATGTGATTTTTTTTTGATAATTTAAAGGCCTGTATAAGTAAGGTATTAATTGTTGTTAGTAAAATTAATTTTAGAAGATGTGTGATCTTTCTGACAAATTTGGAGAGTTTTGGAATTTTGAAAATTTTCGTTGCGGGACCCAAATCAAAAATTCAAATTAGTTGCTAGATGGAAAATATACGGCTAGTGGATGGGAATAGAACTTGATGATAGTATTTCCAGTGTATTTAAATTCGTTCTTGATCTTTAAATGACTTTTTTTAGCTCAAAACTGTAAAAAATGACATGGTGAATATAAAAATTTCTATTATTTTTTTTATTTATAGATAAAATGTCCTCCTACGTCGCACATGATTTGGAGTCCCGCAAACGCCATCTCCGACAGCTGGCGGCGAAGCGACGAGAATTGATGGAAGCTTTGGAGAATTTGGAAACCCAAATCTACAACTTTGAAGCCTCATACCTCCAAGAAACCAGCGACCTCGGCAATATTGTGAGAGGTAAGGGATTTTCACATTGATTTTTGACGTTTAGAATGCTGTTTGAGAATGAAAATTAAAAAAAAATTTTTTTTGAAATTGTGAAAAATTCCAAATTTTCACAAAAAAAAATCGGCGATTTTTCCAGGATTCGACGGCTACGACATTGCCAACCCAAATCCCATCCCCGCGCCGCCGCCAATCGGCCAAAAGCGCGCGTTCACGGAGGAGGAGCGCATCTTCTCCTTGTCCTCCACCACTTCCCCCGTCTGGGAACGCATCAAAGACCCCAACTTTAAGATCCCAATTGAGCCAACAGCCCCGGCCACCGCCAAATCCACCGACATTTCCACCCCACCCAGCTCGGCACCCCCAACTCCGGGCCCGGCGCCGAAGAAGATGAAATACGCGAAGAATGAGGAAGAAGAAGAGGAAAAACCCGCAACCAAGAAGATTAGAGGCCGATTGCCAAGGAGAAAACGAGCCGGCAAGGAGTAGCGGGAATTTTGGAAGAGGTTTTTAGCGATTTTTTGGCGGAAAATTAACGAAAATTTTGGAAAAAGTGAAAAATTTTGAATTTTCTCCAATTGTTGGGAAAAATGAGAAATTTTTTTTTGATATCGTTTAATATTTTTTCTTCGATCTCAATCGATATTGTACAGCGAGTATTTTGAATTACTTTTGTATCATTTTTTAGAAATTCCCATAAATTTCGACTGACTTACAATCGCTGCTGGGTTTAGAAGGCAAAATCAAATTTATTATTTCTAAATTAGAGATGCAAAGCATCTTTGAGTAAAAAATATTGTTACAATTGTATAAACTGACATGAGATGTTCCTCATATTCTATTCTATGCGGGCGTTGATTAAACAGAGATGCAAGACACGGCTTCGGGGTGTCCCAAAGTTAAGGAAGAAGCCACTGACACGGTTCTTTTGCGAGCACCCACCAGTTCCCCTTTGAGCCCTCGGATCTCCGCCGAAAGCACCGGTTTCAGCATGAAACTTTTTGGCGCTATAGAAGAGACTTAGATTTATACTATAAGTGTCTTATGAGCCAGCTAGGATCAACGGCGACTTCGCAGCGCACCTTTTAAAACAAATCTCCAGTTTTCGTCCAAAATTTTAGAATTTTGTCACTAACTCGAAGCATAACGACGCTGAAAAGTTAAAAATTTTTGTGTTCGGTACGTACTCGGTGGGGGAACAACACAAAGCTTGACAGTTGGCCTAAGCCTTATCAGTTTCTCACTGCAACACTAAATGTTGCGCAAGAGCCAGAATATGCGCGTCCTTTTCTCCCCTTGAAGCGCGTTACTTATAATTTTTAATATTGTGCTTCCACTTTTTGAAAACCGCATAATGGAAAACGGGATGATGATTATTTCTTACGAAAAATATCTACTTTTTGAGGTGGTAAGTAGTGTTTAAAGCGTCATGTAGAAGGTACCTACTAGCGTCATGTAGTAGGTGCGTTGCGTCGTCCTTTGACTTTTTTTTATAAAGTTACAGACATGGGTTTCACTTTGCATAAATTTCGTGACGGACGTTTTGAAAGTCTTTTCGATACCGGTGTTGCAGCTGATTGTGGGATACTTGGAACATAGACTTGTTTTCACAGTCATTATGATGGGAATAATTGTAAGTCGCCTCGAATTCGTCAAACTCTTTGTTTCGCAAAGAAATTACTTTTATGGAGGGTCCTGCGTTCCGACGGGACATACCTCAAAAAATCCGAAAAATTGTGCTGATCAAGAATACATAAAAATTAGCTGCCCATTTTTGGGTTTACGATAAAAAGCGCAGTCGGTCTCTTCCTCCGGAAGAGAGCGGTGTGGCCGAGTGGCTAGTGCCGTAGTCTGGGAATCAAGAGGGGGTTGCCGCACGGGTTCAATTTTCCTTTTGGGCCGAATAAACTTTTTTTTGAAGTTGAAGGTCAGAAAGATAAATTTTTGTGCCAAATCTTATTTATTACGTCTCAGAAACTCAAGAAACATCATTTTAAGCTAAAACAAGATTTGTAAACCTATGAAAAATTAAGCGAAAAGAGGTTTATGTAGGACTTTAAGTCAACTTCTGATTGATTTTTCACCCCGAAAACCCTAAATTGGGCAGCTATTTTTTATTAGGTTGTCCAACAAATAATGACCCTCTGTGAGAGGGGCAAAGTTTAAAGCCTCTAAAAAAGGCAAGCGATGATGGAATTTCAAAATATTATAACATTTTGTAGCTGAGATTTCAGGCTTTCGTCTGATGTATCGTTTGTCATATTGGGACCAAATTACAGTAATTTAGCCATAATCGAAAATTATCAAAAAAAAGTCGGTTCGCGCTGTCATCTTTTACGGGCAAAAACAGAATGCGAAAGTTTCAGAAGCTATGCAAAGTATCAACGCTATGTTCGACTAGTGTGTTCTGAGCCTGAACACGGTGAAACGATGGATTTAAAAATTACGATTTGACGGCAAGGGACCAAAAGATAAATACGGAATCCAAACTTTATCAATTTTTCCTGAGGTCGTCGGTTGACGAACATCCTAGAATCAACATCCAACGCGTCTCTGACATCGTCTGGCTGTTGAAATAATCGGCGGCTAACCATTCGATGTCGATGAAATTCAAAAAATGCTCGGCAACTTTTTCCCATGTTATTGGATCAAAGCAAAGAGTGGAAGCATTACATTTCTCGCGTTTGCGTGCCGTTTCCTGGATCGAATCGTTGCCTCTGATGAAAAGAGGACCTACTGGGACAACTAGACCAGATATACTGAACGGAGTCCTCCGAGGGTAACACTGCGGCACTTGTCAAAGCCCGACTCCCCCCAAAACAAGTTGATGACTAGTTCTTGATAGTGCAGCATGGGAATAGTACAATACAGCTTCTTGAAAGCTGGCCAAAATGTAGATACCATCCCCTACTGTATCCAGACAGACAGTTTGTGGCAGCGTCTGTCTTCAACGATGCGCCGCAGAAGTCCAAAAATTCTTTGCGGCTACCTGGAACCTCCCCTTTGAAAGATGACCCTCCATAAGCCGATTTAATAGAGATACGAGACTGTCCCTCGTCCAGCCTATTTGTCAAAGCTGGCCTATACACATTACCATAAGTTCAAGAATCTAGCACGTTTCATCAGTGGTAGGGAATTCGACAATCAAGACACCCTTGAAAAGGCCTTCAAAAGTTTCGTCGGCTCCAGAAGCCGGGGTTCCTAAGCTACAAACATAAAAAACTTTTTGGCACGTTGTAACAAGCGTGATAAAGCACATGATAATTATTTTGATTAAATAGATCGCAGTTATTACGGTAAATTTTGCCAAAAAAGTAAATTTTTCGAAGAGGGTCATTATTTGTTGGACAACCTAATACATATCCTGGATCAGCACAATTTTCCGGATTTTTTGAGATATGTCCTGTCAAAAAGTAGGAGCCCCCATAAAAGTACTTTCCTTTCAGATATTCCCATTCCTTTTCCTCCTGGATATTGTTGGCGCTTACATCAACACGTACATCCGTCGAAAGGAATTCGATGACACCGAAAAGCCGATGCCCAAATACGCTGTTCCGCGTCTTTTGCACTACTGCGACAAGGTGATTTCGCTTGAAGAATACAGAAATATGAAGTTGGTTGGCTGCGCTGGAATTGTTTACGATATCTACGCGGTGCTGCAAAATGCTTTTTTAATTTTCTCTTTGATTTACTTTTATGACAAGTCGGAAGAAGAGATTAAAAAAATTATTAATTGACATGTCGCGTGCTTTCGATTTTTTCCGCCTAAGATACGAAAACTGTCAACATCAGCAATCAGCACAGAAACCCCCAAATCGAGTATTTGTGAAAAAAATTCAAAAAATTACTACTTTACAGTACTACCTAAGTAAGGAAAAAAGTAACGATCAAAAAAATAAGTGTGATTTTCGAAATCAGCACCCTCGATTATCCTATTAATTGCGACACTTGTGGCGAAGAAAAATAATACTTTTCGATTTCCCCCAATCGTCCAACTCCGAGCAAAAACATGCTTACATTTCAGCGATATTTCGATGCACAGTGCAAAGTGAACTTTCGATTTCGCAGAGTGCATGCCGCCGATTTCCGTCCGGCGACTTTCCGGAAGGACTAGTATTAGTCTGTCGGAAAAATAACGGCGGATCGTCGCGCCTCGGTAACTAAACATCAGTTATTGATATCCTGTGTTTTTATTAGGGTAGTACCCCAAATTCGCAAGTGCGGTTATAATTTTGCGACACCGAAAAGTATTATAATTTTGGTTTTTCCAGCTTTTCTCTAAAATACGGAAACTCCTCAAAATAATTTTTTGGGACATCATTTCTAGTACACTGATGCACATTGGTGCCAAATATCACACATTTCTATTCACAATCACAAAAGTTACACTCATTTTTAAAGTGCGGTTATAATTATGACGCATACTGTATTATATACTGCACGTCAAAAGTTTGGAACAGGCCAGATCTTCTTTGCGGCTTGAGATGGGAGTTTCATTTCTTTTTTATTCGAAGCTCCATGTATTAAGAACCTCAATGAATACATAGCCATGGAAATCAGAAAGCTCGTTGGAATTTAAAAAAAAATTTTAAAAAATAAGTGCGTCAAAAGTTTGGAACAGCTTTTGGAAGGTGATTATAAACTTCGGGATGGAGGCAGGTATCCTCGCATTTAGTGTTTCTGGATGATGTATGGAATCGGCATGCCAATGGCATACTGATTTTCATCGATAAACCCAAAATGAAAAAAATGCTTATTGAGCCAAAAACTACGGTCAAATTTGCGAAAAAATGAATTTTTTGGTTTGGGTTCTCTATGTTATCGGTGTGTAAGCGTTCTAAGATATTTAATGTGGTCGCACAATTGTACAAGGGCACTCAGATCTTCGCATAGGAACTATATACGCACAGCATAATTTATGAAAATTTTGAGTTTTGCTACGAATCTTTATTTAATGTATTTTATATTTTTTATAGAGCGGCTTGGTGGCTAATTGGCTTTAACACCGTTATCGTTGAATAAAAAGGTGTCTTTAAGAAGCAGAACCTGGCCACTATTTGCAACATCAAGGCCACATCTTTAAAAATAGCGGGTATATGAAATGTTAATATTCACATATTTTTTATCTTGGATTTGAAGCCGCTGCATGGCTCAAAACTAAGTTCCTTTATAGTTATCACACCGATGCAGTAATATAAACCAACTTTCCGATTTATCACACCACAAATCCGGGTCAGATATGAATATTGACTTTGGGGACTAAATTTTTTTTTAATATCCGAAAGATGTGGCCTTGGATGTTGCAAATAGCGTGGGTTTTTGTTTCTTGAAGACACCTTTTTATTCCACGATAACTGTCTTAAAGCCAATTAGCCTCCAAGCCGCTCAATAAAAAATATAAAATACATTAAATAAAGATTCATAGCAAAACTCAAAATTTTCATAAATTATGCTGTGCGTATATAGTTCCTATGCGAAGATCTGAGTGCCCTTGTACAATTGTGCGACCACATTAAATATCTTAGAACGCTTACACACCGATAACATAGAGAACCCAAACCAAAAAATTCATTTTTTCGCAAATTTGACCGTAGTTTTTGGCTCAATAAGCATTTTTTTCATTTTGGGTTTATCGATGAAAATCAGTATGCCATTGGCATGCCGATTCCATACATCATCCAGAAACACTAAATTCGAGGATACCTGCCTCCATCCCGAAGTTTATAATCACCTTCCAAAAGCTGTTCCAAACTTTTGACGCACTTATTTTAAAAAATTTTTTTTTTAAATTCCAACGAGCTTTCTGATTTCCATGGCTATGTATTCATTGAGGTTCTTAATACATGGAGCTTCGAATAAAAAAGAAATGAAACTCCCATCTCAAGCCGCAAAGAAGATCTAGCCTGTTCCAAACTTTTGACGTGCAGTATACATACTATAAGTATTTTCATAAAGTGCATGGACATTTTTCGCGGCCGACACCATGCACAAAAAACTAGTGCAAACGGCTTTTCTTGACAAGGAAAGCACTTCTATGGGGTATGGAGTTACAGGTATATCAAAAAAATCGCAAGATTTTTCTGATTCAGAGTATGTGAAAATTAGTTGCCTAATTCTGGTTTCCTCCGAACTTTTCTCGCAACACCATGGAAATGCGCCTTTTTAAAATTGCAACTACTAATTAGGGTGTAGTATAAATTAAACTTGATATTTTAAGGCGTGTCAAGATAACCAGAGTTTACTTTAGCTCAAAAACAAGCATTTGATTTGGTAAAAACTTGGTCAAAAAGGCATTTGCGTGGTGTTGCGAGAAAAGTTCAGAGGATTTTTTCACCACCCTTACAAATCAAAATTAGGCAGCTAATTTTTACATATTTTGAATCAGAAAAAATTTCCGAACTTTTTGATATTTGCGCCAGGAATTTGCACAGTGCAAGCGGCTTTTCTTGAGATCTGCATTGTGCGAAAACAGAAATTGCAGTGTGCGCTGGCGACAAGCGCGAGAAAAAGTTCTGAATGCACTGTGCGAAAGAGAGCAAACGGCCATGCACTTTATGAAAATAATAATATGTATATATAATATAAGTTGTCAAAGACGAGCTGTCCTCAAATTGCATTACATAACTGTTTCTGTTACACGTCGACGAACCTGACGTTTACAAAGATTGAACCGCAACTTTATTGGTTAAAATCATGATACCACACGCCGTTATTTTTGCCGACCACCACTTCGATTGTTGAACCCTTCCATACGTAGAGCCCGTTCTCGATCCGTTGAGCTCCCTTTGACTTGAGCGCTTTGCCCAACATCTGTCGAACTTTTCGCACTTGTTTTGGAAGAGGTAAATAAAGCAGCAATGTAAGGAGGAGATTTGCGACTCGGCAGGCCTGATCGACGACGCGCAACAGGTTCTCAAGTTGAGACGAAAAATCTCCTTTAAATTCCTGAAAATTGTTATAAGTACATCATGTATATGTATGCATCTGCATACAGGGGGACGTTTGAAGCGCGACGCTTAAATTTTGTTGAAACTTGATACAAAGCTATCAGTTTGTCGGAAAAATAACGGCGGATCGTCGCGCCTCGGAATCGCCCGTCATCGCTTTGCGACGGCCGCCGAAGCTGAAGATTTGGTGCGCGATAGAGGCGAGGCGAGACATTTTGCTGCGACGATCCGCCGTTATTTTCCCGACAGACTGATAATTTACTTTTTTCTGAGCAATATGCAAAACTTTTAGCTTGCGCTGTGCAGAAACGGCCGAGATGTTTAGGTCGAAAGCCGGAAAAAAATGTGACACTTTTTGGCAAACTTTGCGATGATTCGAATGCCTAATTCTACCAGAGAGGGCAGCGGGGTTTCTGCGACGAGGTCCGAAAGTGTAGACACGCCTGTATGTCCAAAAGTCGCTTCCTCTCTCCGCGTTTTCCGTTCTCTCGCTACTGCCACTGCAAAGCGAGAAATTTTAGGGATCAATGTGTGGCCTAAGCCTAGGCCCACCGTGTATACAAAAAATAAAATCGATATCAGTTTGTCGGGAAAATAATGAGGGCAATGTCGCTGCGCCGATAGCGTCGCTGAAGTGAAAAGCAAGTCGGTTTTTGCCGCGACACAATTCATTTCCCCGGCGGCGATGCGATTTTCGATGCGACAGAGTGCTCATTATTTTCCCGACAGACTAATAGAGAAAACTTGATCGTCGCCACTCCACCCCTAGTAAGACTCTTACTGTAAGAATATTGCATACCATAGATCCGTAACTAAAATCAACGAAAGACTTTATCGATATGCGCGATAGATTGGGAAAGCACCGTCGGATCTCCAAGAATTGGTCATCGTACTCGTACGGAGCTCTCAACTTTTCATACCATAAGCATAAAGTTCGGATCGAGGGATTCGCGGGCCATCTGAAATTGTTTCCAATGCATCGCGACTGTATACTCCAACATACCCGCCGTGGGAGAAGGGGTCCATCTCCATTGCTGCTGACTCAACGTTTAATTTGAAAAGTGGATAAATGTCTGAAAGATAGACTTGTCATTTGTCAGCGAATTTAAAATGCAAAAGAGTGTATATAGAGAGGCGGGTCGCTACCAGAGATTGGCACGGCTCCAGATCCGGCTCCGGCTCCGAGCCGGGAGCCAGAGCCGGAGCCGGAAATTTTGGGGGCGGCTCCGGCTCCCGAGCCCAAAGTCGGAGCCAGGCTTCTCAGCGTTCAGAAGAGTAAAAATTTTGCGATCTTGCTAAACTAAATTGGTTGAAACATGTAGGGGAGGATGTGTTGCGTACGACGTGGCTCAAAAACGTTGGCTGTATGATCTCTGGCACTAATAACTTTTATTTTTGGAAAAATATTTTTTAAAAAATTTTTTGCACAGGAGCCGGGATTCGGAGCCGGAGACCTTTTTAAATTTTGCACGGAGCCGGGAGCCGAAGCCGGAGCCGCAAATTTGGCCTCGGCTCTTGCTGTGGGAGCTAGGAGCCGGAGTCGAAATTTTGACCGTGGCAATCTCTGGTCGCTACTCATGAGTACAGAATGCTGTGTCAACTCTCCCGAGCACACTTACATCTAGTTGTAAAGATTCGTATGTGCTCAAATGCACTACCATCCAGGCTGGACAAGATAGCGGGCTCGTTACAGGCGAAAGATTTGATGTTAAATTTGATCACTTCCAAAGCGCCTCTTACCATCGGACCGTTTGTGGTCGCTGTCACGGTGAATGACATGAAAGGGTATTCTAAAACAAATTTTGGTTTGTAAGGGTGAAAAAATCCTCTGAACTTTTCTCGCAACACCACGCAAATGCCTTTTTGACCAAGTTTTTACCAAATCAAATGCTTGTTTTTGAGCTAAAGTAAACTCTGGTTATCTTGATACGCCTTAAAATATCAAGTTTAATTTATACTACACCCTAATTAGTAGTTGCAATTTTAAAAAGGCGCATTTCCATGGTGTTGCGAGAAAAGTTTAGAGGATTTTTTTACACTTACAAACCAAAATTAGGCAGCGAATTTTTACATACTCTGAATCAGAAAAATGTTGCGATTATTTTGATATATGTCTCGACCTGTAACTCGATACCCTATAGAAGTGGTTTCCTTGTCAAAAAAAGCCGTTTGCACTAGTTTTTTGTGCATGGTGTCGGCCGCGAAAAATGTCCATGCACTTTATGAAAATACTTATAGTATGTATAATACATATATTTAAATGATGCATTATTAGATGCAAATAACAGCAACCGAAAAATGAGCACTTACCTTTTAGAACCCTTGTCAAGAAGGCGACGAATCCCCAGCCCATCCCATCGTCGAGCCTCAATTCAACTTCCTCGATGTGTGGCAAGAACACGACCCAAACCCAGGCCTGCATGCACTCCAAACGCGGAAAACGATAAATTCCGCTCGTGACTTTTTGCCGCATCGCCCTGTCCGTGTATTCGGGCCACACGGACAGGAACGAGGAATATATCTTTATCTTTTGCATCTTGTGAATGGAAAGAAAATGATGATAAAAGTCGTTGGAGATGGTCTGAAAAAGAGGCTGGCTGGAGAGGAAAGGCAAACCCGAGGTGAGCCAAAAACTGTCGACATGTTTTCGTACGGTGCAAAACTGTTTTGAAGCGGATCGGCAGGGAGCGAAATGCACAGTGCAAATGTCTACTGGTAGTCGCGCCATAAAGTCCGTCGAATCAGGACTTTTTGACGCGCCGAGTACAAGAATATGCAATTGCCACGAATGGACCAGTTTCCTGAGCGACGCACGTCAAACTGAGATAGGCTCAAACGGACCGGTGAATAGGTTGGCAATCTGCCAAAAAAAGACGCGAAAAAGCTTTTAGTCGGGGAAGAAATGGGGATTTTTTGGGGCGAGAGAGTACGTTTTCGCGCGTCTTTTTCTCTGACTTCTCTGTGAAATCAAGACAAAGTGTATAAAACCGATAGCGAAGGGTCTATTCCGGTGACCGGACTTTGACGTGCGACGCACACTGAACGCTTCCCTCTTCACACTTACCATATATCTGATGACAACTGGCATCCACATGGTAATGTAATCCTCCCACGCTTCGTCTTCGGTGTGCTGGCGAATACAGCCTTTGAGGCACATGAATCGGTACAACTGAAGCGCTGGTGTCCGTCTTAATTTTGGCCCCATTTGTTTTATAAATTCAGACTACAAGCAAAGCCCAAAGAATTATTGAGCAGCAATAAGAAGAGCCTAAATAAAAGATGAAGGAATGCGATGAACAGAAAAACGAGGATATACGCGTTGTTTTTTTATGCAACAGGTAGCACTAGTCCTTTCGCAAAGTCGCTGGAGTGAGTTCGGCAACCTTTACACAGTGCACAGGCTTTTAGTATTACGTCAACATATCAGTCTGTCGGGTGAAATATCAGTCTGTCGGGAAAATAACGGCGGATCGTCGCTGCAACACGTCTCGCCTCGCCTCTGTCGCGCACCAAATCTCCAGCTTCGGCAGCAAAGCGATGACGGGCGATTCCGAGGCGCGACGATCCGCCGTTATTTTTCCGACAGACTAATGCTAGTCGCGACATAAAGTCCGTAAAGTTTTTTTCGCCGACGTCGCGGTTGTGATCGCCGAAAAGTGCATGTCGCTAGTGCAAAAGCGGGAAGTCGCAGCGGCGCGGGCGAAAAAAACGCACTGTACAAATTCTACGGACTTTATGATGCGACTAGTAGTGGCGTGTCGTCGCTGCCAAATGTTTCGCGTCGCCGAAAAAAAGCGTGCCGTCGCGCACCAAAGTTCCAGCTTCAGCAGCCGTCGCAAAGCGATGATGGACGATTCCAAGGCGCGACGGCCGGGCCCGTTTCGCCATGTCTGGTTCAAATGCACAGTGCACGTCAATCCAAAATAGAAGAAAAAATTTCCCGCCCCTTTTTGGTGATTCGTTCAAAACGAAATGTAACTATCCGATAAAAAGCATTTTCTTACCTTTCTTCTTCCTTTTCGAGAAAAAGTAATTATTTCGGGCGAGAAAAAGTGCCGATAATTTCGCGACATTTCGTCTCTCTTTCAAACCAATGAAAACGACACGAAGTTTCGAAACGGTTCAGGAAATGCGCTGGATTGACGTGCAGTGCGGAAAGTCTTGCGACAAAAACGTCTACGTTTTGCAACGGCGTAGTAGTATAGGGACCGCAGAGAAAGCCTCGACCCCTTCGCTCCTGAAACAAGACGCCAACAATCGTGTCGGCGTCATTTTGACACAGAGAGATTGTCTGTTCGCAATAAGCAGTGGGGGTTTTTCTTCAGTTTGATAAATGGCAACCGTACTACGACGAACTCCCGCATTGCACGTGTTCCGATTCTTGTGCGTAAATGGATTCGAGCGCGAAGTAAGAGAGGTCCAGCGTGATTACGAGGTGTTTTGTACGAATAAAACACTCAGATATACGGTGAGTAAAGCGTCCTTGTCACCAGTCGCCCAATTCAGATCGTCTCCAACAACTTTTTGCACCATTTCCTCTCGATCCACCGGCTGGAAAACATCCTTGTGGTGGCGCGCGCCTACTACATCAACGTCAAGTTTTACGACCCCAAACTGAAACCCAACTTTCAGCGCCTGAGTTATACATTCCCCAGTGTGCAGGTCTTTCACGCCTTTCTTCGCCTCGTTTTTCTACCCGTTGCAAAGCAGGTTGAGCTGTGGGGTGTTGAACGGGTTGATAAGAGGTTTGTGGAGGTTTGCAAGGACACTGTGGCAAGTAAGTTTTTTTAAAGAGCTCTGCAGGCGAATCGGCGCCAAACCGGTCAAACCCGGAGAGCACAACGAAGGGAGGTCTTGATTAACTAGGGAAGTACCCCAAGTGCGACCCTCAGATTTTGCTTAAATTTTGCACACACTACATAGGCCATATATCAAATCATGAAGGTTTTAGTTCACGGCCGCAGCTGAGATATTGAACCATCTTTGCGGCTGCACACGACAGGAAAAAACCTTTTGGCCATAACTTTGCTGGTTTCCGGCGGAAAAAATTACTTGCTGTGGAAGCATTGCCCCTTACGGTAGAAAGTGTTATGTAACCTTTCATGATAAAGTTCGGAAAAATACTGTAATTTTTTGCCAACTTTCGACCACAAAATCTTCACGAAAATGCGAGCTAATATAAGACCCGCAAATGTCTTAGAAAAAAATTATACTAAGTTTGTGCCAAATTCCATCAAAGTCTGCGCGTCGCACTTGAGTAGTTCAGAGGTAAGCCACATGGAGAAACATTAAGTCCACTTGAAACTTTTAGAGTATCCACATATACGATTTCATGTCGTACTGAACGAGGATGCGGATGAATGCCGCACTGTGTTGGATGTTTTGAAAAGCCAGGTGGTCTCAATGTTCAGCCGTCGTCCATCCTTTCTTTTCCAAATGCATGGGGCACCGTTGCGGCGCCTGGACCTATCAGGGATGAAATGTGAGTTGGAACGACACTTTACGCCTTCTTTTAGACGTCTACCCCTTTTTCGCGATGAATGTAAAGCATGTGAAGATGGGACTTGCCACATTTTTACATACCAGGTGGGCCTGATGATGCTGTTGTGGCGGTCATTTCACGACGATTTCGTTACACTTTGTCCCACGCTGTATTTACATATACAGGGTGTTTGAAGAAATTTCGGAAAAATTTTTTGCGTATATCTTTGTGATCTTTGCAGCTATCCAAGAAGTTTAAAGCGTATTTAAAATTCGAAGTTGTGTGTTTTTAGAATATGCGAAAGAATTTCTTCTTGCCTCGGCGGAGAGATTTGATGCCTCTTTTGAAAATTACACCTCGTTACAAAGCCCAGACTTCTCTACTACAGATGAAATTAGGTTTACCTCATCTGGCAGGACGTAATCTGTTTGTCTCGGTAGCTTTGCGGATGCTTCACACATCGGCGAAGGCTCGGCGGAGACTTTAATATCTCCGCCAAAAAATGGTCTCTCCGCCGAGACAACGAAAATTTTTTTTCCATATTCTACTAAAAAGGCATGACTTTTTTTCGAATTTTTAAATACGCCTTAAACTTCTTGGATAACTGCAAAGAGCACAAAGATGTAAGCGAAAAATTTGTCCAAAATTTCTTCAAACACCCTGTATATAAAGGAAATTTGCAGATGGCCACAAAACCCGTCCGTTGAGAGACTGATCTTTAAGCCAAGCCCAATTCAACGTCATCGGCAGCCCGGCGAAGCGTTTTCTGAGATCAAGAGGTGCTTCCCCAACCTAAAGTTGATAGTCATCAAGCAATTGACGTACTTGCCGGCTGAGGAACAGACGGTCGATGTAAGTGGACAAGCGGGGTGATGTGCTGGATGTGATAGCCACGGGTTTCCTTACGTTACGAGGGGAAGTACCCCAAGTGCGACACTCAGATTTTGATGAAACTGGGTACAAATTGAGAAAAACGTTTTCTAAGTTATGCACTACTCCACGAAATGATAGACGCACCCAATTTTTAGCAATTATCTTCCTTATACTGAATGATATCCAAAAATGTTCAACAGATGAAATGTGGCAAATTAAACGAGAAATCATGTCCCGTAGCAATTTTGGAACAAAATTTTGTCTTGAATGAGATGTTGCATTTTTTTGGGGTCCACAAAATGTTAGATGCACTTGAGTAATTTCTGTTTTTCTTTGTATATTTAAAAGAACTTCGACTCAACCTGCTTGTATTGCACTTCCTCGTGTTCTCTGTAGTATTAAAAGGGTATTACATTCATATCCGCCGCACTTCATCCACGCATTAGCTACTTGTTGAAGATGATATGCCAATAAATACTCGAGATCTTTGAACAAGCTGCTTTTTTCCCATTAGGGAGATCTACACGTATAATCTAATAGTATTAGCTTGTTTCTTGCCCAAGAAAACAGCCCAACCAAATTTTTTTTTTCAAAACGAATGTTTACCTCATGTACAAGGTCGGAGATGGCCCATAAGGCTAATCCGTGGATGAAGTACGGCGGATATGAATGTAATACCCTTTTAATACTACAGAGAACACGAGGAAGTGCAATACAAGCAGGTTGAGTCGAAATTCTTTTAAATATACAAAGAAAAACAGAAATTACTCAAGTGCATCTAACATTTTGTGGACCCCAAAAAAATGCCACATCTCATTCAAGACAAAATTTTGGGGGCTTCGGTAGTTCAGCCCCCCACGAAAGGTAGTTCAAACCCCCACTGTTTTGCCCGTTTCACACCCCACATAATGAACAAATTAGAATAATACAAAAAATGTAAGTGGGGGTTTGATCTACTACGTTGGGGGTTTGATCTAAAACGTAGGGGGCTTGACCTAAAACGTAGGGGGCTTTTTCTAAAACGGAGGGGGCTTCATCTAAAACGTAGGTGGCTTGATCTAAAACGTAGGGGGCTTGTGCTGGACCATACAACTTGGATTAATTCTTTGAAATAAATTTTGGGGTTGAGAATGGACGAGGGGGGTTGTACTGGGTCATGGGGGGCTAAACTGGACTGGGGGGCTGTACTACCTTAGCCCCAAATTTTGTTCCAAAATTGCTACGGGACATAATTTCTCGTTTAATTTTCCATATTTCATCTGTTGAACATTTTTGGATATCATTCAGTATAAGGAAGATAATTGCTAAAAATTGGGTGCGTCTATCATTTCGTGGAGTAGTGCATAACTTAGAAAACGTTTTTCTCAATTTGTACCCAGTTTCATCAAAATCTGAGTGGCCTTCGTGTTGCAAATAGCGGCCATGTTCTGCTTTTTGAAAATACCTTTTTATTCCACGATAACTGTCAGAAAGCCAATTAGCCTCCAAGCCACTCTATAAAAAATATAAAATACATTAAATCAAGGTTTAAAGCAAAACTCAAAATTTTCATAAATTATGCTGTGCGGATATAGTCCCAATGCGAAGATCTGAGTGCCCTTCTACAATTATGCGACCACATTAAATATTTTAGAACGCTTACACACCGATAACATATAGAACCGAAACCAAAAAATTATTTTTTTTGCAAATTTGACCGTAATTTTTGGCTCAATAAGCATTTTTTTCATTTTGGGTCCATCGATGAAAATCAGTATGCCATTGGCATTCTGATTCCTTGCATCATCCAAAAATACTAAATTCGTGGATATCCTGCATAAGGCTGTTCCAAACTTTTGACGCACCTATCTTTTTAAATTTTTTAAACTCCAACGAGCTTTCTGATGTTGATGGCTATGTATTCATTGAGGTTCTTAATACATGGAGCTTCTGATAAAAAAGAAATGAAATTCCCATCTCAAGCCGCAAAGAAGATCTAGCCTGTTCCAAACTTTTGACGCGCAGTATATGTCTAGGCCTGTAGCGCCATACCCCATAGAAGTACTTTCCTTGTAAAGAAGATCTGAGCATCGCGCTTTGAGCACCCTCCTTATTAGCCGCTGTTGAAAATGGTTTCTTTTTTACAGGAGTTTCTGGACTACATCCGAACATTGCTTCCTCATTGGCTCCAACTCATCGGATTTTCCCAAAGCGTCGCGAATGTTCGCTTTTGTTTCGAGTTCTATCCGCCCGGCGTCCAGCCACAGTTCGCCATCCCGTTGGAGCGGTTGTTCGACGAGGAGTTGGGGAAACGGGGAGCCCGACGCATCAAGGCCCACAGCTATCAGACCGGGAATTCGGGGATAGAACTGCGAGTTGGAACTTATTCACACAGATTGTCGCGATTCTCAGATTTCGAATAAAAACAAATGCAGTGAAGGACCTGATCCAATGGCAAAAAACGTCTCATTTTGCATCCCGGAAGGGACCAAAATGTCTCCAAACCCTTCCCTTCTCTAACAAGGGAATGGTCCCAACGATCCGTGGGATCCGCAAAAGAAACCTAGATATTCTGAAAGAGCAGGCAAAATTTAGTAGGAATCCGTTTTTTCTCCTTGCCGAATAAGTCTGTGCGACGAGAAATATCGACGAAAAGATCCGACCAAAAAATCGAAGAGAGAAAAGACGAACCGAGAGGCCTTGGGGGGCGTTACCAAATAGTCTAGTGGAAAAAGTTCCACGCATAATTGTTTTGGCGGAGTGAGGCTTTGGAGGTTCGAGAGCGTATATCTCCGGCTTGAACCTACGTGTTCATTACTGTATTTTACAGTTACATAAAAAAATTTTTTTTAGTTTACTCTCTTTCGATTTTTTGGTGGAATCTTTTCGTCGATATTTCTCGTCGCACAGACTTATTCGGCAAGGAGAAAAAACGGATTCCTACTAAATTTTACCTGCTCTTTCAGAATATCTAGGTTTCATTTGCGGATCCCACGGAACGTTGGGACCATTCCCTTGTAAGCTAAAAAACTCCGCTTTGAAAAGTGCGCCCTTTCCTTCTAGGCTAATTGGTTGCTGTGACAGCAAGATCAGTGAGGGTAGCTTGTAGCACTTTTATTAGGTGGATGCAAGATTATCCGGCGTTTTTATTGGCGCGTTTTTTGTTAGTTAAAATTCGCGTTTTGTTAACTTTTTTTGCATAATAATAATCTTCTTGATTTAGTTAATAAAATGCGTGTCGAAAACCATACTCATATTCGCCATATTATGTTCCACCACTTCGAGAAAGGTTGGAAGTCAGCACAGTCATATCGCAATCTCAACGAATTTTTCGGCGAAGGAAAAAAAATTTGCCAGGTGTTTCGCCAAAGGAATACCAAAAGACGTCCGCTGTAAGAAGGCTATGTGGAGTGTGTGGTAGGACAGAAGCGGAATCATCCGCTGGGAAATCGTCTTTTTTTCAAGCTTATCCTATCGTCCTAAAAAGTGAGAAAAGTGTACCAGAAGCTTGCAAAATCAGCGCCAAGCCAAAATTCCAAGAATACCAGCTTTTTTCGGGGTTCGGATTTTGAGAATGCCCTGTATCTCAAAAGTTGTGTATTTGATTTTTTAAATACATATTTCCAGTGTTTATTGGATGAAGGTCCAAGTTTTTTAAGCGTATCTAAAAGTGCTACAAGCTACAGTAGCCCATTTTACACCCGAAATAGTTTGTTACCTCATGTGTAACATAGCTTAGATGTAATTTTTAGTTTTTGGTGACGATTACAAAAATGTTCTACATGGTCGAGAACATACACCTGAACTCGATTTGAGCTAAAATAGCGCTTCGTTTTCTCGATTAGGGCATATCTTTTTAAGAAAAAATGTTACAGTATGCCGTCATACTGTAACGGTATTTTTGGGAAAAAATAAAGAAAGCGAATGTTTTGTCTGTCATGACGATCAAGTTGACCAATTTTGGTTTAATTCTGAGACATCGACTCAACAATGTCCGCGCCAATCTACGATTTGTAATACAGGGTGGTTCAGCCGAAGCTTCCATCCTTATTTCAAGTATTTCTCCGTCAATAATGCACCAATTTCTATAAAATTTATATCAAATTGAAGCTGAGGGTCCCCATTTTCTGTCGACCAAATATGACAGGCCCAAGTTGACGGGGGCTCCCGTACTGACCCTTGACATTTTCATTCCAAATTTTGGAGCCCGAAATCGGTGAAACTTACTAGGGAAGTGTACAAACGAACCCTCACCAAATGGCAAGTGTTATACACCATTGGAAAGCCCTTGAAAAATGGTGAAAGGTACCATTTTCATTTTTTGCAGAATGCCTCAGGGCAAAAAATTATAAACGGTTGATTTGTCCCTTAAGTAGTTACAATATCTGCTGTGGGGCAAAATAACTCCTATTTCAAAACTCCAAATGGTAAATATTGCTACTAGGTTGACCTAAGAATCGTTATGAAGTTTGGCGCTTGCCAGTAAAACCATTTTACATATGATATTTATTGGTTTTAAACACCCATAACGTGAAAAAACACTTTTCACTTTTTTTATTTTTGAAAAACGTGCAAGTTTGATGGTTTTAACCGTAATCGAGGATTTCTAGAAAAATTAAAGCGTTTGTAAAAGTTTAACTCAAATATTATCCTAACTGTAAGAACGCAAAATGTTTTTGCCCAAGCTGGGAATCGAACCTGGCTTGGTTTGGCTTATCAGCCTGCTCAGCAACCACTGCACTATTGAAGCAACCCTCTTCGAGAATTTTTTTTTGCACAAGAGAAAGAACGATTTTTGTTGCAAAATGGACTAAAAATAATACAATTTACAGTATGTCGTCGCGGAAAGTCATTCTGCAAAAAATGAAAATAGTATCTTGCACCATTTTTCAAGGGCTTTCTAATGGTGTAAATCACTTGCCATTTGGTGAGGGTTCGTTTGTACACTTCCCTAGTTAGAAAATTTTTGGAATGATTTTCAATTGAGTTTCTCGGACTTGGAAAAATTTTGGATTTCCGGCAAAGACAAAGTCGCCAAATCCGATGAAATTTTTTTTAACGGTAAGGTTCACAGAAGTACCAAGCGCCTAAGAAGCGTATTTCACTCCGACGTGGTACCAAATCGAACAAATGAAACGAAAGCTCTTTTCTCGGACAATCTAGGCCTTACAACTTGTTATTTATCTTCGGGGTGGATGTCGTCATGCATGTAGACAGTCTCGCCCATTTGTTCGCATCTTTAAAAATTTCGATTAACGAAGCCTGTTACCCCAGAACACAAGAGCAATGCCTTGAAAATTAATTACGAGTATTCTGTTCGCTGCCGTCAATTTTTTCAGCTTCTTCTAGATGTCTTATTTAGGCAAAGACTCGATTATTTTCCAAGTCCGAGAAACTCAATTGAAAATCATTCCAAAAATTTTCTAAGTTTCACCGATTTCGGGCTCCAAAATTTGGAATGAAAATGTCAAAGGTCAGTACGGGAAACCCCGTCAACTTGGGCCTGTCATATTTGGTCGACAAAAAATGGGGACCATCAGCGTCAATTTGATGCAAATTTTATAGAAATTGGTGCATTATTGGCGGAGAAATACTTGAAATAAGGATGGAAGCTTCGGCTGAACCACCCTGTAAAATGCGTTTTAAAAGAAATTAGTCATGTTGTGGTGTTTATTGAAGCAATGTCAAGTATTTTCGGCTTCTCCGCTTCTAATTCTCCTTGTAGTCTCCCCATTCGTCCGATTGTCGTCTTGGAGTGCTGGTGGTGGCTGGAAGTGGAACAGGTTCACGAATCAAATTGCCTTCCCCGTCGAACGTCAGGTTGCCATCACGATCCAACTTTGGGGGACCGATTCCTTTAGCCAAGTCGGTGGAAACATGAGTTTCCGCGGCGTCGGCCAGACTGTATCCACAAAAGCATAGTTGTGCTGTAAGCGGCTTGTGAATGCACAGCTCACATAAGTGAAATCTCACACATTCAGGTGCTGGGCATTGGTAACGAACCGTTCCATCGCTTTTAAAGCATTGAAGACATTCTACAAATCAATATTTCAAAAATGAAAAAAAAATTTCGTTTTTGTCATGGTGAATACTCCAGGCCCTAGCAATTTGCCACTCATACACTTCGATACCAGCGAACATATTATCTCTTACAAGGGAAGTCACTTTTTTCGCAGACGGACTTTGGAACGGGACCTTGTAGGTTTCAAACGTGAAGCGTCTGCGATCATAAAACTGATTTCCAAAAGTGTTTACAGGGCTTCTCGGCCGAGAAAATTGACCGCAAAGTTTAGCCGAAGTGAGCGAATAGCCTCCTCAAAAGGCTTGCTTCATCTGCAGTGGTGACCGAGTGGTCAGTGCGCTCGGTTTTTGCGCCAGAAGGGGCGGGTTCGATCCTCTGCGCAGTAAACATAAAATGTATACTCTATTTTTATTTTTTTACCACATTTACCACATTTACATTTTCATCCGTTTTCCACGATTTCTTTCCAGTCTTCCATGCAGCTGTCTACTATAATATAAAACCGCTCATATCTCTGTCCCAACCCCTCAGTTCATCCCAAAATACAATCCAAGGCGTTCAACAGTTCATGAATTTATTGAAAACTTTAAGTGAAAGATTTGGGAATACCCTTGGAGCGAGGCAGACAATAAATTATCTTACTCTAGACATGAGTCTTGGAGAACAGGTAAAAAACAAGTAAAAAATAAAATTTCAAAACTATTTGAACAATTTTGGAGGTACATTGACATAATATAGGCTCCGATGAATATTTAGGATATGAATTCGGGAGGAATAATTAAGAAAAACATTAAAAAATTCGACAAAAATCGCAATAATTAGACAAAAAATTAAAAATCCAGGATAAATTTTATTACAACTTGATTTTCAGGTCCAAGTCGTATTTTAGACAGTGGATTCGTTGTTTTTTACTTCTTCGGGTTCTATCGGTTGTGGGGCGACTTTGGCGACGATTAGGCTGGGATGTTTCTTCATGAAATCATTGTCCGGTTCGTCGTATTCCAGGTCATGGGACTGGAAATCCAGGTCGTCAACGTCGTTGATAGTGGTGTTAAAGTCATCTGGGAGATCTGTAATTAAAATCCATTATATTCGAGTCCACAAATCTTAATTTATCCAGAAATTATCATCAAAAATACAAAAAAGAAAAAAAATTTTTTTTTGATTTCGCAAGCTGCGCCCTGCTTTTCAAAAATAACTCCAATCCGCTTTACATTAAATATTATTCAACTATCAACAAGATCTCATCGTATTTTACCCCAAACTCTCCTCAATTCCGACATTTCCATCAAAAATTTCATCCGCAAGCTGCGCCCTGCCCAACCTTCAAAATCATTTCCTACGTCCAAACTAACGTCTCAAAAACTTTCTTACCATCATCGTCATTGTCCTCTTCCTCTTCTTTAAACCGGCCAGTCAATATTTTTTCGTCTTCTTCGACTGAGACTCCATTCCTTCGAAGTCTCGGTGGGATCCACGCAAATTGATTATTTAGAACGGACGTTGATGCTAATGAAGACAAAGGGCTGGTTAGCTGGCTTTTACTGGCTTCGGTTTTCTTCTGAATCTCCGCGAATTTTCTGAAAAAGCGAAAAAACTTTTTAAAATGACAAAAAAATCAAAGAAAATAAAGAAAAATTCAAAATACAAAAAATTTCGAAGAAAAAATCGGCCCAGAAAAATCAATCATGCTTTTCAAGATACTAGCAATAATTGAACCCTCAAATTGACCAAAAAAATTTTGCATAAATTCAAAAATCTTTGCATTTTTTCCAAAAAATCTCCAAAAAACCTAAAATTTCTCAAAATTCGAAACAAAAAATCGCTGAAAAATTCCATAAAGCCCCTTCAAATTAACTAATACCTCATGTTCAAAAACCGTGAGTCCAAAAAATTCCCATAAAAATCCCAATTTTTCACCACGAAATTAAAAAAAAAACCCCAAAAAACCTCCAAAAACCTCAAATTTCCCCAAAAAAATGGCCAACTCACTTCGGGAGGTCCGTCAAATGACTGTGTACTTCTGGATTCTCATTCACAGCATACGTTCTAGGACTTTTGGGGCTTTTTTCGGCCACAAAATCGTCTTCTTCCCTCAATTGGCGGTCCTTTTCCTCGGCGGCCGCTAGATAATTATCCCTCTGGCTTAGGTCCAATTCCTGTTTCTTTGGGTCCACTGTGCCGAGGACTGCTCTGGATTGTGTTCGAATTTCCAGGTCCTCATCCCGCGCGGCCATATCATGAAGCCTTCCGATGATCACAGAGTTCAGTTCCGGGTCCGCGGCCTCGATGCGCTCGCGGCCCAAGCTCTCAACGACGGTGCAAAAGTACTGGCGGACGTTGTGGATCTCTGAAATTGGGAGATATGACCTTCAATAAGAAAAGAAACACAAAAATTTTTTTAAAATTTCCTTCAAGACCCTGTGTAATACAGTGACGGACCTGATCCAGTGGCAAAAAACGTATCATTTTGCATCCGGGAAGTATCTTCCCCCTCCAAGAAAAATTGATACTTTTTAAGGGTCTTTGTTCAAAAAATTTTTTTAAAACTTTTTATTTTTTTTTGATTTTAAAAGTTGTAGCGTGGATGTAAAGGCTTGGTACGTATTTTACAAGTTTTCTTTTACAGTGACGGACCTGAACCAGTGGCAAAAAACGTATCCTTTTGCATCCGGGAAGCCTTAAAAATGTGGCAGAATGCTTCCCTCTCCAAGTGAAAAAACTTCGTTTTGAAGGGCGCCCTTTCCCTCACAAAAAGAGCGCTTTTGAAATCGGAGTTTTTTCACTTGGAGAGAGAAGCATTTTGCCACATTTTTGATACTTCCCGGATGCAAAATGGTGCGTTTTTTGCCACTGGATCAGGTCCGCCACCGTAAAAAAAAATTGTAAAATACGTACCAAGCCTTTACATCCACGCTACAACTTTTAAAATAAAAAAAAATTAAAAATTAAAAATTTTTTGAACAAAAACCCCCAAAAAGTACCAATTTTTCCTAAAAAATATCGCGAAAACAAAATGTTTTTAATCTATCAAGACTTTCGCAAGACAAAAGTAATCACACGATATCGTCAGCCGTATTTTACAACAAATGGAAATTCAAAAAAAAAATCATCAACTTCCCCAAATCCCCTAAAATCCATTCTTATTTCAAAAATCATCCCAATTCAAGCCAAAAACTGGTTATAATCTCCGCAAAAATGATTTAAAATTACTTAACACTGCAACTACAGCCCAAATAATTCGAACCCGTATTTTAAACCCATTTTCAATTTCTCAAATCACCATTCCCCAAAAACCTCTATATCATCTAGTATAACATCCAAAAAACCATTGAATTGAAGCCAAAAACACTTTGGATCGCTACAAAAATCCATCCAATCTACTCATTATTATTTAGCCAAGCCTGAATATATCTTTTCCGTATTTTAAAACCCCTCAATTCCTCAAAAAATCATTTTTCCCGAAGCTCCCACTAAACCTAGTGTAATATCAAAAAATCTCCCAAACTACCGTAACCCTCTTCCCAATCTCCCTCAATAATTCTCCTAAACCAACTTACGATCCATGGAGAGTTCGAGCAGCGGCTGTTTGAAGGTTTGGCAAAACGTTTTCGGGGTCAACAATCGCTCTCTCGCCAGGATCTCCAGCATTTGTGCGAAGCTGAAAAATTCGTCCATAAAATTACAGTAACCCAGCCAATCTGGCCAAAATCCTTTTTCTAGTGGTCTCAGCTCTTCTTTCACCTACCTCTGTCGTTTTCTCCAATTCAGCGACTTCCAGAACCCAGTGCGGACGTCTTTTAGGAAGGCGTCACTCAACGGCATCGCATTCGGCGCGTCGATTGGGAGGCCGCTGATCTTGCAGGCCGCGTGCTCGTGTCGAATGAGGAGGGCCAAGACCTCGGCCAGCATTCGAACCCCGCCTTTTCGGACCTCCGCGATTCGGTCGGTGGAAAAGGCGAGGGCGAATGGGATCAGGTACAAGTTCACGTGGTACGGCTTGAAAAGATGGGCCATTTTGCAGAGTTGTCTGGAAAAATAGGCCCATTATCTGGCGAAATCTCTTCAGCAAGATGTAAAAAATAAGTCTACATCAAAATTTTGTGGTTTCAAAAAATTTCCGAGGCCTACAATACGATTTTTTGGGCAAAATCAAAAATTTTTTATCATCACCAATCTTACTACATACCAAAAAATCATCATCTCCAATAAATTTTCTACACCCAAAAACATATTTATCACGTATTTTAGGCCTCAAAAAAAATTTATGCAAATTTTTCCTCATCAAAATTCAATTTCAAATCTAAAAATCCAATTTTTTCACATTTTTATGCATTTTTTCAAACTATTCATTATTTTTCGTATTTTACACGCTCAAAAATTCAAATTCATCTCTTACATCACCTGCCCTATTACATAACCTCCCAAGATCAAACAAAATTTTCTGTCAAATTCGCAATCTTGAACTTCCTCTGTTCAAATTTGCATAATTTCTGCCGAAAAAAGGGCGGAACTCCGGGGGAAACCAAGCCTTTTGGGCAGAAATTTCTGCGGCACGGGATGTAAACCACTCCAATTCAAGTCATTTACGGTTTCATCCGGCCTTCAGGACGGTTGGAGATTTTTTTATGGTATCCTTTTCTTATTTTACATTTAAATTTTCTCTTCTTTACCCTTCAAGAGGTACAATATCCCAATTTATTTCCTTTTTCATTCAACATTTATTCATTTTCAGTGCCTTTCGAGGCTAAAATACGCCAAAATTTTTGTGATGTATTCAAGTAGCTTTCACTCTGTTTATAAGAGATTTTACAGTAATCCAGACTACATTTAGCTTCTAAAATACGTTAAAAAAAAACTTTTCCGGACTAAAAATTTTTTCTCAAAAGTGTACAACAAGCTTATTAGACCATTTTTTACATCTTTTCCAGCATCTAGGACTCCAAAGTACTACTTTTTCTGTGCTCTGACAATGATTTCCACTAATTCTTTACACTTTAAAGTCATCAAAACCCAAAAAAATCTCGTTTTATCCCTACTTCTCCCATCAAACTCCATTTTTCAAATATGCATCCATAACTACTCGTATTTTACCCCTTCAAAAGTTCAAAATTGCCCCTACATAACATTCTTCATTGCGCAAAAATTTAAAAAATCAAAATTTCTGCCAAAAAAATCAATTTTCAGCTCAACTTTGCGCAATTTCTGTCAAAAAATGGGCGGAGAAGAATCAAAAACGTAGCGCAGATATAATGTAACATAGCGGATATAGTGAGAAAATAAGTTCATTCGCATATCATTGCGTTTTCGGTGTGGTTTGGAGCTTTTCGACTAATCTTACATCTTTTACAATCTTATTGTGAAAATTAGCCATTTTCATACTTTTAAAGCCCAAAACATGGCACTATTAATATATTTTTCGAGACGGAATATGGTACAACTTTTTTGGTCCCATTAGCCTCTAAAATACGCTTTTATATTCTGAATTTATAAGATTATTTGTTAGTCACCTTTAAGAAAATAAAAATAAAAAAAAATTATTTTTTTTTTGATCTTACAGTAATCCAGGAGAGTTTTAGTCGGTAAATTACGGTAATTCTCACCGTTTAAGCCCTTCAAATTCTAAAATACGACCCAAATTTTATTCCCACACTCTTTTTTCTCTATTATTCCAAATTTCGCGTAACGTGTTTTACCGAGAAATCATCATTTACCCCTTTACCTACTACAACATCCCACTAACCCTCTATTTTTCAGAATCTCCCAAAACTCTAAAAATGATCGGCCGTCAGACCACCTTTTCCTATGTTAAGGCCAACGCCGCCAACATGAAGTCGTTGGATCGTCTTCGAACCCATTTAATGGGAGAAAAGCGGCCAAAGAAGGTGGAAGCCATCACCCCAAAGCCTTCAGAAGTCCCCATCAAGCCTTCAACTACCTCCACCCGCCCAACAATCGTCAAGGAAGCCAAGGAGACCTGCAAAAAAGCAGGTCATCACAAAGAATCGCTTAAAAGAAAGATGGTGGACGAAGAACCGGCCAAAAAGAGGATGAGAATGGACCTAGAGGAGGGCGAAATCGTCTCCTCCGACGATGAGGACAAGGAGAACCTCCCGCCCGACCACAGTGGGCTCATCAAAAAGATGTTGGGGACCAATGGACGGACCTATTTGGAGATCCAGATGCCAGAGAAGGTCAAGCTGGCAGACCCAACCGACCCAGATGAAATGTGGAAGAAGCTGCGAGCCCTCTACGGTGGCCAGAGGTCCATCGACAAGACCAAAGCCCGGGAATTTTTCAAGATTTCCCCGTCCGGACCTCTACTCCAAAAGCGAAAATAATAATATTGATAATATGTTTGTAATATTTATATTTCCCGATGTAATTTTAATATTTTTTCTCTCTCTTCTCTCTTTGTAAATATTTTTTGGATAAAATAAACAAAATTACCTCAAAATTCGGACTATTTTTTGATCATTTTACTAATATTTCTTGTCGCACAGTGCAGTTCAAGGAGGGCTCCACTGCACTGTGCAATCAACAGTACATAGAAAAAAAATTAGATCCTTCAATCTCGAATTTTTTTTCTCAGGAATCTATCAAAATTTTAGCTATCAATTCTTAAACATAATTTTTTTAAAAAATAAAAAAAATTTCTTCTAATTTTGGGCTCCAAATTTTCAGACTCCGTTAGTCATAAGGTTTACCGGGTTTCTACAAAAAATCAATTTTTTCCCAGCTCAACCCAAAAAAAAGTTATAGCCAAAAAGTTTTTTTTGTCTGGCCGACTCTCCCCATTTTCCATGCTCTCTCGAAAAAAGACGGCTTAATACCCCAATATTTGCGCCGTAGGTGAAAATTCCGATCTAAAACTTCCAGGGATTTATCTCCAAGCGATTATAAGAAAATACAAAATCTCAAAAAAAAAAAAAAAAAAAAAAAAAAAAAAAAATTATGTTACACTAGGGTCCCTTGAGCAAAAAAAATTTGAAAACAACTCCCAAAAAATCTCTAAAAAGTATCCGTACAACTCCTCCACTCACAAAAAAAATATTTTCCCTCCTCTTTCCACATCAAAACGACTACAAAAACCCCAAACCTACTCAATGAACTTGTGCCTCAACCTCCATTCACACCGGCTGTCACAAGTGTTGAACTGGTTCAATTCCGATGCCAGTCGCAGTCTCACGTCTTCGGAGCAGACTTTATAAAAGTCGTAGAGGTTGGTCAACAAGCCCTTTTGCACATCCGGCGTGTCCAAGACGAATCGTTGGAAGATGGGGACCAGGTCTCGGTCCGTCTTCTTTTGGCCGATAATTTTCGCGATTTCATGGATGGACTGGGCCAGACACAGACGGATGGCGGGCTGAAAATATTGTAAATTTACTTAGCTTATCATATTTTATCCATTCCAGCACTAAATTTTTTGAAAACTAAATTTTTTCGACCAAAAATTAAGATCATCACCTACCTCATAAATAATATCAAAAAAATCACTAAAAATTCATTCAAACCATTTCCTTACCGACTGATGAGAAGCCAGACTCAAATACAACGCCTTGATGAAGATCCAGCGCTGTGATCCGAACGTATAGGCGATGGCTGGGAAGCAGCGGGCCAGGATCAATTGATGCTCGTCCGAGTCCTCCATTTCATCGCGTTGCTGCATTTGGGAGAGGGCGTCGAACAATTTTTGAGGGATCACATCCTAAAATGCAAGGTTAGGAGTGTTGTGGAGCCTCAAAAGCCTCCACAATTCCCACAGAAATTAGCATAAAACAAGTCATATAAAAGCGATGTCTCATCACCAATTATCATAATTAATCCCATTCTCTTTTCCCTGTTTGCGGTGGTCCAATAAACCCTATTCTAATCTCGTGTCCATTTCATCTACCTATCCACTGTTTGATCCTACACCACATGGGGGCTTGAGCTGGTGTAGGAAGATCCTGGAGCATCGTTTGGATCGGAACAACTACAGGTATTGTTCAATCGCATTTTTTTTTTGTTTTTACCACTGGTACTAGCCATACCAGTGTCTGTCTTTAGAGTTCTCCTTAGAGGCTCGGTACGATCATTATCGTACAAATTGTGTTTTCCCTTTGTGTTAGGGCAGTGGTTCCCTTCGTGTTGTGTATTTATCGGGTTAGATCCCCGCCTTTTTTTGGGTTAGATCCCCTACTTTTCGGGTTAGATCCCCGCCTTTTGTTGGGTTAGATCCCCACTTCTCGGGTTAGATCCCCGCCTTTTATTGGGTTAGATCCCCGTCTTTATTTGTGTTCCTCTTGGTCTCCTATCGTTTTTCATCATGACTGATCCCCCGGACACGTCTCACGATCAACCTCACCTCTCTTCGGCTTCCACCGTTACCCTTTTGAACCCGGCCGATATCGCAGCAGCACCTCAATGTTCTTTAGAAGAGCACGCTCGGCATCGCGCCATCATCTCCGGTTTCCGTCCGACCCCCGAGAACAACCGGCAGATTGCGACCTTATTCGCAGCATTTGTCAACATCCCAACCACATATCGAGAGATTAAAGCCGTGTGCCGCACTATCTACACCTTGATCACCTTCGACTTCGCTCGTATACTCAGTCGTTTAGAAAATCCGTTGATTCGCTTGACCGACCTCTCGGATATTCCATCGTTTACCCTGAAGCTGTTCAGTGAGATCTTGGAGTCCCTAAAGACTGTTGAAACCGACTTCCGGACTGCATTGTACGATCTAGAGGATCTAGAACTTTCGCACCAGGTCCCCTTCGCCACTACGCAACTCTACATGAATTCTTTGTCGTGTCTCTTAGTCAGTGAGATGCTCGGTTATTGGATTGAGAGTTGCATGGACGCTATCCAAAGATGTCAAGAAGCATGTGCTCGGGTTGAATTTCTGAATAGTCCGTCCAGATCTAGTGTTCTCCCTTCTCCTCAATTAGGTAACTTGAATCCGGTACCCTCGTCTCCAGTGTCCCCTCGATCCACTTTCCTCGATCTCCATAAGATTCGGATCAACAAATTTTCGGGTAAACCTGAGGAATTTTCCCAGTTTTTCGGCGTTTTGACGAATGCCTTAGATAGCAACTCTCACTACTCGGAAATGAGCAAAATAACCTTTGTCTTGTCGCTTTTGGCCGGCGAGCCTCTTGAGATGATTCAGGCGATTCCGATCGTTGAAGGAAGCCTGCGCCTTATTCTGAACGCTCTTCAGAGACGCTATGGAGACAAACGAGCTCATTATCAACGTCTCCTAAAGGAATTGAAGGACAAGAAGTACTCTGTTCCTCGCACTCAAGCTGAATTGAAGGACTGGTACTATCGACTTATGATCATGCGTGATTCTCTCGTTTCCTCGCCTTCTCTCTCGAATGTCCACTCTCCAGGTCTATTGTCAGAGAATGAGTTGTTCATCTCTCATATTCTCGAGTCGCTCCCTGAAGACATCCATCGATCTATTGAGCTGCATTTTGAGCATTCGGCTATTGTGCCTACGGTAGATGACATCCTATCCTACCTTGACAGTATTATCCGTTCGCGTGAAAGGTTCTCATTGAGTCGGGACAAGGATTCTCACTTTCGCTCGCCACAGTTCTCCAATACTTCGAATTTTCATCGAGAGATGTGTGCATTTTGTGATCGAAGCCATCGTTCAAAGGATTGCCGGACAGTATCAGATCATTCCAGGAGACGACAGGTGATTCGTGAGAAGAATTTATGTGCTCGTTGTCTTTGTCGAGGTCATGTGTCCTCTCAGTGTCGTTCTCCAATGTGTAATCAGTGCCAAGGTGATCATCACATTTCGATTTGTTCTCAGGCTTTACCTTCTTCGAACATTAACTTTAATCAACCCCAGCGGTCTTTCTTTGGTCAGTCGACCCACTCGTCTCCTCCGTTATCCTCGACATTCCCGAATAATCTTGAGACTCCTCGGGCTTCCGGTTTTCCTCCATCCAATACCCCGGCCATTCAACCAACCAATGGACCATCAGTTCAGATGAGAACGGTTTCCTTGCCCCAAAATGAGGAAGTTATGTCCCCAATGGTGACAGTGAGCGGATTTCGTGATCCCGTGAAAGCTTTTATCGATACGGGCTCTCAGGTTTCTTTTGTTGACCTTGGATTCTGTCGTTCTCTCCAATTGCCTCTCGATTCTCCGATTATCCGCACAGTGATTCCTGTTGGTGGAAATGTCCAATCGATCCAAACATTCAAGACATCGGTGTCTATTGTTCCCAAATCTGGTCCACCTGTTGAATTCCGTGTTCTCGCAATCGAAAATCTCCACGAGTTTTTCATGGGCCAGCCGGCTGACTCTGGTCAAGTGCCGATTCGTATTGTTCTCGGGCAAGATTGCCTCGCAAAATTGGAAATACAATCTTCGAACCACGTTACCCCAGATGGACTTCGAGTCATGTCTTGTCGCTTTGGTCATTTTCTTGTCTCGGAAAACTCGGACGAATTGTGTTCAGACTACCCAATCGATTTTTGCCGGATTCGAAAATCCACATTTTTTGCGAATCGAAAGAAAAAGAAATCTGTGGCTCCAAAAATTATTTCTCCAGTGGAAAATGCTGCTGACTTTGTGAACTCGTATAGTCATTCACTTCGAAAGTCACCGGATCCTAGTGTGAACTCTCTGCCGCTTTCCACTCATTGTGAACCCGCCGTGGAGGTTGGGCATGTATTGCCGTTGGGCAATAGTCTATTGCAGAAGCCTAATCGAGGTCCAAACCTCAAATACATTTCGGTTTCCCACTCGAACCCGTGTACGATGGTCCCTCGTAACCTGCCACCAAGTGATTTGCCCGTGAATCGGCGAATCAAATGCAAGTACAAACCAAAGGAACACGAACTTTCCCTCGATTATGAACCTACCAAGAGCCCCAAAGTTCCCTGGAAGTGCCCTGCGAAGTTCAACTGGTACCTGCCCCATGCCAACCCAACCCAGAAGGAAGAGCCGGACATGTTGTGGAGCCTCAAAAGCCTCCACAATTCCCACAGAAATTAGCATAAAACAAGTCATATAAAAGCGATGTCTCATCACCAATTATCATAATTAATCCCATTCTCTTTTCCCTGTTTGCGGTGGTCCAATAAACCCTATTCTAATCTCGTGTCCATTTCATCTACCTATCCACTGTTTGATCCTACACCACAAGGAGATAATTTTTTCAACTTTAAATTTTTTTGAGAATGAAAAAAACAATCTGAAATTTCCAATGCACAAAATTTTCAAGCCCCACTAAAATTTTCCAAAAGCCCCAAAAAACACAACATTCTCAAAAAAGTATCCAAAAAAACTCAAAAAGTATCCAAAAGTATCAAAATTCCGCAAAATTCTTATGAAAGAAATCAAAAAAAAAAATTTTTCATTGTGTCCGAAAAAACACAACTCCATCAAAAAGTATCCCAAAATCTTCAAAAAGTATCCAAATCCCTCAAAAAGTATCAAAAAAACCTCAAATTTCCAAAACGCAAAAATTTTCCTAAAGCCCTCAAAAAGTACCCAAAATCCTCAAAAAAGTATCAAAAATCCTCAAAAAGTATCCAAATCCTTCAGAAAGTATCCAAAAACACTCAAAAAGTATCCAAAACCCTCAAAAAGTACCACAAAATCCTCAAAAGGTATCCAAAAGCATCAAAAAGTACCCAAAACCCTCAAAAATTTTCCAAAGCCCTCAAAAAATATCCAAATCCCTCAAAAAGTATCCAAATACCTCAAAAAGTATCCAAATCCCTCAAAATGCCTACCTGTTCCGAATTCATCAGCTGATTGTACTCCCCGTCCGTCAGGAATTTCTTCGCATTTTCCAGATGCTTTCTCTGCAACGTGTGCAATTTGCTTTTCAATTCCTCCGCTTCCAAGTCGGCCTTCTGTTCCCAAATGGCTTCATTTTTCGCTTCTTCCTTTCTTTCGGCGTTGCCCTGGATTCGCTGTTTCACTTTTTCGGTGAACTGTCGGAACGGTGCGACCGTTGCCTCGGGCTTTCGGGTGTCGTTCGAATTTGAAATTTCTTTCGAAAAATTCTTCGAATTCACGTTCATTGGTCGAATTTTCGCGATCAAAGCCGAAGTTGCTGAGGTTGTTGTGGTCGAGGTTGGTGCCTGAGTTGTTGTTATTGCAGTCTGCGATAAAAGCATCGACTGGGCGGCCGTTTTCTTCATGAAATCCAGGGGTTTTCGGGCAAAATCGAAGCGCCGCTTCCAGAACCCTTCGGTCGTCTGTTTCGGGGTCAAAAGCGCGTGAACTGGGTTGGAGTCGTTCTGAAAATGGGGGGAAATCACATTCTAAACTCTTCTAAGTGTATTCTAAATCCCAAATTAATTAGTAAAATTGCCAAAAATTTATTGAAAAATCAAGAAAAAAATAAAATTTTGGAAAAAATGCCGTTTTCTCAAATTTTTTGTCAATTTGCAAAAAATTTCAAAAGTCATTGACTTGAAATTGTGTCAGTTATGTAGTACACATCTTAGATTTATAGTGAGCAACAAAATTCAGTCCAAAAAATGGGCAAAAGTTGCCAAAAATTCAAAAAAAATCAAAAAATTTCGGCAAATGTTGAGATTTTCACGATTATTTCGATTATTTTCATAAATTTTCAATCATAGAATACCCTCAAATGCTCTCTACTCTAATCCTACATAATTTACAAGTCATTGCACACCAAAATCTACCCAAAAACCGAGAAAAATCAAAGCTTTTAGCCAAAAAAACCAAAAAAAATCCAAAAATTCCCCCAAATTTCAATTTTCCCCCCTAAATTCCCCTAAAACCCAGTAAAATCCAACATCTACCGTCTTTCCAATCCACTGTTCTCCATTAATTCTCCAGCCCTCACAAGTTTCGATCATTTTTCGTTCAAAAACCAATATTTTTTCATCAAAAAATACATTGATCTAATGAATAATACAAGATTAAATAATACTGACCTCAAAACTGTTTTCAAACAGTTCGATTACCAATTTTCTGATCCCGTAACGTTAACTATTGCACTCGTCTAGACCTGGACTTCCCAAAACATAAAAAACACCAGATTTTTTAAGGCAACGATTTTAAATTGTGCCCTTAGGCTATCACGGGGCCAATGAGATAAACAAAAAACAATAAAGAAAGAGTCTGAAATTCCTTTTTTGCCCAAAAACTATCAAAACATGGCTAAATCAATAAAAAATTTCGAATTTTAAAAGCAATTTACCATCAAAACACCTCTCAAATGACCTAAAAAGCTCTTAACTGATCTCTAAGCTTCAATGTCCATCATTTTAAATTCAAATTCCGGGGATTGGACGTCCAATTCATTAATCCGACCTAAAAATGGGTTATTTCCCAATTTCGGGTGCAATTTCACTCAAATTGCGTTACAATTTCGCCTATAAACGACAAAATTCCGAGTCTATTTTGTTCACCCAGATGGAATTCTAAAATTACCCGAGTAATTTTGTCAAATGAGCCAAAATTTGAGATGGCAGGCTGCGCCCTGGCTAGGAAAAATTAACAATATTATTTGAGATGCTACTCGCTATGATTTTCAAGACTAGTCTTTACTAATTTAATACATTTCCATCCATAATTTTCAAACTTTAAAATCGAAACCTGGGCGCGAGCTGCCAGCTTAAAAATCCGGAAAATTTGTGGAAATTTCCAAAAAAAAAACGTTATAAAATCTGGCATTATCTGCAAAAAAATTGCCTTCAATTTTTGTCAAATTTAATTTCATCGGGCGCGAGCTGTCAACTCAAAAATCCGCAAAACTTGTGAAAATTCCCGAAAAAATTCTAATAATACAATCTAGGAACCCTTCAGCATCACTTAAAGAAAAAATTCTATGAATTTCCCCAAATTAAATTTCATCGGGCGCGAGCTGCCAACTTAAAAATCCGCAAAATTTTTGAAAATTCCCGACAAAATTCTAATAATACAATCTAGGAACCCCTCAGCTTCATTTATAGAAAAAAAATTCTATGAATTTCCTCAAATTAAATTTCATCGGGCGCGAGCTGCCAACTCAAACATTCGCAAAATTTGTGAAAATTCCCAAAAAAATCTAATAATACAATCTAGGAACCCTTCAGCTTCATTTAAAGAAAAAATTCTATCAATTTCCCCAAATTAAATTTCGTCGGGCGCGAGCTGCCAACTCAAACATTCGCAAAATTTGTGAAAATTCCCAAAAAAATCTAATAATACAATCTAGGAACCCTTCAGCTTCATTTATAGAAAAAATTCTTTCAATTTCCATAAATTAAATTTCATCGGGCGCGAGCTGCCAACTCAAACATTCGCAAAATTTTTTTAATTTCCAAAAAAATGTTATAAAATACTCAACAAAAGCCCTTGGCTTCACTTAAAAAGTTTTTTTTTATCAATTTCCACCAAATTTAATTTCATCGGGCGCGAGCTGCCAACTCCAAAACTCTAAAATAAACTCCCAAATCCCATACCATAATAAAAATTGGACCATGATCGCCTCAGTGATACCTTTTTGCTTCACCTCCACTGCTCTCGCCTCCGTCCAGAACTTGTTTTCAAATTCATTGCAAAAAAAATCTTGTTGTTTCGAGACGGAAAATCTGGGGTAAAGCGCGTCAAAATTGACATAATCTGTCAGTTTTCTTATCGGATATGGCTGGTCGCGGCTCAAGGTGCCGGCCAACAATAGTCAAACTTCCTGAGCCAGAAGTTTTTTGAGGCGTTTCTGTCATAAAATCAAGATTTTTTACAAATTTTCGTCAAAATAAATGTAATGACAGCTCCAAAGGCTTCAAATCGGGGAAAATTTTTGACAGGCTTTATTATTATGACCTCTAACACACCTGTTACTAAATTTCAACATTCTAAAAATACGATTTGACCTTGCCAAATCGTCAAAATAAACAAAAAACCGGAAAAAAGTGCCAAAAATGGCAATTTTTAGCTAAAAAATCTCAAAAATGGCTTCCAAATTTTTTGTAGTCACCTAAAACAGGCCTCAATATTTCTCAAATTCTCTAAAAATCCCATTTTTACCCCCAAGCAAAATTCATACCTCCTCGTCGTTTCCACTTCGGACCACGTCCGCCCATGACCTTTTGGTCGGTGAATTTGAGTTGGAATTGTCATTTGAAGACGATTCCTGGCCATTCGAGATTCCAATCGGAGGGAATGCAGTGTCATACAGCGTTTCTTGGGGTTCTGTCGGCTTCTAAAATACGACTTTCATCAAAATTTTAAAAAAAAATCGAAAAAAATTCAAAAAATCTCAAATTTCCTAAGGGCATAATGAAAAAAATAAAAAAAATTTTGCTTTTCAAAGCATCACTGATAATTTTTTAGACTTAAAATCAAAAAATTTGCCAAAAAATTCAAGTTATTACCTAAAATCAAAAAAAAACCTCAAAAATGGCCGATTTTTTACTTTTTTTTCAATTTTTTCATCAAAAAATCAAAAAAAAATCCAAATAAACCCTCAAATCCTCTTCCTCAGTCTTATAGCTCACCTCAGAAACCAAATTCCCATTCAATTCGTCATCATTTTGCATCGAATTGGCCTTATTCAAGTTCTCACTCCTCTGGATGTACCGTTGAACTTCTTCAAAGTCCAGTTCAGCATCGAAAGACCAGTAATTTATCTGGCTACTATCCGCTTCCTCAGGCTCTTCGTCAAACAATGAAGTCGGTCTTGGGGTCTGGTTTTTCCCGGAGACATTCGAATTCCTCTCATCTTCCGTTTTTTCGTCCTCCGAAATTTGAATATTCAAGTCCGGAGGTGAAATTTCGTCCAAATTCAGACGCGGGACGGGACTAGACGGTCTGAAATTCTCCAAAAAATAGTAAAAAACTTTCCAAACCATCCAAAAAATCGCAATTTGCCGATTTTTCAATTTCAATTTTTCGCACAGTGCAATCACTTTTTTGGCCAAAAACTACAGTAAGATAATAACTTACGAGTTCGAAATTTCCTGCAGAGCGTTGGCAGAGGGCTCATCAACCATTGGGATTCTGAAAAAATCAAAATTTCAGCTTCATTTTCAAAAAAATTCGAAAAAAATTTTTTGCACAGTGCAGTCCACAAAACTTTGAAAAAAACTATTGTGCACCAAAAAATTATCTTCAAAATTTCTCTCATCCAAAAACCAGACTAACATGAAGCCAAAAACAACGAGAAATTTCATTTCAACTCCAATTTTCCCTTCAAAATTCCACTTTTTCTCAGCAAACCCTACTACAATATAAAAATATCTTCATTTTTCCCGAATTTCTTTGCAGTTTTTCCTCCTTTGTCTAATCCAACTCGGCTGATTCTTGGAATTCCTCGTTCTAATCGCATTTAAGCCAATTAAGAGAGAAAAAACCTCGAAAAGTTCCAAAAATACTCGAAAAACGTCTGCCTTTTAGTAACAATGGCAAAAAACTCATGGCCGACGTTTCTTTGGCCCGCAAAAAACGAGACGTTCACCCTGGACAAGACGGCGGCATTAACTTTCAATCAAATTGGGATGAAAAACCGGGGGAAAAACGGGGGCCAGATGGACGGAGGGGGCTTGACGGGCCAGACTGATCTCAAAACGGGATAACTGATATGAAAACGATAGTAGGGCGAGAAAAAAATACAGTGATATTGGATTTCAGTGGCTGAGTGAGACATTTGTCGGGGGAAAAATTGAAAAAAAATTGAAAAAAATCAAAAAAAAAATTGCCGATAAAAGTGAAAAAATCTATTTTTTTTTCCTTTTTTGTCACTGAAAAAAAACAAAAATAAATTTGTAAAATACGATCAGGGGAATTTTATTCATAGTAGAACCTATAAAATCAAAAAAAAAAAAAAAATAAAATAAAAATAAAAAAAAATTTTTTGAACAAAAACTCTCAAAAAGTATCAATTTTACCTAAAAGTTCCGCTCAAAAAAATCAAAACCTTTTGTAAAACACGTTCAGCAATCTAATGTTATTTTTTCGCATAATCAAACAGCTAAAACACCCTTAAAAATCAAAAAAACCCCGCAAATCCCAAAAATTCCAAAAAATCACAATTCTCACCCAAAAAATCTCTAAAAAACTCAATTTCAATCCTCCAAAATCCTTCAACCCCCCTGATTCACCATTTTATATCCAAAACACCATCTGAAAACACTAAAAAGTACAAAAAACCTCTTTCAAATCGTCATCATCAACTCGAAATTTCCGTAAAAACGTAAAAAATCCCTCCTCGAGCCATCCATCTGTTATTACCCTCGGGAGGGCCGCAAAAGAAACCGCTGCTCATCGGTTTCGGTGCCTCTCAGCAGCCTACGGTCAAAGCCCGATGGAAAACAACATTTCTGAGAGTGTTCTGGCCCTCGGATTAGAGTGTTTACTGCTACTTTTGGGGGGAAAAAAGAAATCAAATTGCTGCAATTATAATATTTTTTAGTTTTTCATAGTGCACGTCGAACATTTAGGGGTCAAAAACCGCAAAAACAACAATGATATCAACGATAATCACTGTGAATCATGAAATAAAAAAATTTTTTTTGAATACTTGTTTTTTTTGTTTTGTAAATTTCTCCAAGTTCAACGTTCCAAATTTCTTCAAATTTTGCATACATGCCCTATCTGGACCATAAACCAACCCCAACAATTTTTAGCCTGCGCTTTGAAATCGCAGCCCAGATATCCCACGATTTTTACAGTCGAGAGACCTTACCAATCCGTCGGGAAAATAATGTGGATTTGTTGCGCCTTCAAATCGCCCATCATCGCGTTGCGACGGTTTGCCGTGGTTGCAGATTTAGTGGGCTACTCCGGCAAGGCGAGATATTTTTCTGCGACAAATCCACATTATTTTCCCGACAGACTAAAATAAAACAACGAGATAATCAAAAAAAAAACTAAAAATTTTTCCGACAACTTCATCACAAATTTTGAGAAAAAAATCAAGTTTAAACCGCAAAAAATAAATCACCACAGAGATCTCAAAAATAAGAAAAAAAATCAATTTTTAGTGCGTTTTTTCAAATTTTTTTGCACAGTGCAACAAGTTCAAAATAGTAAAAAAAAACTTCATCTAGCCTTCCGTGACAGTCAATAAAACCTTTATCATCCTCAGCAATCCCCAAATCTCAAAAAAAAAAAAAAAAAAAACGAAAACTCAAAAATTTAGCCCAAAAATCCTTTTTTTGCACCCAATTTTTTCTAATCCAAAAACTCTACAGTACTTTCCAACCCCAACCACAAGCTCTATCACACCTTCCTCCTAGAAGGAAGAACGAAGTTTTTCGTTTCAAATCTCACCTTTCATCTTCATTTTCCTCGTCCTTTCCCTCTTTTGCCCCCATTTCCGCTGCGAACTTGTCCAAAGCCGCGTCCATACCGTTCGGATCCAAGTCTTCGCTCATAATATCGTCCAGACAAAAGTCTGGGTCATTCAACGACACCAAATTCTTGCCCGGTTCGTATGGCCAACGCTTGAGTGTGAACATTTGAGGGTCTTCGTCCTGTTTTTCCTCGGCTTTCTCTTCCTCATCGAACAAATTTCTTTGTTTGTAATTCTTCACGCGGGTCCAGCCCGTGGAAGAGGTGTCGCGGAAGTTGGGAGACGCCGTGAGGATGCTGTTCTCCGAGTCTACGGACGACACCGAGGAGGCTGAGTAATTTCGGACCCGGGGTTGGGGTTTTGGGGCATCGGGCAGGTGAAACCCTAAAAATTTTTTTAGAAGCTCAAAAAATCGCCAAAAAACTACGGTGAGAAGTTCCGAAAACTCCAAAAAAAAAAAAAAAAAATATTATTTCTTATCGACTGACAGTAATTTTGTCTCCATTGCACTGTACAAAGAAAAAATTACACCAAAAATTGCACGAGACAAATAAATTCTCAGGAAAATGTCTCCAGTTCCAACTCTCAGATTCTGATCAAACTTGGCACAAATTTAAACTAAGCTTTTCCAAGACACATGCGAGATTTTAGCTCGAGCATTGTAGGAAAAATTAAGATCTTTAGGTCGAAAATTACAAAAAATTTGAACATTCTTCTTTGAAATTTTCAGGATGAAAAATTGGCATTTTGTTTCAAGTGTGGAGGTAAAGGTCTCTGTCAAAAAATTAAGAAAAATCCAAATTTTTGTGCAAAAACACTTTATACCACCTTTCAAATTGGATGCCAATCTTCACCCTAAAAATCTCAAGGAAGAATGTTCAAATTTTTTGCAATTTTCGACCAAAAAATCTCAATTTTTTCTACAATGCCAGAGCTAAAATCTCGCATATGTCTTAGAAAATCTCAATCACAAAATTTGTGTCAAGTTTCATCAGAATCTGAGGGTCTAGGGTCTTGAGAGACCTATCTGAGAATTTATTTTCCTCGCATCGTGCAAATTTTTGTGTAATGTTTTCTTTGTACAGTGCAATGGAGACAAAATTACTGTAAATCGATGAGAAATAATATTTTTTCGCCACCAAGTTCACTTTTTAAAACCTCAAAAAATTGATTAAAAACCCTAATTCCAACCACTTCAAATTCTAAATTCCTACCATCCGGGACGTCATAAAGCCTCTGTAGATCCGCTTTATCATCGTTTATACTCTCATCCAGGTCAAACTCCTCCGTGCTCGTGTCTTTTTGAGATTCTTCCGGCTCTTCAGAGCCATCTGACGAGGAATCACTGATTTTTTCGTCTTTCTCCTCCGGAATCGTGCTAAAAATCGTTAAATACAGTAATCTTCCATCCCAAAAAATCCCATTTTTTCAATTCCAAATCAAATTTTTCAACCTACTACGCTACATAGCCCACAAAAATCACTGTGACAATAACTGTCGCATATTCCAAAACAAAAGTTAGAGTCGGAAACATGATGACAATCAAATTCAAAGCCAACAAACTATTCAAATCACCAATTTTCCGTTGTCTTCCGTTCGAATTTTACACGATTGAGAGGACATTGGAAAATCGAATTAGAATTTCCGTCGGCGAAGATCAGATCACGTGGTCGCGGAAGCTCAAACCGAAATTTTCGGGTAGTTTGAGCTTATAAATAAACTAAAACTCAATTTCAAGCCCAGTTTTAACTTCAGAATTATCTTACACTAGACACAAAAAAATTTTTTGAAAATTTTTCGGCAAAAAATCGGCAAATTTTTGCGTGAATTTTACAGAGATTGTCTATAAATCAACCAGAGATGTTCCATTTCCCCAAATTTTTTAGCAATAGACAACCAAAATAATTTTGAAAAATTCGGCAGCTCGCGCCCTGGACATGCTCCTTTTTACAAGGAAAGTACTTTTATGGGGGCTCCTACTTTTTGACGGGACATATCTCAAAAAATCAGAAAAAATGTGCTGATCAAGGATATATAAATCTTAGCTGCCCATTTTAGGTTTTTAGGGGTGAAAACTCAATCGGAAGATGACTTAAAGCCCTATATGAACCCCTTTTCGCTTGATTTTTCACAGGTTTACAATTTTTATTTTGGCTTAAAATTATGTTTATTGAGTTTCTAAGACGTAATAAATCAGTCTTGGCACAAAAATTTATTTTTCCGACCTTCATCTTCAAAAAAAGTTGATTCAGTCCAAAAGGGAAACCGAACCCGTGCGACATTCCCCTCTTGACTCCCAGACTACGGCACTAGCCACTCGGCCACACCGCTCTCTTCCGAAGGAAGAGACCGACTGCGCTTTTTATCGTTTCGAATGCCTGCGCTTTTTGTAGGGAAATTAAGCCAGTTTTTGGGCATTTTCACCCCTAAAAACCTAAAATGGGCAGCTAGGATTTATATATCCTTGATCAGCACATTTTTTCTGATTTTTTGAGATATGTCCCGTCAAAAAGTAGGAGCCCCCATAAAAGTACTCTCCTTGTTAGGCAAAAAAGTCCTTTACAATTCAAATTGAGCTCATAAATAGACTCGCCATCTCGTATTTTACCCTTATTCCACGCCAAATTCAAAGATACAGCCATTACACCTCTCCGTATTTTACCCTTCCATCACCTAAACTTACACTTTTTTCGGTGACCTTTTTGGGCTCAAACTCTCCAATTGACCGTCCTTTATCATCAACCCAGTCCTTCGTGGCTCAGCAAAGGTTGCAATAATCGGACCTAGCTGGGATGACGATGACATATGGACCTAAAAATCGACTTATTTCTCCTTTACTCCACCTAAAGTAATATAAATTTAGTATAAAAGGTAACTAAAATCCCCAACTTCTCATCAAAAGCAGTCTAAACCTCTTCACAAGCCCTAAAAACCTCATAAATTTGATTTTTTCACCAACCTTTCATCTAAATCACTACAATTTTTTTCTTCAAAGACCCTTGCAGACCACTCAGACCTCTTCCTAGCAATAAATTTCCTCCTAAACCTGCTTACAAATCGTTGTTTATCCTCCAGGAGCTTCAAAAAGCTCGGTGCCAAGACATTTTCTCTTATTTTCACCGAGCAATTCGTCGAAATGTCCACAAAAACCTCGGCGCATGCGATTCGGACCCTCGAATTTGTGTCATTTATTGCTCTGAGTAGGTGTGGGACGAGGCAGCGTTCCGTGAAGGTTTGCCCAAATCTTTTTGCCAGCGCGCCCATCGTTGATAGGGACAGTTTGCGGATTACGCAGCTGTCATCAGCGAAGAACGCTGAGAATTGAGCCAAGAAATGGGCGTAGGCCCAGTCTCTGGGGTAGATGTCGATCTGATTGGCGACAAAACATAGGACCTGCAAATATTTGAGTGTTCATACCTTCTTTTAGGTAAAAATTTCTGCTGGATTCGAATTTTTGGAGGAAATTTTATTATTTTTTATTTTTTTTGGTGAAAATTTTCTAAAATTTTCCGTACCTGTCCAAAATAAAACTTTTAGATCAACTTTTATGAATTTCAGTTCAAATTTGGGACCCTCCGGCGAGATCTTCAGAATTTTTTTTCCGAAAAAAATGGTACTGGTTGGCTACAAAAATCAGTAAATTCCGATCTAAATTTTTCAAAAACTTTAAAATTTTTCATTTCCTTGACCTTACTTTGTGCCGTTTTCTCTAAAAATCGATAAAATTCTGCTTAAAAACCAAAAATTTTTCACCATTAAAAACTTCACAAATTCAAATTTTCACTTCATTATGTTCCATTCTGCGCAAAACTTTACGGTACATCAAAGCTGGCTGTGATATGGACCCATACTTTCAACAGCGGCAAATCACTTCCACTTTGACAGACCGTTCAGTCGTGCGTTTTTTTTTTGTAGTTCACAATATAGCGTAACAATATCATGTAGGTATCAGTTCCGAATTTCCAGCACTGCCAAGACCTCACAAGACCCAAGAACATCTCAGAAGACGAGAAAAAGACATGGATAACATCAACAAAAAACTAATCTCCACAACTTTCTGATACTAAAAGTCCAACACTACTGTTTCAAGGCCAAAACCTCTGAGAAAACTCTGCTAATAGCCCAATCAAATCCACCTTCTCCAAACTAAAACAAAGCGGATTAGAGTGCACACTGAATGAGTGATCAATTACCCCAGCGGGGCCGAACAAATCCCCCTTAAAATCCATTCAAATGAGGCCCGACAACTGACGCGGGCCCGGCTGCTGCTCTCGCGGAAAAAACACGGCACCCTCCTGCCCTCCCGTAGCGAGAACATTAGGGAGAGGAAAGACGTGGGGCGGACAAAAGTGACAAATTCCCCTGGACTTTACGGGCACTGAGGTCCGAAAGTGAAGTGCTGCCGTTAACGCTCCCGATCATGACGAAAGGTCAGGAATTTAGGTTCAAAGACAAGAAAGGTACTTTGTAGTCCTTGAAAAAGCGTAAGCTCAGAAAGAACGGCCCAACTCCCGACAACGGCAACATTTTCAAACAAAAAATGCCGAATCGTAGAGATGACTGAAACCTTGTGATTAGACATTTTTGTAGAGATCGAAGTCTGGGGATTGAGCATGGTATTTTTTGGGGTTTTTGGAAGACTGTAGTCGATCATTCTGTGACAAAGGATGTGGGAAACAAGCACGGCTCCGGATCTACTTCGATCGACAAAACAGGTCGAAAAAGAAATCCACAAAACCACAGATTTGGCATCAAAAAGTATTCCAGAGACCGTTTGAGTATCTCCAATACTTTTTGATACCAAATTCGAGGTTTTCTGGATTCCCTTTTCAAACTTTTTACCGATCGAAGAAGATCCATGGCTGTGCTTGGTTCCCCACAACTTTTATCACAAAATGATCAACTACGATCTTCAAAAAATCCCATGCTCAATCCCCAGACTTCTTATCTCTACAAGAATATCCAATCAAAAGGCTTTAGTTACCTCTACGAACATCCAAAAATCTCAATCAAATCAAAAGCAAACTTTCGTCTGAATAAAAATAATGAGAAAAGTCAGGAGCGATTAGTAAGAGGGGCAACTGTGGCGGCCGAAGAAAAGACGAATGGACTTCTCTCAATGAGACTTAGGAGTCAAGATTTACGAGCTCAAGGTGCAGACTAGTGTTATCAAAAGTCAGGTACGTGATTGATTTGAGTGAAATCCTCCGAACGCTACTGGAGATACGACCTTCAGTCTATGAAGAAAATGTCAAAATCGTCAAAGTAAAATTACCACTATTATAGAAGACGAATCCTCTAGGGAGATAAAAACTGATCAATCAAGACGATTTCAGCAAATCCAAGGAGTCAAGCCATTCAAAATGCCTTTTATATCAAAAGCTACAGTATTCTAAACATCCCCCAAACATTTAAAAACGCCGAAACTGCAGTTTACAACCTTTCAAACGGAGACAATTTTAATTGTGACATATCCATGTCGTGCTTCCTGGGCACAACTCCACTTTTTTCATGGCCTATTGCGAAACCGGCCAGTTTCCGGAGCTTAAAACTCTTGCGGGGCCCAAATGAAACAGAGAGACAAAACAAAAGTGCCTTTCCCCTACCCTTACTCCGGGCCATAACCCCACTCGTACCCATCATTTTTCCGCCCGGTCCGACGACATTAAATTGGAGGCCTGGCAGAAGCGCGGCGAGCGAGGAGGGGCGCGGGTTGTAAAACCGGGTAAAAATGAGACAATGAAGAGTTTGGGCCAACAGAGAGCGGCCAAGGCCGATTACACAATCAGAGGGCAACATGAGCATATGGCCGAGAAAAATTGTGGTGTTAAGAATGATGGGCTCGGAAGAAAACAACAAAAACAACGAAAAACCCCCTGTCGGAAGGACCATTCGGGCCGAATGCCCAAGGAATATGGTCAGACTTGTCATAAACAAAGTATTTTTAGAGAACCGCTCGTAAATTTCCGCTCACCACCTCTCCAAACATTCCTTTCTCTGGCAAAAATCGATTTTGCAATTATCCGAAATCTCAAATTGAAACAGAGCCACATGACATCAACAAAAGGAAACATTCGAAGTCAACTAGGCATGACCGACACACGCAGGGTTGGAAATTAAAATGAGAGCTAATGGATGGTATTCGAAAAAAGACAAGAAAGAGGCTCGCTTTAAAAAGGGGCCAAAAAATATTCGAGCTAACCGACGAAAACAAGGCCGGAAAACATCTGACACCCAGATGAGCGAGCCACACTCAATAGATCTGTTCGGAAATCAATAAAAAGTTTCGAAACAAAACAAAGCCTTCCAAGAGGAGCCACGATTCCCAAAAGTGCATGTACTTCTTTCCGAAACAAGACGAAACAACCAGCCTTTGAGTCAAATGTTCATCAATTTCGAGTCCACTCCAAGTCCCACCCGCACAAATCCCCCAATTCAAGTCGGTGGACACACAAATCCGTCCGCATTGCCTTTGCGGCGAGAAAACCCGGCACGAAATACCCTAAAGTGCCTTTTGCATTCATTCCCCCCTCAAAAACATTGCATAATCCAAGCGCTTTTCGCGGGCCGCCGTCCTCCGCGGCCGCGAAAAACAGGGGGACCGCAAAAACGGACGACGACGAGGGTGGTGGAGGGAAGACGAAGAAGAAGAATGCGAATTCTGCGGAGAAAGAGCCGCCGGCAATGGGGCCACAAACAGGAAAATGAATAAAAATGTTTTCGGGGGGCGAGTGCCCGAACAACATTTCGCGAAAATCCCAAAAATAGCGTGGCCGGCGCGAGAGGAAAACGCGAATCGCCGAGCACGAACAAGTCCGATGAACTATAACAAAGTTTCTGGCAATTGGAGCCATCAACAGAAAGCTGCAAGACAATGCAATTATCGAGTGAGATGTCCCGCGATTCGAGAGTCAACTCAAAATTTTTCGATTTACAGAAAATCAAAGTCATCTAGCTAGGAAATGAAGAAACTCTTCGAATAAAAAACCCTTATTGAAAGGCTCCACCGTTGAGAGTACCAAAAATGCAAATTTATCCTTTTCTTCAACCCTTTTCAAGAAAAATGAGACAAGACTTGGCATCAAATCAACCAAAAACAACGACCAGAGCATCAAAGACGGCCAAAATAAGAATTGCGCGGTCGCACCACACGACTCCGACCGCCAAATTAAAATGAAACCTTATTTAGCTGTTTGTATTGCGGTTCCTCGGGGGTTGCGGTTCATTACCAAAAAGGGCCGAGAAAATTGCCAAGACCTCAATTTTCGGCGGCATTCGAATTAGAGGCGGAAATAGAACAGACGCCGGTTTAATTATGAAGACGAACTGAGCAGTTTGACGTGCAAAGAAGATCTTGGAGCTGTCATTTGCATCCAGACCACATTAAGTGAGCAAAAATAACTTTTACAATATCCTCTCCCTCTGTAATATTGCTGAAATTTCATCAGGGCCTATTTTTTCAATCATTTCGTACAAAACAAAGTTCTTCGGTTCAGTTGTCCAATCAGTAGTTGTAACACAGTTTCATCACCATTAACTATTCAATTCGTTACTATAATTTGCATCGCAACATACTTTGTCTTTCAACATAAAGCTTACAAGTTTTTACAAACAATTTCCACTAATCTCTCCATATTCTTTTCCATCCATTGGCCCGGATAAGAGAGCCAAAATCCTCAAATTTCATCAATTTCCAAATGCAAGAACTGAACGACTTCTACGATGCACCTAATCCTTCATGATTGTGACTTTATAAGCCCTAAATAGTCGGTATAATCCGTCCTTAATCCCCGTGTCTTTAATTACGCAGCACAAAGATTGCATTACACATGCGGCGTTCCCCCTTTTTTTCGGGGTTTTATAATTGTATTTCACACCTGTATTCTTTCGTATCCTCCTCACTGCACAGACCATAATTCGATTTCCAACTTTTTGAAATACTTTACGTACGTGTTGGCTGTACACTTGCCGAATTAACCGCACAGTCACGCGGACATGTAGGTGGGCCATTTAGGAGCTCTCAGGTTACTCATAATTATCTCTCAGCTCGACACTTTAAATCTCTCAAACTAGTCATACAAAGGCTCTCAAATTCTGTACCACTGTATGACATAATCCAAAAACAGCCAAAAATTAATATTAACTGAACACTTGGATGATGTGTGTTTGTGTTGTTCAATACGTACAGGACTCAACAATAACACCAAACCGCAAACAACAAGTGCGCAAAAACGACGGCGAACGTGCACCTCCAGCGTATTACATCACTTTTTATGCATTCTCTGACGAGTTAGGCTCACGAAATCGAAAGTTCAAGGTACGGTTGGGTAGGAGTTCATGAGTATAAACGAAACAAAGATATCTTTAGTCCGACAACATATAAACTTATTTTTGGATGGGATTTCACAAGAATTCGAGGTAATACCTGGCTATTTAAAATTGGATTACGTAATGAGAGGACGGATGAAACAAGCCTTAATTATACGTTGTGTAACTTACTCCGAGGCCCAAATCTCACTGTGCGTAACCAAAATGATAATTAAAGGCTGTGGTTTTACGGCGTATCCCTACAAGTGGTAATTTTGGCAGGAGCCAAGATTACCCGGAAACACAAAAATACGACATTTATAAATTTGTATTTCAACACATTCATTATTCATCTTACCGTGTCTTCTATCAATACAATCATTTCTTTCGCAAAATCCTGCAAACTCCATCGTCAAACTCTTCCCCGAATCTCCAATGCAACTCATGATTAGAATGTTTTTCTGTTATTTACTTTGTGTTTTTAGAATCATCCCGTCCGAATATGACTCAATCTCCAATGACTGATTCTCCGCGATCATTCGTCACCGCGGGTTTAGCTTCCTTGTTTTTTTCAAACTTAAACTTTCACTTTTCATTTGCGTGTATGCATATTCCTTCTGTTTTTTTTTTTGTGTGTTTATTATGCTTTTCTTTCTTCTTTGTTTGTGCCAACGACAAGAATAAATATACTACGGCATGAATGCGCCCACCGCGAGGCTTTATTTTTTCTCCCACTTGGCATAAAAAAAATAAGAGTGCAAAAGGCTGCTGGAGACGCAAAACAACCCCGTTTTAAAAGGACATGGAACGGAGCAAAGCGGATACGGCTGATAAGGAGTGACGAGAGGAGAGAAGAGAGGAGGAGGGGCGGCTCCGAAACGTACTACCGACTTTATTTTTGGCCCAATTTTGACAGGATTTCGATGAGATACGAGCGACCGAAAAAGGAAACTTTATGTACAGCGACGAGTCAGCGCCGGGTTCCGTACGAAAAGGCGTGCCAAATTAGGAGGCTGACGTTCTCATGGATGTTCCGAGGTCGAAAGTCTCTACTACTGGTGTTTCTGAACTCGCTAATACCGCACTTTTTGTATCTACGTTTTGCTATTTACTCTCGAGGCGTTTGAAGAGTGCATGGAATAAAATAACAACATCATTGGCATTTCGGGGAGCTTCCACCAAACCCATGGCTAAATGTCAACCAAAGAACGCTTCCGGCGCTCCAAAATATCTTTTCTGTAGTTCATGTTGTAAAACCCGCATGCAATGCTAATTAAAACCGCTGCGAACTGTGTACAACTTCCAAATATAGGCAAAGCGATACGGAGTTCTGGTCTTAAAGACTAAAGGTGGTATAAGACCAAAGAAGAAGAAGTGTACCCGGAAAAAATAATTGGAACAAGACCAAAAACCAGAGCCCAAAGACATTGACGGAGCGGGCGAAAAACAGAATAGTGACACGACCATCAAAGGGCGAGCGGAATATGCCGACGGAATGCCGAACCCGCAAAGCGTCTCACTACCCATGTCTTTCACCTGCGCCGACAAGCCATGTTCGGGTCCACATACACAGTCGTTGATTACTAGTCCAACCTAAAGGACAAGATCGAATCGGAGTACAGAATCACAAATCAAAGATAAAACAAGACTATCCCAAACAAACACAGAGAGTGATGAATTGCTCGGGGCCGAGGAAGTTTCCAATAAGACAAAAACTGATTGATCTGGGCCTCGATTGAACTGGCAAACAGACAGAAAATCTTTGGTTTGAACCTCAAGGAGTCGCACCCTTACAGTCACAGCCATGTACTGCTTACTACCATAATCTGGACAACCGCATACCGCACCCCACCATCCAACATAATGGTGCGGAGCGAGAAATGCCAAAAACTGGCTGGGATCCGATCAAAGTCGCCACCCTCTGCCCCGCTGCCAACTCATTCATTCTTCTTCGGTGTTCCCGCGCTGCACAAAAAACGCAAACCCCCGACGAGAACCCCACTCCGAATGAAGGAGGCGAATGGCCATTACGAATGCCGAATGCGTTCCCGGGCGGCGATTTTTTTGCGCCCAGTTCCGCACTCCGTTCTCCCACCCAACGCACATCTAGATATTACGGGTGGAGGTGGGCGAGACCCAGGGGTGAGGGAGGTAGGGCGAACAACAAAAAAACACCCAGCGCAAACCTGTCAAAACTGTCGAGAGGTGACTGAGATGAATGCCCGCGAATGCCAAACGCACACAAGGCCGAATGCAAAAAACAGCGCAAAAAGCACTGGAGGGATAAGGAGCAGAAAAACCAGCAAAAAAATCGTAGAAAAAACGGGACGATGTTCGAGACCGGCTGGCTGAAAAGAACAGTCAGTGGAAAATGTGCTCCACGGCAATAAATTGAAAGGAAAATGATGATTGAAAGCAATATCCTTTTTCTGCTATACTCGGGGAGAAAGGTCACCGACTCCGTGCGCTCACAACAACTTCGGCCTCAAAACAATTTTCAAAACAACGCCTTATAGCTCAAGAGAATTTACCCAAGAACGCCCATTAAGACCCCCGTGAATTTCTTGAGATTCGCATCTTTCCGTGATGCAATAAATGCTTCGGCACTGCTGCTGCCGGTATTGCGTCATCGCCCCCGACTGAACAAATATCTCAGCTTAACGAGATCTGTCGTCCCCGAAAGCTCAATGATCTCTGAACGCGGGTCAGGGCGCAATCTCGCGCGCTGCAGGTGCCTAATGCGTTCGTTTCGCAACAGGAGGAATGGGGGTCACACTGGGGAAACATACGAGAAGAGGACTACAAAATTAAAAGTAATGTGGGCTTTACGATTAGATGAGTATTTTATGACTGATTAGCATACAGAAACAGCAGGAGACTTCAGTATTATTCAGCATCAAAAATTATGGCCCAATTTCGAAACCTTTTCACGCGGGCAAAGACTTTCGCTTTTTTTGGACTCAACATCAGCGATTTCACAACTACGACAATCGGCGAGGAGCACTGACAGCAAGAGAATAACAATCAAAAATCCAATAAAAAATTCCAAAAATTTCTTGCGTATTTCTCAAATTACAAGAGACAAAAAAATGTAAACAGTCTCGGAAAGACAACAAAAATAATGGGAAGTCGACGTTCGAGAAGCAGAATTTTCGATTCTGCACAGCTTTCAGAGCCAAGCGCAGATAAAAATTTTACAGTGCGTTCGGAATAAAAATGCTCAGCCCCAGACCATGCAATCGAGACTGACGATGGAGGACTGGAAAGACGAAAAAGTTGAAAAAATGGATGGAAAAGAAGGAAGACGGAACGGCCGGAGCAAAAAGGGAACGGCAATGCAAAAAGTTGGAACGACCCCTTCGTCTTTGCGCCGGCCTTCGCGTCCCCACGCCTTCTTTTCCCCCCGTTCGGCTGGAGCGGCGGCCGGCCGGCCCTGCACCCGACGATCAGGGACGGCGAGGGAACAGGAGGGCGTGAGGGATGAAGAGTCCGTGATGAAAAAACGATATGTCCCCCGGTCCCCACCTTCACTTTCTCGCTTCGTCTTTTTCGCTTTCTTTTTCGCCACGAATTTAAGGCCTTCACAAGCGGGTGTGCTGTGAACAGGCTAACGGCGTCCAAAAAACGAGGCAAAAAAAGATAAACCGGCCCAGACATTGGCGAACGCCAGCGGGATTTTCAGCGTGGCCGGATTTTCAGACAGGCCCGATTTCACATCGTCTTCAGGTCAAAGAAAATCGCAGTCTTCAAAATTGAAGTAAAAGCAAAAAGGGAAATGCTCAATTTTTTCCAGCGAGGGCAGGAACGATGTGGTGTTGGGGGTTGGGATGAGAAGGGGGAACGTCTGAAAGTGTTCCGACCCGATGCCAAACAAAAAAATGTGGTTTTGTCAGCGGCGTTGGGGGAGGCCGTCTAAGAACAAACAATTTCGGGTGGAATAAAAGGCCCGGCCCTAACTGGATCAGATTTAGACCGTCCGTGAAGTGCTATGGGCCTATCGCGACACTACTGAGACGTCAGAAGCCGCGTCGATTCATCCACCAGCGACAAGAGGCGGGGCTTAAAGCGCCGGGCCGCTTGCTGAAGGATCGGAAGCGGAGACGACTTTAACATGACTCCAAAACGTTGACGTGTCGGCAAGGCCGTCGTCCAAACGACGGTGTTTAGAATATTGCAGAAATTGCGCACCGGAGCCAAACTTCGCCGTTGCAGGCATAATGGCCCTTTTTGTGGCAAATTGCGCGCACCCCAAGTCTATTGCGAAACAATAAACCGCCCAATTTTTTTTGGTCTACCACATTTTGAGTGGCAGGTCGGGCGGGTCGGGTTGAGTGCATAAAAAAACGGAGAAGCGGAAAAAATACGTGAAACCCGGAGCCGTAAGAAACAAAGGCAAGGTTGGCGAAGGAAAGAGAAAGAGAACGGCCGAAAAAAGAACAACTGGCGACGGGAAAGACGGAGAAATTCGCTGGGGGGAGAAAACACACTCGGCGAGTAAGAAAAAAGGCCGGGCAACGTTGGGGCGACGTGTGATGGAGTGTGCTGTCTGCCCCTCAGCGCTGTCCCACCACTGTTCCGACAAAAAGACCGAAAAGGTCAGAGGGCAGGCAATGTGAATGAATGGCTCTGGGGGAGGACGGATGGGCAGGCTGGCCCGGGTATGGGGGGACCCGGGAGCGGGTGAATGCAAGCGAGAGCGGCTGGAATGATTAAAAACCGTCCGGCAGCAGCGGCGGCGGCGGCCGACGCCGTGCGAGAGGGGGAGACGTGAACGAGGCGAGGGTCGCCGGCCTTTGCACTGTTCCGATGGGGCTGGTGCGAGCCGCAGAATCAGTGAGGAATCGAACGAAGGACGGCGAGAGGGGTTAGTGGGGGTTATGGTTCGAACTGAACGCCGCCCGGGCCCCGCCATTCACATTTCGCTTTGTTTTCCTTTCGCTCTCTGCCCGATCTCCATCGCCGTTCTGCGGGACGCGGTGATAGCAGCAGTGGGCTTCGTGTCGCGGCTCCGCCCTCGTTGCATGCGTCGCGGCGACAGGCAAGGTTGCGGCGTACTCAAGACGATCCATCGACTTCACTCACAGCGCCATGTTTGCCACACAACATTTGGCAAACACAACAATGAGGAAACAGACAGATGCGAAGAGGTGAAAACGGAGGGTGAACATTAGTCCGGGACGAGAAACTGGTGAGCAGGCTCGGAACGGCCGTAAAACCGCCAAATTCCTTTTTTAAGTGGGAAACGGCCAATTTATTTAAAAAAAGGTGTGCCGACAATGGTGTGTTCAGCACAAGTCAGGCGTAGAAAAAATCGTGAAAGCGGAGAGTGATCAAGGTTAAGTTAAACAAGAACAAACAAGCATCATTGTTAACGTGGCAAGGTCGCTCGAATTTAAATTGCAAAGCCTGTCGACAAATTTCTGAGTGAGATGGAGCCGTCTCTGGGACCAATTGCTAAATCGTGGCCGCCGATTCGGATGCCAACTCTAAAAACATTTTTGGCGCGCAAAAAAAATGTGGAAATTCAAATCAAATCGGGCCTTTTTTACAACATATTTATGGTATCGACCAAAAAACCAGTAAAAATTTATTACGCAAGATCGGAAAAAACATGCAGCGGGTTATTAAGAGCGAAAGGCATATGGCGAATGCGTATTTGGCAATGAACTTGATGGATGACATCATTTTGAGGAGCTCCGAGGAACAAAAAACACTGCGCCGACAAGATGAGCTGCTCAGAATGGTGCACTAACAATCCTAGCGCACTTTTATACGCGTATTGCTGGCTTTTATCCGCCAACGCACCGGCTGGACCTCACATTGTTTAATTTGTTTCGTTTTATCATTAAACGAGAGAAAAAGGCCAAACTCCCCGACAATCTTAAAACAATCTCGGCGCAAAAAACCAATCGAGAAATCACATTATGCACCATATAATTTTATTTAGGGCTCCGTGCCCATAAAACTCGGGGGTTGATTGCATCACCAGTCGGCGCGGTTTTAACACAAAGGACGCCGGTTGTGCAAACACGACGTGTCAATGAGGCTGACATATTTCCGCAGTTTTTGCTTTGTCGCTGGTATTTTTGGCATTCGTGGAATAAGTGGTTTTTGCACCATTATGAGAGTAGAAACGGATGCCGGAACCCTTTCTCCCCTCTTTTTTTCGAGGGCCAGATGGCGCCATGAATCTCCACGGACAAAAAAAAACACTTGCGCAAAAAAAAAAGGGTTTTCCGAACGCGTTTTTTTTGTGCATATTTCCGGCCAGCTGCGCGGTGTGATTTTTGGTGGAATTGAGCTCTTAATTTTCTGGCCTACTCGTCTTGGAGCGTATCGAATGGATCTGAACATCTGCCCGCAATTGTTTTGGCATTAGTCCAGTCCAGAATTTCCGAAAAAACTCAGACAGACAGAAGACACAAACAAGCCGTCTGGAAGGAAGGTCGCGGACACAATAAATTACTCATCTTTTTGCACTGTTAACGTCGTTAAAGGGCAAGCGCACCGATCCGAATCTCCCGCCTAAACCGCGCGACAAAACACCCAATTCCGAGTCAAAAGTTGAACTCCGAAACTCTGGGAAGGCACGACGTTTGCAGAAAATGGCGGGCAAACTCCGAACATAACTCGTGCGCCGGGCTTTGAAACCATCGCAAATCGACAAGCTTTTTTTGAAAAATCTGTGCAGTCATGTGGAAAGTTAAGACCTTTTCTGGGAGTTGGGAAATAAGAGTTTTAAACCGCATCACTATCATACTTTTTAAGACGCCTTTTTGTGTGCATGGTGACAAAAGATGGCAGCTTTCTCGGGGCGTACGCAGGAAGCCCTCAAAATTCAGGCCGTGTAACACAAAGCCCCAAACCCGGAATACAAATCTGTAGGAGGCGTCATTAATGATTATCAGAGAAAAGAAAGACACCCGGAGAAGCAATTATGTTCTAAAAATACGCCAACGCCGAGAGGATGCGGCCCAGTATAAATAAACGAAACTCCTTTTCTCCGGCCTTTATCAGGAACGGCTAAAAATACCAAGAGGAGAGAGTGTTTGTTTGTGCAAATTGCAAATTCGAAGCCAACACCGTGCGGATGATTCACAAACTCCATTCGAAAAAAGGCGCTTGTAAACACATAAAGCGGACGCTTTTGTGTGTGTGTGCGGTTTGAATTTCAAATTCTTGGCTTCGATTATTATGCGTTGCAAGTAATCATTTCTGGGAATGGTGCTACTGTACTATTCAATTGCAAAAAGAGGGGGGCCAAACCCGCTTTTCATAATCCCAACTTTTCTCACAGGCGTCAAGAAAACGTCATACAACGCCATCAACTGAACCATGCAGAGCCTCTTATCGAAGCTACCACCCTTCTTGATGGCTCATGCTCTAATCCTTTCTTCATCCCTGTCCACATCTGATTTTTTTCGACCTTTTTCGCCAGCCAATTTCTGCGCTTCCGCACTCTTCATTCACCAGAAACTTGAATTACTCAGCCATATGGTAAGACGGTGCTCAACTTTTATTTTCTTTTCACAATCTGCGGTGAAATGCAGAGACTCAGGGACTCGATGGAGAGACGTCCAACAAATGTTTGTTTGGCGTTCACTTTGTCCTCGAAAGAAAAATAAAAAAAAACGAACGCTTCCTTTCCACGTTTTTCTTCGAAATTCAAAAAATTTGTCTCTACAGTGAAGAGACAAATGGAGGGAGCAACACCCCCAGGATAAAGCGGCGAAAATTTCCGATTGTAATAGTGCAAATGTAATCTTATAGCAGTGCAAACAAATTGGCAAAGGAATTAGGGTCTGGGATCCAAAATTCACCATGGTATTAGACAAAATGTAACCTACAAAAAATTGGAAAGACCAGAGAATGAGTTGAGACAAACACCGCGTCACAACTTTACAACAGTTCGTCTTGAAAACTGTCAGTTCCTACCATACATTTTACAAATCTTAAGCTCCAAATCTCTCGACCTTGACGATAAACAACGTTGTTGCTACAAACTCAAAAACAGTTTTTAATCTCGACTTCTCCTATAAAAAGCCGATTCAATTTTCCTCAATGGCTTCTTCAAGGTTACTGTATCTTCCCTTCACATCTCCAATTATCACTTTTTCCTCTCAACTTTTCCCGTCACCAATTCATTACAGATTGCTATCAACAAAAGTGAAAATCGACCCTTTCTTCGAATTTCATTTCTTCAATGGCCTTGGAGCGTTGGTCTTATCTGCTAATGTTATTCTCCGATCCCTTGCCACCCAAACTCTTCTTCAAGGGTATGATTTTCCATTGTAACAAGTGCTTTTTCGATTAAAATTTGCCTCTTCGACCTTCGGCGAGTGTTTTTTTCGGACCGTCGACCTTCAGCGGCGTTTCTTTTCTCGGCGATTTTCCCTCGAGAGCAACTTCTTCTCCATCATTTCGGGTGCGCCAGTTTCGGAAATAATTCGTTTTTGTGAAAATGAAAAGACAAACAAATCAAGGAGAGAAGGGGGCGATGGGATTCCCAAGTCCCTAGTCAAAACATCCACAAAAACTTTTCAAAAAAAAAAGAAGCCAAAGAATCAAACACTATAAGGAAACCCGTCTTCAAGTACAGCAACATCCTCGAAATTCCCGACAAAGCGGACAGATAACAGAGCCACAGAGAATCAGCCTATCTTAGTGCCAAAAGAAGACTCGAGGAACCAAGACCTGCCATCGAGCACAAACCGTAAAATAAAGAACCGCCAACTGTTGACAGGAAGACGAAATCCGACCTATCTCAACAAGTTCAATTGCAACATGACACCGAATCAACATGCCGTACGCTGCTCGGCATGTGGGATAAACAAGACCCATCGATAAACAATCCACTCAAAAATATCCCATATACAGTAGGGGACCCTGTACATGGGATATTTTGAGTGATACAGTGGCAAAAAACGTACCATTTTGCATCCGAGCAGTATCAAAAACGAAAGAAAAATGCCTCTTTTTCTGTGTTTTTGATACATCTCGGATGCAAAATGGTACGTTTTTTGCCACTGGATCGCCACTGTACCGTCTCATCGTCTCATTAATCATATTTTTTTTTCAAAACTCAGATAATCATGTCCCACCCAACTTTCACCTCTCATATCCCCTCATTTCATAAGCCAATTCCTCTTTCTTTGCCCAGCAATAAACTTTTTTAGTACTTTCCTCCACCAAACAAACAAACAGCGGGATGATGGACGAACTTTTTTAGTGATTGTTTGCGGTTTTGTAAAGATCCTTGTAAGTTGTAAACCAAACAAAAAATGGTGTTGCGTAGAGCCTACCACAGATCACTTACGTTTAGTGTAAAGAATCATAAAAGTATTGTTGTACTATATTGATATTACTTTGTTTTTATCGGAAAAAATCAAAAGAAAAATCTCGTAATTGATTTTTTTTTTATATTTTCAATAATTTTGGACATTTTCCAGCCCAAAAAATCTTCTAACATAGAAACATCCAAAAATCAACCCTGATTTTCCCCAAAACTTCACTTTTTTCTCAAGTTACAGCCAAGTTAAGTGCACTCCCTTATCATCAAAATTTTTTTTAATTTCCATACTTTTGCACCAATTATTCCCAGTTTACGTGAATGGAGTGAGATTCACGATTTTTTCACAGAGAGACCAAAGACCAGGAATTGTAAAAACTGCACAAAGATCCTTCGAAAAAAGTTGGGGGAAAGAAGTACAAAACGTTTCAAAAAAGTGAACTTTGAAGGACACCTACCCTCGGAAAACACCACATGAAATTGTTACGCTTTGTAAAACACTTCGTAAAATTTTTCAACCCCAAAAATCAAAAAAAAAAAAAAAAAAATTAAAAATCCCAAAAATTTTAAAACCAAAAATCCCGAATTTTCGCAAAAAAAAAATCAAATTTCAACTCCAGAAATTCCCATAATCCAGCAGAAATCCAATAAAATCCAAAAAGAAAAACCTACCGCGACAATATTGATCATGTTTGTGAACTGGGTTTCATTACATCGATTGCGAATTTGACATTGTTTGAAGAATAACCGGAACAACGCGGGGACTAGGGCTTCCATTATATCTGCTAAAAGAGGCCAAACAATATTAATTTAAACAAAAAAATTTAAAATACGACACTTTCAAGTCACATTTTTTCTTTTTCCAAAAATCTACCTTTATCGACAAAAAATTGTAGACAATATCGTATTTTACCCTATTTCCTATTCTTAATGACCTTTTCTACTCGTTTTTTACCACATTTTCTATTCCAAATGCCCCTAAAATTATTACCAGCCTTTTCCATAACTCAACCCTTCTCGCTAAATTTCATACTCTCACAAAAATTCCATTTTTTAGTAAAAAATCTTTCAAAATCCAGAAAAAATTTTAAAAATCCACTAAATTCACTCGTACTAGTCCGTTCGGAAAGTCGCTGGAGTGATCTCGGCGATATGCACTGTGCAAAAAAAACTCATGATGCAAGGGCCAAAAAACCCAATTGCACTGTGCAAAAAACCGAAAATTGCACAGTGCAAAGAGAACTTTTCTTTTCGCACAGTGCATGATCCAAAAACACTCCAGCGACTTTTCAAACGGACCAGTTCCAGAAAGTCGCCGGATTGAAATCGGCGATACGCACTGTGCGAAAACAAAACTTTTCTTTGCACTGTGCAATTTCTTGCTTTTTGCACCGTGCAATAGGCTTTTTCTGTCGCTCGCATCCTGACTTTTTTTCGCACAGTGCACACGCCAAAAATTGCTCCAGCGACTTTGCGAGCGGACTGGTATAATATTTAGCCCATACCCCCTCAAAATTCCCCAAAATTCTCCTCCAAAACCGCCCATTTCTCACCTTGTTCTAAAAAATCATTCTCGAAAAGATATGTGATTGTCGACAGCGCTGCATTATGCTCATTTTCATCGCCGTCATCCAGCGTTTTTACCAGCTCATTTACAGTGAAATGTGCGAGGTCCGTCAGGGTTTTGGGCATGCCTTTGACGGAGAGTTCGCTGAAAACTTCGCGCAGCTTCTCCACCGTCGTTCGGCGGACCTCGCCGGGGCTGTCGAACAGCTTTTCGAGCGAATCAAAAAAGTCGTTCATCGAGAAGTCAAAGTCGGCCGTCTTTCGGATCGCATCACTGAGGTGTTGGGCCGCGTTTACACTAAAAATTAGGGGATTATATTGAAAGTGACGTCAATTTTAGGAGATTTTTCGCAATTTCTCGGATTTTTGTCAGAAAATCGATGAAAAATAATAAATGAAAGTTCATACACACCCTAAAAATAAAAAAAATCTTCATACTTTTTTCGTATTTTACAAATTCGAAAAAAATGCTTCAAAAATTTTCAAAATTTCTGCTACTTTCACCTAAAATAAGGTCCAAAAACCGCCTCAAACCCCTTCAAATCCCAAAATACCCCTTACAATTTTCTATCAACGCCTAAAGCTCCTACCAAATATAACTTCTTACCGTTCTTTACAGGACTCCGAACCGCAGGCGTCCACAAACTCTTGGAATGTAAAGGAGGAGGAAAGTGGATAATCTGAAAGAGACCAGATTCGATTATTTTTTATAGCAAACCTTGAGAACAAAAAGCAGAAGCGTTTTGGATAGCAAAACTTATATTGTTATAGACCAGAGGCCAAGGAAAACAAAAAAAATTTTTTTGGACATGCAGAGAAAAATTATTTTTTTTTTTGTGTAGCGAAAATTTTCGCACATAGAACTTTTTAGCTTTGCTACAACGTATTTTAAACTAATAAGCAAAATTTGGAAAATAATTTCGGAAAAAAATTTGGAAATTCACCTTATTTTAGGTCATAAATTGCAAAAAAAGCATCCAACTAGAAAAGAATTTAAAAATCTTTCTTGCAAAATGTAAAATACGTCTATACTACCTAATTCAGAAAGCAAAAATACCAAAAAAAACATTTAAAAAATAAAATTTTCTAAAATTACGACCAAAAATTTCAAAAAAAATCGAAAAAAATTAAATTTCGTTTAATTTTTTTTTATAATTCTTTACACACTCCACACAAAATCAAAAAAAATCAAAACAAAAATAAAAAATGAACGAAAAAATTACCCAGAAAATCGTTGGAATGTAAAATCATCCCGTCGTCTGAAAAGAGGGCAAAAATCTGGTTAAACGACATGAAACGAAAGCGAATTAGGTACGAAACAAAGCACAATAGGAACAGAATATAGTCCAGGAAGATGAGGCGAACTGCTTCTGTGGCCGACTCGACCGGTTTCATGGGCGGAAAATATCAAAAACGAACTCGAAAACTCGGGAATTGGGCATTTTTTACTTGCAAAAATATGTTTTCAATTTTCACTTGAAGAGGGAGGTACTTTGCCACATTTTTTGATGCTCCCTGGATGCAAAATGGTACGTTTTTTGCCACTGATCAGGTCCCCTGTATTATTTTTTGCAGTAAAAAAATCTGTCCAGTTTCACTCTGTTCAATTTCCCTCTATCTAATTTCCACACTCTGTCCAACTTATTTCTGTCGAGTTTCACTCTGTCAAATTTCCACGAAGCCAATTTTTTCATTTTAAAAAATGAAAAAAATGATTTCCCCAACAAAAAACCGCTTGAAAATTCGTAACATTACTTTCTTTGCCCTCAGGACATCCCACAAATACTGAAAACATATTTTTGACTTTCTTTGCCCTCTATCCAATTTACAGGACGCAACAGATTCCGTATTTTACCCCGTCAAACAATCCCAAATTTCGTTATTTTACATTCTCAACTAATTATAAAAACCAAAACCATCGTTTCGAAGACCTTTTCCATAAATTGTCTATGAAAAAATCAACGGAATCTGGGAAAATCTCTTCCGATTCAAGTGGGGGCCAGACGATTGTCGGATGGGCGATTAATTTGCACTAGGCCACTTCCGTCTTCGCTTTTTGATCAAAACATAAGTGATCAGGGCACAAAGTTTTTTCCCCATTTTACGTCTTTTTTATGGAACTTTTTCGTAAAAGATCCGGAAATTTGGGGAAAAATCGAGTAGTAAATAGCATTACAAATGTCTAATAGTAAAATAAAATCATCACTCATCATTTCGAACCTAATTTCAGGTATCAAGAAGAAAAAAAAATACGAAAAAAATAAAAATTTTGGTCAAATGCCTAGTGCAATATAAACAACTCTTCATAATTAAAAAATCTGCAATTCCATCCCCTTGCCCATCACATTTCCACTGTCAAAATACCAAAAACATCCTTCGTCAGGCCAATTCCCACCAAATACCCATCAATTTTCATCGTTTCCCACAAAATTTACAAAACGTCAGACCTCCCCAACCGCCCTTTCGTCCCTCTTGTTAGACTCGTTTCAACTTGTGAACTTGCTAAATTCTGACTCGGCCCAAACCGCGAACATTCCTACGTTTTTTGAGCTCGGGACGAAAAAAAACACCACCAAAGATTTCTTCCAAACAGCTGCCGAAAGCAACATCATAAAGAACGGCAATGAGCAAACTGCAAACGATTAAAAAACAACGTATTAATCATGGGCTAGTGGATTGGGCATGAATTCTAGAAGGAAGGAATGGCAAACCTACGGAATTGAGGAAGTCAATGACTAAAGTAACGTAAAAGGTGGTCTAAATAAACGACTATAGTGGTGTTAGGGCTTTGTTAACCAAGAGGACGTCAAACCGCACTATAAATTTGAAATGCAAAAAGTCTTCCAACAAAAACCCCGATATTGTACTAGGCAGCAGAAAAATTATTATAAACCTGTTCAAAAATAATAAAGACACACCAAATCTAAAGCAGAGGTGATCAAAAGATCATACTCCAGCTCCTCTAAGAGATTTCAGGATAATTTAAGCGAGAAAAATAAGTTTTTCGACCAAATTTAGGTTTTGCAGACCTAAATTAAGGTAAATGAATAATTCCTTGCCTTTCTCATTCTTCTATTAACTGAAATTTTTTGGAGAGCAAGAACAGACTATGTTCAAACTCTAAAATTTGTTTCCACCAAAACCAAAACGAATTAACCTTCAAAGCAGCACCCTCACCTTCCGGACATCAAATTCAAACCTAAAAGCGGAACAAAAACACAAATCCAAACAGAACTCACCATCATTAAAGCGAAGGGCCATGATTGTATTCTAGACGCAATTCTATTTGATTATTATGGAAATAGGCGTTATAAAATATTGTTCTTCCTGCTCTCAAGGGGTGGTGGAACCGAAATTTGAGGTGTTTTCAACCTGAAAATTAGTGAAAATAAGCGTGAAATTGATAGGAATTCAAAGTGAAACATGTCCATCACGACTTGAAAGAGAGAAAATTCACATTCTGAGGTGTCGTCCGGAGAAACATCACTTTTTTCTTTTGAAGACCACGGCTCTCATAAATAATATAAAATATACGAGAAATTTTGAAATGTCTGCAAAGATAATTTCTCAGAGCCAATAAACAGTGTTAGGGAATATTTTACGACCAAAAAAGCCGGGCAAATCCTCATAAACACCTCGCGATTATCAAAAACAGAGGGCCTATCTAAAGTAATGTCGGAGAAAGCACTCAAAAATCAACAGATCACATAAAACCAGCCAGCTAATTAACCAAGACCATTAAATCCATCCGAGTGACCCTGTTTCGTCGCTCGCGGTGCGAAACGACGTGTAATCCCCGGCTTCCAACACCGGAATCGACATCACTAACATGGAATAATATTTTTAGTGCCCAATTTCCGCATTTTCCGGGCAGAAGGCGCCTGAACGAAGGAAGACGAATGTTTTGCGGTCTTGGTCGTAGTCACGGGAAACGAAAAAGGCGCTTGCAAAATGTGGAACGAGAGAAAAATGTGAGGGAAAAGTGTCGCGCCAACGGAATGCCAAAAACCGCAAACCCCGCGGGAATTTCGGGGGTTTGAATTTATCCTGGCAATTTTTGAGGTGTAATAGCTAGATAAGATTATTAGATACTTCAATAGTTTATCAGAGATTTCGAAAAAAAAATTGTTTTTTTTTTAATTTTTGCACTGTGCAAATTTTTTTGAAAGTAAAATAAAAGAAACTTGATCTACCCCATTTTCGACGTTCCGATTATCAAAGCTATTTTATAATTTTTATCTAATATTTTCTTTGGTAATAAGTAATACTCGAAGGTTTTATCATTAGAATTTAAATGAAGATTTAGGTAAACCATTTAATTATTAAAAAATCAAGAAAAAATATTTGTTAAAAAAAATATTGTAAGATCCTCATTCTTTAAGATGAAGCAAATTTTTCTACATATATTATTTATATGAGTAAATGATGTATTAACAAAATGATCTTAAAAACAAATTTTATTATACCCGTTTCTTATACATTTAATAAATTAAATCCACTTATAAAGACTACTTAATCTGAACTTCCATAGAAAGTGCCAAGTCCTTCAACCTCGGTCTGAAGGCAAGGTTTCTTCTGCGGAGGCGAAGCCACTTTTTCCTTTTTGCGTTCTTTTTCAAGTTCCTCCTGAACAAAATATTGTTAGATAAATTAGTATTAAATAAAGTATACCATATAAGCATATTTGAACCAACAAGCCGGAATAATGATATTCTTCGCACTGAAAGTTGCCGCCTCAGAGATTGCCAGATGATGAAGTTGCGGTGGCATTGTCGTACAGCCGTGATTCATTCCAATCAGTCCACGCGATCCCCAAATACCGCCGCCTAAAAGTTTAGTTTTTAATTGATCAAAGAATATAATCATTTTTACCTGAATCTCCTCTTGAACTTCGACTAGTGCCCAAAATAAACGGACCCAATTGTTGAACATCTCCTCTAAAATAATACTCGCGACAGGAATGAATTTCTCCGGGCAAACACGAAAGACTTCCTTGTTCATTGCCGAACCCGGCCAAAGTAAACGGTTCCGATTCTTGAGCTCGTGCAATTGAAGGTCCTCGCTAAAAAATGCGTAAATTAACAACAAAATATAAGATAAATTTTAAGATCTTGCCTCGACCACATCGGATTTGCTCTTGAGCAAAACAAAATCAAGTTCTTCATTGACATTGACCACACAAACGTCGATTCCGACTTGTTCGTTGGCCTCTTTTTCCGCAGTATACATCGTCAATGCGTCGCCAACCTTCAACCGAAGATGTGTTCCGTGCCTAAAAGTTACGAAAAACCGCGGGTGGACGCAAATTGTAGCCGATTTTCCCATTTGATCTGGCAGAAAGAACATCCACTTGATGACAGCCTCTGACGTTGGAGCAGGATTTGGCGGCACTAAAAAAGAGAAAATAAATGTGCAATATAAATCTAAATTAAATCTTACATGCAGGGTAATACGGACTTGTCGGACGTTCATTCAAGGCTCTATACATCGGTGTGGCTGATCGAGCGAAAAATTGCATAGTCGACCAGCCATCCGGAAGCAAAAAGGATGTTCCGGCTGCATCCGTCCTAAATTAATTGAAATATAGTCAAGAGTAACACAAAATGTAAATTACCTGCAATTAGTCTGTATGCCATTGGACCCATATGACAACTTCACAACTGCGTCCGGTGGAAGAAGAAAAGCGTGTCTGATGGAGCTTTCGGTGATGATATTCCCGGACACTGCCACGTTCTCTTCCTCGTCCATCATCTTGATGCGGATCGATTGAGCCATTTTGAGAGACAAATCTGAAAACAATGAATTTTAATTGCTTTTAGCAAACGAGCAAAAACGTTTGGTATGGAAAAGCAGAACGTAGCATGCAAAAATTTTTTGAATAAAGCTGAAACAAAACGCCAAGCACGAAAAGCGCCCTGTTTTAAATGCGTGTTAAAAAGTTTTATTTCAAAATATACTAAATACGTGAATAAATAAAAAGCGAACCGTCCTTTCATAGAAATTTTTATTTAATAAACAATTAGGTACTACATTTTATCAATTTCTAACGCAAATGGGTGATGAAGTGCGCTACGCTAAGTAATGGAAAGTGCACAAAAAAAGTAAAAATTTAAATGAATTCTTCTAGTAATTTAGCCATAAAATTATACGAAATAGATAGTTGAATTTCTGGCGCAGTTTGTTGGGTGATATTTCTGGCGCAAGTGGGTGGTCCTGGGTGATAGTGAAAAAATGGGGTTAATTTGTGTATTTTTTAGTAATTATGGGGCTGTTTGCTTAATATTTGGTAGTAAATTAGAGGGTTGGTTGTTGGGTGTGGGTGCGCCAGAGATAGCAATTGTATACTACTTGTAAAAATGGGCTTTATGGAAATTGGACAGAGTGAAATTCCGACAGAAGTAAATTGGGCAGTGTGAAAATTGGACAGACTTTTTCACTGCAATCGTACGAAATGTCACTATTTACAATGGGGGACCTGATACAGTGGCAAAAAACGTAGCATTTTGTATCCGGGAAGTATCAAAAATGTGGCAAAATGTATCCCTCTTTAAGTGAAAAAAATTCGTTTTGAAGTCTTTTCCTCGCAAAAAGAGCGGGCGCGCTTTTGAAATCTGAGTTTTTTTCACTTGAAGAGGGAGGTACTTTGCCACATTTTTTTGATGCTTCCTGGATGCAAAATGGTACGTTTTTTGCCATAGGATCAGGTCCAATGGCGATTATTTTTTGCATTAAAAAATCTGTCCAATTTCACTCTGTTCAATTTCTCTCTGCCCAATTTCCACAAACTGTCCAACTTATTTCTGTCGAGTTTCACTCTGTCCAATTTCCACGAAGCCAATTTTTTCATTTTAAAAATTTAAAAAAATATGATTTTTCCAACAAAAAATTGCTTGAAAATTCGTAAAAAGACTTTCTTGGCCCTCAGGACATCCCACAAATATTGAAAACATATTTTTGACTTTCTTTGCCCTCTATCCAATTTACAGGAAGCAACAAATTCCGTATTTTACCCCGTCAAACAATCCCAAATTTCGTTATTTTACATTCTCAACTAATTATAAAAACCAAAACCATCGTTTCGAAGACCTTTTCCATAAATTGTCTATGAAAAAATCAACGGAATCTGGGAAAATCTCTTCCGATTCAAGTGGGGGCCAGACGATTGTCGGATGGGCGATTAATTTGCACTAGGCCACTTCCGTCTTCGCTTTTTGATCAAAACATAAGTGATCAGGGCACAAAGTTTTTTCCCCATTTTACGTCTTTTTTATGGAACTTTTTCGTAAAAGATCCGGAAATTTGGGGGAAAATCGAGTAGTAAATAGCATTACAAATGTCTAATAGTAAAATAAAATCATCACTCATCATTTCGAACCTAATTTCAGGTATCAACAAGAAAAAAATTATAAAAAATAAAATTTTTGGTCAGATGCCTAGTGCAATATAAAGATTTCTTCATAATTCAAAAATTTGCAATTCCATCTCCTTGGCCGTCATATTTCTACTCTCAAAATACCAAAAACATCCTTCGTCAGGCCAATTCCCACCAAATACCCATCAATTTTCATCATTTCCCACAAAATTTACAAAACGTCAGACCTCCCCAACCGCCTTTCGTCCCTCTTGTTAGACTCGTTTCAACTTTTGAACTTGCTAAATTCTGACTCGGCCCAAACCGCGAACATTCCAACGTTTTTTGAGCTCGGGACGAAAAAAAAACACCAACAAAGATTTCTTCCAAACAGCTGCCGAAAGCAGCATCATAAAGAACGGCAATGAGCAAACTGCAAACGATTAAAAAACAACGTATTAATCATGGGCTAGTTGATTGGGCATGAATTCTAGAAGGAAGGAATGGCAAACCTACGGAATTGAGGAAGTCAATGACTAAAGTAACGTAAAAGGTGGTCCAAATAAACGACTATAGTGGTGTTAGGGTTTTGTTAACCAAGAGGACGTCAAACCGCACTATAAATTTGGGATGCAAAAAGTCTCCCAACAAAAACCCCCAATATTGTACTAGGCAGCAGAAAAATTATTATAAACCTGTTCAAAAATAATAAAGACACACCAAATCTAAAGCAGAGGTGATCAAAAGATCATACTCCAGCTCCTCTAAGAGATTTCAGGATAATTTAAGCGAGAAAAATAAGTTTTTCGACCAAATTTAGGTTTTGCAGACCTAAATTAAGGTAAATGAATAATTCCTTGCCTTTCTCATTCTTCTATTAACTGAAATTTTTTGGAGAGCAAGAACAGACTATGTTCAAACTCTAAAATTTGTTTCCACCAAAACCAAAACGAATTAACCTTCAAAGCAGCACCCTCACCTTCCGGACATCAAATTCAAACCTAAAAGCGGAACAAAAACACAAATCCAAACAGAACTCACCATCATTAAAGCGAAGGGCCATGATTGTATTCTAGAGTGGTTCAGAGGGTCCTCCCTGATAGGAGTTCAATGGAGTCCCCGAAAGCCACACCAAATTCCCAAATATCCCAGCGGAACTATCCAAAGGAATAAAACAACACCAATAATAAATATAAACCCGTTTATCCAGAGGAAGGGTCGATACAATCACGTAAATGCAAAACCAAAGTGTAGACTGGCGGAGCTTATCCTCGCCAGCCGTCCGTCAATCTGTCCTATCGTTCCAATCCAACCGCCTCCCACTCGGCTCTCCGGACCGTGAACTTCCCTGACTGAATTCCATTCTCTCACGTTCCTTGACTTTCCAACGGTGCGTTAGGTTTCGCGGCGGGACCCAGCCCGAGGTCCGGTGCGGTCCTGCACCATTCGCCCCCTCACCAAGTTGGCATCGTCCCCGATGTCAGTGAAGTCGATGCGCCGTTGGGGAAGTTGATTGGTTTCTCCTGGGGCTTGTCCGATCTGGTTTGGTATTGGTAGAATGACATGAAGTGAGCTTTGTCCGGAAGAGAACGTAGTCGAAATCTGAAAGTAAAAGTGAATAAAAGTCCCTAAAAATCCCTAAAATATCCTAAATAACCCCCAAGCTCCCCCCTAAACATCTGAAGTCGTCCTCGACTTCAAAATGTAAGTTCCGGGTTTTCAGGATATTTTATGGGATCCTGAAATTTATCTAAGAACAAGGTACGAGTCGATGTTTTACCGGAACAAAATAAGTAAATAGTGAATTTACGAATCAAAAATTGAAATACCTTTAGAATTATACTACACGCTACAACAAAATACGGTATTTCCATACTAAAATAGCAATTTACGGTCAAGCTAGCCGCACGGATGACGTAAATATCCGAACATTTAAATTTGGTTCCCTTTCCTTCGATTCGCGAGGAATACGACCATTCTATCGAGTTGTTCTTGTCGAAATCACCATTGAAACTGTGATTTTCCTCCAAGAACTTAAATTTGCAGCCTTTACCAGGGAGAAATGACTTCAGAAACATATTATCACCTAGGCAATTATCAGGAATTTGAATATTTTGACCGGAATATTTGACTCTTGGCACAATTTTTGCGGAGAGTTCCTTTATCTTCTCAAAACTCTCGAAAGCATCTTCCTTCGGAATGTCAACATTGATTTTTGGGCCTTTGATCTCAAGGTCATTGGTACTAAACCATTTTTCGTAGACGGAATTGTCTAGGATTTCCTCAAAACTCGGAGTTATTCTCTTCTTCTCGTGTTTCCAACTCATGAACGCGGATTTTGACAACTCCAATGTGTAGTCTGTCTGTGGGTGAACTTTTGAGGGTAGACATGAAATCTCTGGCTCAGCGAATAATGTCTCGAGATCTCCGAATTCGAGTTCCTCGGTACTTCCACTCAATTCCTCAAGATTTGAGCATGTGAAAGGTTCCTGACCTGATTTCAGTCCGGATTTTTCTCTTAGACTCTCAATTTCGTTTATCGTGCAGTTCGCCGTAATTTTAACTTCAGAATTCTCCTGTGGTTCTTGCTCCACTGGACCAGCTGAGATGATTTTCGGAACGATTGAAGATCCTCTATTCGCTTTATAATTTACCCGAGCTGCTAATGCCTTCTCTCTGAGCTGTTTCAAATAATCCTTCCGTTCGTGACAATCCTTCTCCAAATGTTCTCCTCCATTGCAATACTGACAAAATAATCGCGCTTTACAACTGCTGATGTATTCACCCGACTCTGGCTTGCGCGAATTTATTGCAGGCCGGGTAGGTGAAAATCCTGATGCTGATTTGCAATTGGACCTACGTTATCAACCGTTGGTTGAGGAATTGATCGATTATTTTGAGACGGACCGTTCCAAAAGGCACTTAGATGCGCTGGAGCATGACTGTTTAAGTAATTCTCAGCTTCAAATGATTGATTTTGCTGTGCTTGATACCAGTTTCCTTTGTCGTAGTTACACACATTGGTGGCAATCTGAACCATCTCTTCGAAGGGGAGGTTTTTATGTAATTCCGCGGCGAGTGCGATGCTAGCTTCTCTATGATTTAACCCAGCCATAAATTTTGAGATCATATGCTTTTCGAGTATGTGTTTAGGCGCACCAGCAAATGCTCTGATGGTGATGTCGCTTATCTGATCAGCGTATTCGCGGATAGACATATTGTTCCCTCGGATGAAAGGTTTGAGATAAATAGAAGCCCAATCCCTATGATCTGCCGCTCTTCTTTTCAACTCACTCTCGAATTCAGCTAAGTTTTGATCAAAGTCGCTGCTTTCCGAAGCCAAGCTCGTGTGTTCCCACAGCCGAGCTGCTTTTCCCGCTACCTTGGCTTCAAGGAGATCCCTCTTTTCCTGCGTGGTGTGATTTACAGTCCCCGCGCGAAATTTGTAGAAGAAACTGACAACTTCGCTTTGTTTTTCCTTCCCCGTCAACGTGGGGAGCCGCATTTCTATAAACATAAGATCAGCGACGGATCCCCCGCTTCTAGCTGGCGGATTCTCTATGCGCGGCGCAAAAGAAATACTCTCGCTCTGCGGTTGCTTTACTTCGCTTTGCGCTAATAAAGCTTGAACAGCTTGAGATAACTCTTCTATTTTCTTTCTATCTTCCTCAGCTTGTTTTTGTACCTCGATCAAGGTCCTATCCGATTTTTCCCTCTGCTCTTTCGTGAATTTTAATATGTCTTCCATGACCTCATTTCCACCCCCTTTGCTATCCCCGTGTTCCATTCTCTTCTAAATGACAAGGCACTAATTCAAAAAGAACTCACTTCACTTCCACTTGTCGAGGTTCTGGGCTGGAGTTGTGGTTCTTGGCAACTCGAGTCTCCGATTCTGCAAAGAGTAGAATTAGATCAACGAATTCGCGGAGATCACGAACGCAATCACGCAAATTATATACGAACACGTACTACACGAAACTCTTGACAAGACAACACAAAGTTTCAAAGCAAATACAATTTTCAAAAACTTTCTCAAACAATTCCGATTTGATACCTAAAACAATATCAAATCACAAAATTCTCGCAAATTCCCTGATAGTTACCGCGAAAAATTCGTCTCACGCTGCTCGAAAAGCTTGGATGCAGCTATAATAACTCGAATTTGTCAATGAATTCGAGTATGGCAATACTTCTGATATTACACTTGCCTCCAGACGTATTTCGATAATTCTTCGATCGAAATCGTCCGTAAAGTGGTAACTCTTCTTTTACCACACAGATCTTTAGTATTGATCTGTTTTTACAACTCTGCTCTTACTTTCCTTCGAGACAGCGTTGGCTTGCGCTGACCTATTCTTCGTTAGGTAGCACAAGAGTGGGTTTCTCAATCAGTGAGTCCCACTTCGATTCCACCTGGTTTCTTGAGGTGAGAATCGACTTGGAGAGCCCTTAACTTCCTTCGGGTCAACTCCGCTCTCGTCAGGATTCTTTCTTGTCCTTCCGAGGTAATCTCTACGATTTTTTAGATCGAGAGTATCAGAGATTTTTGGGTAATTCTTCTTTTACCCCAAGAGAATCCACGTGAATTCTCTTGCAGATAACCGAGTTTTACGTCGGACTATCTGATCTCTGCCAAGCAAGCCTAAAATGCAACCAAAAACAATAAAAACTTACCTAAAAGCCAATCGATCTTCGTCGCCAAAGTGTTGTCGACTGCGTGGTCGCCAAGTGGTTCAAAGGGTCCTCCCTGATAGGAGTTCAATGGAGTCCCCGAAAGCCACACCAAATTCCCAAATATCCCAGCGGAACTATCCAAAGGAATAAAACAACACCAATAATAAATATAAACCCGTTTATCCAGAGGAAGGGTCGATACAATCACGTAAATGCAAAACCAATTCACCATTCTAGACGCAATTCTATTTGATTATTATGGAAATAGGCGTTATAAAATATTGTTCTTCCTGCTCTCAAGGGGTGGTGGAACCGAAATTTGAGGTGTTTTCAACCTGAAAATTAGTGAAAATAAGCGTGAAATTGATAGGAATTCAAAGTGAAACATGTCCATCACGACTTGAAAGAGAGAAAATTCACATTCTGAGGTGTCGTCCGGAGAAACATCACTTTTTTCTTTTGAAGACCACGGCTCTCATAAATAATATAAAATATACGAGAAATTTTGAAATGTCTGCAAAGATAATTTCTCAGAGCCAATAAACAGTGTTAGGGAATATTTTACGACCAAAAAAGCCGGGCAAATCCTCATAAACACCTCGCGATTATCAAAAACAGAGGGCCTATCTAAAGTAATGTCGGAGAAAGCACTCAAAAATCAACAGATCACATAAAACCAGCCAGCTAATTAACCAAGACCATTAAATCCATCCGAGTGACCCTGTTTCGTCGCTCGCGGTGCGAAACGACGTGTAATCCCCGGCTTCCGACACCGGAATCGACATCACTAACATGGAATAATATTTTTAGTGCCCAATTTCCGCATTTTCCGGGCAGAAGGCGCCTGAACGAAGGAAGACGAATGTTTTGCGGTCTTGGTCGTAGTCACGGGAAACGAAAAAGGCGCTTGCAAAATGTGGAACGAGAGAAAAATGTGAGGGAAAAGTGTCGCGCCAACGGAATGCCAAAAACCGCAAACCCCGCGGGAATTTCGGGGGTTTGAATTTATCCTGGCAATTTTTGAGGTGTAATAGCTAGATAAGATTATTAGATACTTCAATAGTTTATCAGAGATTTCGAAAAAAAATTGTTTTTTTTTTAATTTTTGCACTGTGCAAATTTTTTTGAAAGTAAAATAAAAGAAACTTGATCTACCCCATTTTCGACGTTCCGATTTTTTTCAAATTTTGCACACATTTAGGACATGGATCACACATCAATTCCTGAAATTTTTAGCCCGCGCTTTGCAGCCACAGCCGAGATATTCAACGATATTTGCCGAGAGAGCACGCGAAAGTGGAGAGCGGCGAAAGAGAAAAACACTTTTTAGCCGTATCTTTGTCAGTTTCACATGGAAAAATTGATTTTTTGTGGAAACACCACCCTCTGCGATAGAAATAGGTACGAAAAATTGGGGCTTCGGTAGTTGAGCCCCCCACGAAAGGTAGTTCAAACCCCCACTGTTTTGCCCGTTTCACACCCCACATAATGAACAAATTAGAATAATACAAAAAATGTAAGTGGGGGTTTGATCTACTACGTTGGGGGTTTGATCTAAAACGTAGGGGGCTTTATCTAAAACGGAGGGGGCTTGATCTAAAACGTAGGGGGCTTGTGCTGGACCATACAACTTGGATTAATTCTTTGAAATAAATTTTGGGGTTGAGAATGGACGAGGGGGGTTGTACTGGGTCATGGGGGGCTAAACTGGACTGGGGGGCTGTACTACCTTAGCCCCGAAAAATTTGATTCCAAAATTCGCCAAAAAGTGTCACCTTTTTGCCAATTTTCGAAATAAAAATCTCGGTCGTTTCTGCAAAGCGCGAGTTCGGACTCTCGTATATCTTTCAGAAAAGACCATTCTAAATTTGTGCCAAGTTTCATCAAAATCTGAGCGTCGAATGGGGTACTTCCCCTGTAAAATCAATTCATTGTACAGTCCAAGAAAACGGTAATAAATTTTACAAATGTAAGCTTTATTTGGCTCACATTTCTCTTCTTTTTTTGGTCCTTACTTCACAACTATTTTTTTTGAGCTGTTGACGCCTCATTTTACCCATACCCTTAGAGCATCCAAGGTAAAATTTGTTTTCATTATTTAGTTTGTAACTGTGTTACATTTTAATCCAACTGTATCATAAAAACAAAAAAAATATTTCAAATCAAGAAATCTATATTTAGGTTCATTTCTAGTGCTCATTTAGTTTGTAACTGTGTTACATTTTAATCCAACTGTATCATAAAAACAAAAAAATATTTCAAATCAAGACATCTATGTTTAGGTTCATTTCCATACGGTATCTGACGTAATTTTCCCTTTCCAGACTCACTTACCCTTTATTTTATCCATTCAACCTTTCATTCCCCTTTTAAAATCAATTTCATCAACTCCGAGTCTCTTTATAATCGTTTATTGCAAGATAAATAGCAGAAATTTGTTTGACGAAAGAATTCGAATGGGGGGAGAAAAAGGCACTTAGAAGGTCTGGATCACTACATACCGTATATTAGCATAAATATTAGTACGACGTAAGGCACAGTGTTTGTTATGTGAGACTGTTAAGTATTATGTTCGTTAAGACTGTTGCGTATATTTTGTATATAGGAAGTTCTTTTTTTCGCTTTACAATGGCCTTGAAATCCTAAAATACGGGGTTTTGAAGAGTAAAAATCGTAAAATACGGCTTGAAAAATACAAAAAAAAAAGATTCAAAAAAGTGAAGACCGTATTTTACAACAATATTTTTTTTTCAAAACCGCGCAAGATACATTTGAACTGACCAAAAATTTTTGATTATGACTGTTTTTTGAGTAGTAATAACAATAACAAAAATCCTAAAATATTACAAACTGAAAATAAATTTGTTACAGTATCCGTGAGCCACTATAATCTGTCGAAAAATACAGTAATCCATGAGGAATTACCGTAACTTCCAAGGCATTACCATAATCTCCAAAAAATTACAGTAACCCTCCAAAATTACAGTAACCCAAAAACCACCGTAACCCTTCGAAAAACTACCGTAACCTCTGGCATACTGTAACGTGAGCTGTTGGCGATCACTTCGGAGTGGTGTCGTAGGGATCGGCGCGCGTCTGGCCCAGGAAGCGGCGTTGTTGCGCGCCCGAGTTCAGAATAGCACCTGAAATTTTCAGCGTGTTATGGGGGGTTAATTGTGGTTACATGGCGGTGCTAGTACTGTCCAAGAAGAAGTATTAGCCTCGTTAGTCCCAACGACCATCGGAAAAAATCGGAATTTGATAAAAATTGGTTGGTTTGTTACAGTATCTGAATTTTTAATTTCGCATTTTACGCTTTAGATTCAAAAAAAGCTAAAATTACACCTAGAAAATGGATTAAACTAATCGTATCTTACCTTAAAATTCACCCCGAAAAATTTTTGGTTTACTGTAACAAACAAAAATATTAATAAATACGGTAAGAATTAGAGGCATAGAGCCGTATGCAAGGTGCAGACAACAGGCTTTACTACTACCAATACAATAATCCGGAAAGTACAGTAATCCCTATCAAAAATTAATTTTTGTCCGGTTGCACTGTGCAATTTTTTATTTTTTAAAGTCTGCACAGTGCAAACAACTTATTTCGGACTGCACAGTGCAGAAATTTTCTTTTTTCGTTACTGCACTGTGCAAAGTTCAAAACGAATTTTTTTTTGCACGGTCTGAAATTTTGGCGACAAAATAGCTTGCACAGTGCAAAACTTTCGTCGCATGTCCATTGCACCGTGCAGTTTCAAACAAAAATTTTGACTGCACTGTGCAAACCCCAAAACGAATATTTTTGGCATGGTTCAAAAAATAAAAGAAATATTACAGTATCCAGACTACTGTACTCCGAAAAATGTAAAAATGGTAAGACAGGCAAAGTGACATTAATAAAAGCATAGCCCCATATTGTCTATCGCGATTAGTCTACCACTAAACGGGGATTTTGGGTTACAATGAACAGATTAGGATGTAATTTAAGGGAAACTGCGCCACCAACGTTACGTGGAATGAGAAAAGGGTTGGGGATTAGGAAGCTGGAAAGTTAAAAATTTGGTGTTAGCGTTTCTCCAAAACTCGCCTGAAGTCATATCGAAAATAATTTATTTTTGTCGAATAAATATGCGCTTATCATTTCAAACATTGAGCAATAAATTATGGCGTCTAATAAAAGTGATATGCACTCGATTTTTGTCATTTCCCAAGAATTTGACGAAGTGTCACAAAAAATATCGATTTTTTATACGAAGTGTCAAACGTCGTAAAAAACGCTAAAAAATTTGGATTCGTAAAATTCCTGGTAAAACACGACTTGAGCAAAGAATTCCAGGTTTTAGAATCCTACCGTAGCCCCATATTTACAATAAAAATTTGAAAGTTTGTTGGAGTACCCGAGATCAGACTGTACATTAATTTCATGGGTAAGAGAGTGGGAAAGAGTGCCCACAACGAAAGTAAAGTCGTACGATGTTATTTTCTAAAGCCAAACTTCATAACAACTCTCAAAAAATGAAATTGCCAAAAAAATCGATATTGACATTTCGCAACATTTTTTTATAACGCAAAAATGAATCAAAGCAGAATTCAGAACTTCAGTCATCGTATTTTACCTTCACTTTTGCTGCAAAAACTCTTCAGTAAAGAAATATATACAAGACAATAAAAAAATCAATATTGACATTTCGTCCAAAAGACAAAACCTTCTTCTAAAACTCTCTCTTAAACCCCCAAAAACAACTGACCGTGCTGGCTGACGTCGTACTTGTAGTCGCCGAGACTCGCGACAGCTGCCGGATTCAGCATCGCCGCCAACTGCTGTTGTTGTTGCAGCAGAGCGAACTGATCGTATTGCCCCATCAAAAGCTGTTGATAATCCTGCGCGGCGGTGGCCGTGGGCTGTTGGAGAAGGGCTTGGCCGCCGAGGGCCTGCATTTGGAGTTGAGCCAAGAGGTTGTTGTTGGCGGCGAGAGTATTTCGTTGTTGAGTGGCTTGTTGCATAATCAATGGCGCGCCGGCGAGCGCCGGTGAACCGCGGAGAACGCTGGCTGCGGAGGTTGCTAAAAATTAAGTTTTTGGTTTTAAAATACGGAAAAGTAGTCGCAGAAATTGGTTTTTCCAAAAAAATCAATTGTGACATTTCGTCAACACACTGGAAACCTTCAAAATTAAAAAAAATCATCCTTGACAATAATACACTTGCTTTTAAGGTTAAAGTTCCAATTTCTGTCGATCTATCGACAATTGAACGAAATGTCACAAAAATTATTGATTTTTGAAATCGACGAAAAATCTGTAAAATTCAGATTTCATATCGAATCCAATAAAAATTCATACGCAAAAATCAACTTACAATTAGCTGCAGCGGCCAACGCCGTCGCCAACTGGAGATTGTTTTGATTTCCATTTCGGAAAGTTCCATTCAAGATGGCCAATTCCATAAGCTGCTTCTTCTTCAACTCGTCCTCGCCTTCCGGCGAAGGAACCAACAATTTGTTGACCTCTTCTTTGGCCCTGGCCATTTTGGCGGCGATTCGATTGGGGGTGTCTTCGCATTGGATTAGAACATGGAGCTCTTCGTTCAGGTGCTCCCAATTTGGCTTGCCTAAAATTGTAAAAAAACGATTTGGAAAAATTTTACAAGGAAAGTACTTCTATGGGGTGTGGAGTTACAGGTCGAGATATATATCAAAAAAATCGCAAAAATTTTCTGATTCAGAATATATAAAAATTAGCTGCCTAATTTTGGTCTATCAACGAGTTTTATCAATAAATGTATTTCTCGAGGAAAAAAACTCCGGCAACAAAAGCGCGCTCGGTCTCTTCCTTCGGAAGAGAGCGGTGTGGCCGAGTGGTTAGAGCGGTAGACTGAGAATCCAACGGGAAAGGCTGCCCCGTGGGTTCGAATCCTTTTGCCACAGAGCCCCTTTTTTTACATTGGAACTACTATTATGGTGTAGTTGTAATCCAATTTGATATTTTAAGGCTCGTCAAGGCCTCAGAATTTATTTTAGCACAAAAAAAAAAATTTTTTTATTGGTAAAAACACGGTCAAAAAGACACTTGCATGGTGTCGCGAGAAAACTTCTGAGGACAAAAACATGTCATCAGACCAAAATTAGGCAGCTAATTTTTATATATTCTGAATCAGAAAATTTTTGCGAATTTTTTGATATATATCTCGACCTGTAACTCCACACCCCATAGAAGTACTTTCCTTGTTAGAAGTAGCAGTTTTGTAAAATACGTGAGCCGGAGTTAATTTCAGAAAAATAACTTTCCCGAAAAGTGTGCAAAAAATTTTTTTTTTGAATTAGTCGAAGTCTTTAGATCAGCAGCACAAAAATTTCAGAAATTTCAGCGTAAATTCTAATAAAAAAATAAAAAAAAACAACTTTTTACCATAGAAAACCGCGAAGGAACAGCCGAAAAATAATTTTTGTTTCGTCTCTCCTCATTTCCCGTGCTCTCTCGCAAAAATAAAGTTCAATTTCTCATCTCCGCCGCTAAAACTGCGAGTTAAAATTTTCAGCGATTGATGTACGACCTATTTACCAGTCCGTAAAGTCGCTCGAGTGATTTCTGCGACACGCACTGTGCGAAAACAAAAAGTCACTTTGCACTGTGCAATTTTCGGTGTTTTGCACCGTGCAATAGGCTTTTTTGGATGTCGTCCTGACTTTTTCTGCACAGTGCATATGCTAAAAATTTCTCCAGCGACTTTACGAACAGACTATTTATAGTATCCACATAAAATTTGGTGAAAATCGAGCAAAAAACTTTTTTCAAAAACTCCTGCTTACCTTTATTCTGTTCCTCCTTTTTCTTATCCCTCATGGAGCCTTTGCCTCGGACCATTATTCTGCAGCCAGTCTCTGTCTCCAATTGTTTCGCAGTCATTCCTCGAGGGCCCAAAATTCTGCCAACGAAATTGTATTCGGGGTATTTGCTGACCGGGACGAAAACTTTTTCATGTCGCACTGTAACTTCGCCTTCGGGCTCGGGCAAACACAGAGGTTCACGGGTAAATCCGCATTGGAAGAGGGCCACACGGACTCGGTTTATCTCTGAAAGAAATACTGTTTGTAATAGGACAGCGAGTTTTGAGATTTTCAAAATTTTTTATATTACACTAGACACCTTTGACTAAATATTGAAAATTTTATCTCAAAATAGCGGTAAAAAGGTGATTTAAAAAATCGACATTGTAAAACACGGTTTTATGGACAATTTCAAATATTTTTTTTCATAGATCTCTTCAAAAAATTTAGAAAAATAAAAAAAATTTCAAAAATTTTACCATCGTCCAGAAGTCGTTCCATGTGCTGAAAGACGTTCGGAAAGGCGGCTAGCTGCTTCTTATCCTTCAGCAGCTGCGTTAAATAATCGACATCGGGTGTGGGCTTGTTGACTGCGGACAGGGCCCCGTTGGCCGAGCCATTTGTGTGAACGGAGGAGGAAGAAGAGCCGGAGCCATTCAGAAGATCATGCCCGAACGTCGGGGATGTGCTAGATGGCGTCGAATTTAACGCCGCTAACTGGTGCTGGAAATAGAAAAGATTAGAATTGAAAAAATACGAGTTTTGGAGGCTTTTGTTGAAACTTTTGACCTAATGCCTAGTATAATATAAATTTTGGTCTGATTATGCTGGGATCTTTCGAAAAAATCTTTTTTGAAGGCTGTAATAAGCTATGACGGACAATTTGAAACAGTCTTTGCCCTCGAATTGCGCAATTTTATACGGCTTTCACCATAATTTACCTGGTCTCCCGCAGAAATGCAATAAAAATTGTATTGCATCGCATTGTAAGCTAGTAAATTTGCCAACATTGATCAAACTTTTTTACCACTCAAAAAATCCATTTTGTTTGGTAATTTCGAATAATTTTGTTTTTGTTCTGTCAATATTGACATTTCGTCCTAAATTTTATCGAATTTTCGAGAAATTTTCGGAGAAATTATTTGGTAATTCCTCCGAATTAGCTTTCAAGTCCTACCTGAAGATCTCTTTGTATAAACGACGCACAGTTTAGCGATCTTTCCGCCAAAATCTCGGAGAAAAGCCCCATTTTAGCGGGGAATCGGGGCAAATTAGAAGAGCAGCGGATTTCACCGGAATATTAGGTCAATCTACAAGGAAAACCTGGTGTAACAGTAAGTAGTATCGTTCACACGGGATTATAGGATGGTTGAAGCGAACTTGGGACGCTGTTCTTTGATATAAAACCTTGTTTTAGGCAAAAAATTGGAAAAAGTAGTTAAATCATGGGCCACTTCTGGGATGTGGGTCGTAACAGGCTAAATGCTAGCTAATTACGAGGTGTAGAAAATTTAGAGAATATAATTACGAAGTTCAAACAAAAAATAACCCAAAAAAGTGGATTTTTTGGAATCTTTTTGCCATTTTTGGATATTTTTAGGTAATAAATGTGATTTGTAGGTATTATAGGTCATAAACAACATGAACAGTACCCAATTTTGTCCCAAAAAATATCTACAAGTGTGAAAAATTGTCAAAAATCATGCCATTTTGTCCACACACCAATCCGTTGGCAAGATTTTATGTATCAAATTTTTTTCGGATGAGGGACAAAATTGGTCTTAAAAAATGAAGAAAAATATAAAATGTTATTTCCCGACCAGAAAGCAAGGTTTTTTCCCCGGCCAGCCTGACCAATATCGGTCAGTAAATAGCTTCAACTGCGCTGGATGGACGTGCACTTTCATTTGTTTTGGCAAGTGAAAGATGTAAATAAATATGGGCTAGTAGTATTTCCGAGTCCGGATATGACATGACGCATCTATTTCTATCCCAACCGCTACTAAATTCCCCCAGAAGGCTTTAAAATGGCCATTCTCAAAATTTCCCACTGCTACACCAAGTACAATATCTCGAAGGTCTCGGTTTTATTCAGAGCGGATCTGTGGAAGCCCCCTTCCTCTCTTAACCAAATATTTCCGAGGCAATCGCGGAATGGGAAGGGGGGATAAGACGCTTTTCTGACCTCAATCCCCCATGCCTTTACGAGCGCTGCGGAATCGGGCGGGCGATAAAGTCCCGTTCAATCCCCCCGCATTTTGTTCAATTTTGCACACAGGTGCACTTACATCGATTAAACGGAAAGCCCTTCGCTAAGCCGACAATGTTATGTTTAAGATACTGTTTTGTTGATTGGGAAAAAACGAAATTGGAATATTTGGCAAAAACTCGGAGCTATGGCCAAAATAAGCGGCTTTGGAGCTAAAAATGTTAGGGTTTATGCATTTTAAGGGGGTTTTTATAAGTTTTAGGGGAAACTGAATAAATCTGAGCTTGTCAGAAGTGTGGTAATGACTAAAGAAATTGACAAGTCAGCATTCAAAATGTTGGTTTTGTCGAAAAATTGATTTTTCCTTTGTATAATTGAGGAAAAATTAGAAAAAAATAAATGACTTTCAAAAAACGGGCGTTTACTCCCCTCTACCGCATGTTTGGAAGTTAATTTCAACTCGCAAGGAACAGGAAATTACAAAATTACCATTACCGTTTCACCTCAAAAACATCAAAAATTGTTTATCTGGGAGCTGCTCCTGCAGTTAGAGGGAGGTTCAAAGGTTGGTGAAAATTGGTAAAAATTTATATTTGGAAGTAAAAAGTTTTTTTTGTGATATCAATTTGTCGGGAAAATAATGAGCACTCTGTCGTGTTGAAAATCGCATCGCCGCCGAGAAAATGAATTGCGTCGCCACAAAGTCAAATTTTTTGTTTCATTTCAGCGACACGATTGACGCCGCGACGTTGTGCTCATTATTTTCCCGACAGACTAATATAACAAAATAAAATCTTCAAGGTTTCTGAACAAAAATGAGCTAAAAATTTCCCTTATGTTAAGACTATGCGGAATCTAGGCTACTTCCCTGATCCAAATCAGCCCTAAAATCTCTTGATTCGAGTTCCACAGCCTTTTCTTTGACCTTAATTTGGCGCAAAAGATTCAAGCATTTACCTGTAGAAACTCGAACAACATGACTCCTCGCCTCAAAACATGTGAAAATAACCGAAATAACAATCTCTCTTGACGCTCCAAAGAAGCGAGAATGGAGCTTGTTTTAAAAATTTCTCCCCTGAGAAGACAAGAGAAAATGTGTTCGTTGTAATTTCGATTCCACTTAAACCACCTATTTTTACTCTTTTTTTCTCGCGGCGAGAGAATTAATAGGTAATCACTCGGGGAGCGGTCTTCTTGCAAACCGTGTCACGAAATTATTGGGTGTGGTTGTTAATTTACGAGTAGCACCATCTGGCGTTCATCTAGGTGTTGTTTTGGATTCCTGCACAAAGCTTTTTTGTACACAGGTTAAACTGAATACTGACCAAGGTCATAAAAATTTTTGGACTTTTACACCCATCGGTTAGTGTTAGCGTTACGTCGAGTTTTGTAACGCCCGAGAACTCGTTCCAACTCTGATTATGTTTTGATGAGTTGATTACAATTTTTCACCAATTTTCTTTTCACTGTAAGTCATAAACACCGCGTGGGTCGCACTTTTAGCTGTTTCATTACCTTCTCCACAACAAACTCTAATAGAATCCCGATCTGTTATGAAAACAAATCAAGTTTCCCCACACAAATACTAGTCCATTCGGCAAAGTTGCTGGAGTAATTTTTGGCGTTTGCACTATGCGAAAACAAAAGTTTGCTTTGCACTCACCGTGCAGTAGGCTTTTTTGGGTGTCGCTCGCACCCTGTTTTTTTTGCACAGTGCAAACACCAAAAATTACTCCAACGACTTTGCCGAACGGACTAGTATTTTTATGGGGAAACTTGATTTGTTTTTGTGATAGATCGGGATTCTATTACTGTTTGTTGAAGGCAATGATGAAACAGTTAAAAGGGCGGCCCACGCGGTGTTTATGACTTATAGTGAAGAGAAAATCGGTAAAAAGTTGTAATCAACTCTTCAAAAAATAATCAGAGTTGTAAAGGGTTCTGGGGCATTACAAAACTCGATGTAAAGCTAACAGTAACGGACGGGAAAAGTCCAAAAAAATTTTTTTTGGTTCGAATTTTGTTTTTGGGGAAAATTAATTTTTTGTGTAATAGGTTGGGGTTCTGTTACAGTTTGTCGTGGAGAAGGCAATGAAATAGCTAGAAGTGCGAACCACGCGGTTTTTATGACTTTGGGAAGTATTCAGGTTAACGTTTTTACACCAAACCTTGGTACAGCGAACCCTGTCTATAGCGAATAGTTTTAAAAGTAAATTTTTTCCATAAACAATCTTCCAATTGAAAAACAAATTTTTTAGACTTTCCTGTCCGTCACTGTTAGCGTTACATCGACTTTTGTGATGACCGGAAACTCTTTACAAACCTGATTATTTTTTGACGAGTTGAGTACAATTTTTTCACCACTTTTCTTTTCACTGTAACGGCTTATGTTGGCTGAGTATCAATCAAAAAACTCGCTTTTTTCTATGTTTTGTAAAAGTACAGCGTTTTAACATAGCACAAAAACCTACCGTATCTAAAAGCGATTCGGCCATTGTGTCGATGGGCCGTTGGAAATAGAAATTTGATGAAAGATCAGGTTGGTAATTATGCCGATATTCGATGGGGAGGTTCACTGAGATGTGGGGGAGATTCTGAAAATGAAAAGGGTTTGATTTTTATTACAATTAGAAGCTGAATTGGAGATTTTTATGAGATCAAAAGCGCGGTTTTTAGGAGTTGAAATGTTTTTGAAAATGACGATTATTTTTTTGAAAGGTTGATTTACAAGAAAATGCAAAGCTTAGATTAGATTTCCGCGGAAATTAAAAACAGAATTTTTTAATATTCACACCAAAGATTTTAGTATTCGCAGAAACAAACAAAATGAATTTTTGAGACGGACGTAATTCAAAATTCTTCGGTTTTGTTTTCACGGTAAAAAATTAACATTTCACGTCAACCCCTGACACAAACATTGTCACAGAGGACAAGGTTTTGTCAAGAGAAAGACAGTTTCAAAAAATACCTTTATCTCAGTTGTTTCTTGAAAATAAACGCTAGGTCTAACGCTAGGAGCTGTCGGGAAAATAATGTGGATTTGTCGCACCAAAACACCTGATCACAGTCGCGCACCATGTAGCTATTTGCAAATTTAAAGAAAAAATGGAACTTTTTTACCCTTCCATTGAAAAAATGTGTGTTGAAAATGTAAAAAAATTTTATTTTTTTTGAACTTTGAACAGCACCGAGCGTATTTTACAACAGAGATAAGGAATCTAAGGTCTCAAAAATTCTACATCCTTAGAACTTTTTGATTCTAGCCATAAAAAAGGTCAAAAAACTCAAATAAAAAAAAATCCGAAAACGGCTCAGTCTGTCGGGAAAATAATGACCGTTTGATTTTGTCGCGACACAATTCATTTTGTCGGCGGTGATGCAATTTTCGATCCAACAAAGTGGTAATTTTCAATGCGACAGATTGCTCATTATTTTCCCGACAGACTGATGATTTTATCACCGCTATTTTTGAAGCTTCCGCAGCTACTTTCGCTTGAGCCCGGCGTCCATAACAGCCACCAGACCAGCCGGCAACAAGCGGCTAAGCGCACGCTACAACCATCCACTTATTTATTGAATTCTTTATCTGCGCCGGCGGCGAACAATGAGACGGGTGTGCAAAAAAGCCGGAGGAGATAAACGAATTTCCAGCGTTTTGCGACGGAGACAAAAGTGAAGTGTCGAAGCACTTAACAATCCCCCCTTTTCTTCCCCGCTTTCCTTGAGCTGTATTCTCTAGAACAACACGAATCTTCTTCTTCTCGCGGGGCCCTTGTTTTCCGCGATGCTAACTGAATTCCGCAGGGGCGGTGCAGATCAGGAAGCGGGCTGGTCAAGAGGATTGTTGCGCGATGACTTGTAATTATGCTTGTTGAAAAAATTATCCCTGTACAGTGAATCGTTAGGGACCAAAAAAAAGGACCATCAAAAAATTTTTTTTTTGTCTTACGAGCGAAGTGTTTGAAATGCAACGCCCAGAGTTTTTTCAAGGTCTGCACATACGTTAGGAATGGCTCACATATCAATTGCAGAAAGTTTTA